AAATTGTCTATTTGTTTTGTTCTTTTAGATTTGTCGAAACTCAAGTTGGATCCCGTTATTGATGCTTAGAGATGTGAAGACATTAAGATCTTGGTTTTGGTAATCCGGTAATGTTTTGGTAATCCTGTTATTTTATTAATTATAATTCTCATACTTTTCAATTTTAGTGGTTTGTATGTTAAGATTTTTTTTTTATAAGTACAGATTGATGGTGATGGGTGACATCCAGTTCTGAAGGAATTGAGCATGAAGTCATGGGAGCATTTTCAGTTTATTATTATTTTGAACTTTTTAAAGCTCTACTTGGATTGTTATCAATATCATTGTTGGCTTTTATTACTCATTTTGGGGCTCTGCTTTTGTTTGTTTAAATATTATGTTTGACCCTTGGGAGATAATATGTTTTTGTCATTTGGAGCTGTCATTTTGGAGCTGTTATAATATGTGTTTGCTATTACTTTCCTTTAAAAATTTGAGAAATGCTTCAATATTTGCGGTAGGCAGTAGGTTTTTAGATTGAAAATTTCGGTTTTTTCAAACCGACCGAACCCGATCGGTTTTTACTCGGTTCGGTTTGTTCGGTTCTATATTTAATTCGGTTCGGTTCGGTCGGTTTTTTCAAGTACTTTTGAATTTCGGTTTTTTCGGTTTTGGGCCGGAACCGAACCGATGCTCACCCCTACTTATAGAGATACAACCTTTATAATCCAGTCATAATTAGTATCGTCGTAGATTCGTAGTTAATTGTTGGAGATCTTTTTTGTCATTTACGAGTTTGATTTTCAAGAGAAACAATATGCCAAACATTACATAGCTACGGAGCACTGAATAATTGAACAAATATGAGATTTGACGATAAAATTATCCGTTAAAGATAGAATTAATGAGCATTAATGATACATTTCGTCATATACTCATCTCATGTGAATGTTGCAAGTTACTTAGGATTAGGGGTGGGCACAGATCGGGACGGTCCGGTTTTAGGTTGTCCCACGTTTTGTCCCGTTATATATAAACGGTCCGGAACGGTTCGGATTACAATCTCATCCCACTTTGTCCCATAAAATTCGGGATCGGAATAAAACGGGACGGATTTGGGTCGTCCTACTTTGTCCTAATCGCAAATATAAGAAGGGGAAGAGGGTGAAATTTCATTCACAAAAAGAAACATCTAGTCATCCAACAAAAAACAATGAGTGGAATGGGTCCAAATAAATTTCAAGCTCATGAAGTTAATTTAATTAAATACGGAGTAACTAATTAATTAAAGAATGAGTGTATTTGGATTTTGGATTAGAATTAGTATTATATATTAGTAGAGTAGATGAAACGGGACAAACATGACGGATCGGTATAAATTTAAGCTGTCCCGCTCATGTTCTATTTGATATTGGGACGGAACGGGTTCGGGATCAAAAAAATATGTCCCAATATATCGGTACAATTACAAAACGGATCCGAGATTTTTCGGAACGGTCCAACGGGAACGGATTTTACGCCCACCCCTACTTAGGATCAATTCCATCAAACTTGTTTTTTAACTGATTTGATCTAATTAATTTTAAACACTCTTTTTCGTTCAAATTCAGTTGTTAATTTGTTGACATCAATGATTGTGAAATTCATTGGAGGGACTAATTGTTTGACATTTTTAAATTCATTTTTTTTAAATTTATTTTTATTTACAAAGTAGACAATTAAAGGACATTTGGTGTAATTTATTACCCCAAAATTGTTGCTCCGTACATGGACTCATTTCTTATAGATATGGAGCATTTTTTTACTCCATATGAATTATTTACTTTCAAAAAAATAATATGGATGAATCTAACTTATTTATTTTTATTAGTTTATTTATACGAAGAGATTCATTTATATTAGTAAATCTTACACGACCTTTCAAAAAACTGTCATATGAATTTGACGTCTATGGTAAAACATTTTATTACTCAACCGGTTAAAACTTACAAGTTACTGTATACGTACATGTTAGGAAGCGTCAAATTAGAGCTAGAATCAAACAAGGCCGTAATAGTCGATCAAACATAGCAAAGTCCGAAAACGCACGAATTCAGTTCCCGGAGTTTATTTGTACCATTTTCTTGGCTTCCATGTGGTACGTAACACCAAATCGTAGCACTATATCACTATTTATTCTCCTCCAATTTAATTTAACTATAAATAATTTATACTCAAGTCTCAATTTTAGTTGTCTGTCTATTATTTATACGGTCAAATGTTGTTCATTTTATTTTTAAATTTTCGTTAGTCATTTAATAAAATAATATAATCATACTACTTACCTACCTCTTGTTTCGTAGAACTTTAATTTTGATTTAATTTTTAAATACACAATTTTTTATTCCACCCCAATTCTAAAAAAAAATATCTTTTTGTGTCTCATTTTCAACAAATCAGATACAATGCTAAAAAAAGATCAAATATTTATGTATCTTCATGTGTTACTATGTTTTCAAGACAACGTTTAACGTTAGTATTTTCTAAATAACCTACAAACAAACCTGAATCTCTAACGCTATTCCCACACAATTTGGAGTGAGGGATCAGACATATCTAAATAATCTACAAACAAACCTGAATCTCTAACGCTATTCCCAAATAATTTGGAGTGAGGGATCAGACATATCATATCTAAACTCCTTATAATTAATTAGATTAGAAATAAAGCATATAAACTCTTATCCCGAATTAAGCTTTCGCATTTGATCGAACATGATCATTAATGAAGATGAAATTATCGAGTCATCCGTAGTAATGCAATTATATTGAAAAATAATAATGTGACTACATAATTATTTCCTTAAAAAAATTATTTTGGAACAAACAAAAAAGGACTGAGTCCTGAGGAGTACATTTATATGCGCGCCTTTAATATATATATATATAAAGGCTTTGTTTGAGGATAATATTTCAATGGTTAATAGTATAGATTAATTTTTAAATAGAAAACTAAAAGTAAACGTATCAATAGATGATCTTTTAAAAATGTTAAAAGGAATTAAACACTTAAGTTATTGTCAAACGCATTATGGACACAAAATAAATACTAGTAATTAACCGATATAGACAATTAACACTCTACAAGTCAGAAATAAGTTACAAAATGGTTTGTTTTTTGTAATGGGCAAGTTTAAAAAATAATCACAAGTTTAGAAAAGTCTAAGATTGCATTTGAAATGATGCATTGGACTATTTATAAATGTGAGCGAAAAATCTTTATTAGGAAGTTTTGAAAGAACGAGTCTTTTATTAAAAGTCTAATAAATTCTCGTACATTTAGGGTTATTCTTTTTGACTTTTTGAAGCTTTATTTTAGTGAATAACACCACAGATCTCTTACTTAGTATATTCATCCCAGTGTATTAGTCAAATTTAACTTTTTTAAGTCAAAATAGACGAACTTTAGATCTGAAAGTACAGTGGGACAGACGGAGTATTTATTCTCAAATGTAGATTATCTATTTTATAACTATATATGTATACTAATTACTTGCTACTAGTAGTATTTGGAAAAGAACAAAAATGTCATTTATCAATTCTCATTCCAACAAAAAAATCAATTTTTTTAATTCTCATTATCGATTGTAAATCTAAAACGAGTTCAATTAAATACATTACTTAGCTATCAAAAAAATTACGTAACTTAAATATTGAATTTTTTTAACATACTCCTTTCATGTGGTGGTGGTGGGGGGTGGGTTCCGGCCTGAAAAGGCAAGCAAAATTTTTAAGTACCCCAGAGCACAAAAAATCAGCGAGTGATTAATTATGATTTTAAATAGTGTCACACTGCGCCAACAAGTAGCCAACAAATTAAACATATATATAAAGAGTTGTATACTCAGATGTTATTGTTGAGTGTTTACGAATTAGTGCGTAAAAAATGTTTGCGCCAACCACATTCAGAGTTCTATTTTTAACTTCATAATTTTACTTTACGAAATTCTTAAACAAATTAAATCTTGAAAAATAAAACATGTATGTGAAATGTGTCTCATCTTTTTTAAACTTGGCCCGAAAAAAGCATGAAGTTTATTTTGCAAAAAAAAAAATGCAAAGTTAATTTTGAAATGGAAAAATATATGTATGTACGTATATATATGTGACATTAGCATTAAGAAACAAACATGTTTTCATTGTACACGTAATTCTTAATACATAAAAGTCCCAAATCCCAAATTCGTCTTCACATAGTCTAATATTAATATATTATCCTTAGCGATAGAAAACATTTCTGAAAAAACATATAGTTGGTCGTGTACCAAGTCGGTCCAACTTAACCATCAAAAGGTTAACGCAATGCAAAAGGGGAAAAATTGATAACTAAAGATGTGTCTAAACATCTAATTACGAAAGGGAAGGTTACAAAACCATCCAAATGGGTCACGTAAAGCTAGAAATGACTAATAAGATTGATAGAGAGATATATATAGTGCTACCGACAATAAAAAAAAGGAGAATTTACGTAAATAGCACTAAAACATAATGGCTTTCCTTAAATAGCATCACACGTGTTTTTCTCCTAATAATGTAGCACTTTTAGCCATTATCTATTGGTCATTATTCAAGTAAATGTTCGTCATCACTGGACATTATGGATATTATTAAATGTTATTTAGGGATATGACTTAAATTTTAGTGCTATTTAGTGTAAATATTTCTTAAAAAAATCAATTAGTTTCTTCATTTCTAATGCCCCGTGAGGCATAGCTCAACTGGTTGTAAAGAGATGGAAAAAGGGTACCTAATATACAGGTTTGACTCCTCACAATAACAATAAAAAATAATCACACACCTCACATAGTTAACTATTTTGTTCGTGTTGTACTGTTTGGTTTAATTACTTTGAGTGTGCTTGAGCTAGGGTCTCTTGAAAATAAGATCTCTACTTTCACTTAAAAGCAAATTCTGAGTATGGGCGCCCTCTCCAAACTATACTTTTTGAGGAATTTTATTGGATTAGTTATTTCTTTATCGTTTTTAATTAGTGTTTGAAACCTCAATTACCAACTTGTTTAAAGTCTCTGAAAAGTTAAAATATCTATCATATCTTTGCTAGTGGTGAAACTTGCGGATAACATTTTCAAGACGTACTATTTTCATCCCAATGTTTTTGTCCAATTTAATTTTTTTGGGTCAAATAAAATAAACTTAGAACTTCAATTGTTTTTAGTTTGTATTATACATCTTGGTATAATCAAATAAAATTTTAAAAGTTCACAATAAGATGAATATAGTAAAATAATTTTTATATTAATAAACATTATACGGAGTATTTTGTTTAATTAAAGTTTAACATTCTTTCAAATTGGCTCAAAAAAGTCAAACTAGACAAATAAACTTACTAAAATGGAGTAAAAACTAGGTGTTACAGTAAAAAATGAAAACATTGTGGTAGTTGAGGTGGAAAAGAATCCACGGAAGCAAAAAACATTGGGGGCCTAATTGCATCAAATTCAAATAAGATTCTGTATTGTCATTTAAAGTTAGATGTGGACACATGGGACATACATCATATACGTACCCATTTTTCTCTCTTCTCTTTTATTTTTATAATTTTTTTTACCATTTCCTCAATTGAAATTCTCACCATCCCCTTCATGCACCGACACTCATACATGCAACCACAATTGTTGATTATTCCCTTATTTATTTTGATTCATAAATAACTTTTTTTTATCAACCAAAATGATGATTTGGGTGCTTTTTGAAAACATCACTTGGAGAATAAATATGTTATCTCGAAAGCATTAATAAATATAGCGATTTTCAGTGCCACCATTGTCATATGTAATATAATCGGTATTATGTTACATTCTGAATAATTATTTAAATTATTATAGTTAAACGATAAATAATGTCAAACGGAATCTTTGTTTTGTCAATCGCATTTTACATAAAAATAATTCTTTAGAAGGTATAAAATTGGGAAAATGTGTTTAATTCCCTCAGATAAAAGCACATGTTTTAGTTCCACCATATTGCTATTTTGCAGGATTATATTTGTTGAACTTTATTCATTTGATCAGATTTTGTTCTTACTTTAATTTTCTTTTTCCCATGATTTTTTCTTCTTTTGTTGTTAGGACTTGGGATCTTTTGTTGTTGGGACTTTGGAGGGATTGAGTGGTTGACTAGGAAATGAAGACCGACTGGTGGGCCCATCCCGTTTTATATTATTCTGCAATAATTTTTCCATAGTCCTACAAAAAATTAGGGGTAACTTTTCTTTTTCAAAGGGTGGAATAATGTCTTGATTATATACTTCAACAATATAATTGTATAAATATATATAAACTAATTAACATACACATGTATAGTTAATGTCTTGCTTTTTAATGTTTGAATCGAAATATATATCGAGTACTCACGACCTCGATTAATATTTGACTCAAATTTAGTATTCTTTCTTTGTCAGTTGTGCGATACTCCCTTTTAATTAGTTTTGTTTAAATATTTGCATATTGCCTTATTGTGTAAGTTATTTTAAGACATTCTTATTAAATACTTCATGTTGCTTTCAATTTTTATAATTTTGTGTTAAGTCTAAAAGTCAATTACATATTCATCCCTTTGTATATTTTATCTCTAACTTCCGTTTTGTCGGTCTTGAAAATTCTGGGACAAAGTGGGGTTGACTTATGGTCCGAACCGTTTGAACATGATGAGATAGGACGCGGGATAGTATGAAACCCAAAACGTCATGTCCCTGCCTACCCATACTGCAAAATATCAGGGAATAACTTTTTTTAAAGGTGGAATTGAAATCCACCTCGGGACAAAAAAAGTATTAGAAACATATCACATTTACTATCAATCATTCTGAAAATAAAATTTAATTGATCTTTTTTTTAGTTTATTTTTCAAGTCAATTTTCAAGACATAAGATGGGTTCAATGGTTTTTTTTTTAAAATAAGATTAATAACAAAAACAAACTTGTCCCAGTGAGGAGGCCTCATATACGCCGTATATTATTAAATTCGAAAAGTTAAATTTTAATGTAATGAAGATGGTGATGAGTGTATTTTAATTTAATTATATTATGGAATATGGAAGATGATCCCTATTATGATTTTATGTCTCATCAATTTGATCTGAGATTGTTTTTTCCCCAATTTGCCAGCTCAATTACGTTGGATCCATCTCCCGTCATAAATAAATAATTGTTGAAGGGAAATTATATTTGTATAACAAAAATTATGCCCCAGATTGTATCACGATTCGTAAAGGTATATATAACAACATTTTGTGCTAGTGTAGTGTTAGTAATTTAGTATGATAATCTACAATGACACAAAATATTAGTATAATTTTTTTGATTGAACTAACATTTTGTGCCAGTGTAAATCAATAAAATACTAATGCATCCATTTAAAATGCGGAGTATAATTTGGGATAAACTTCTTAGTGTACCCCTATCAGGGTTGATAATTTCTTAAAATATTGTACTAGATAGATATATAATATAATTAACTTTGTATTGTCATATATAACATAATTTGTATTTAGTTGGTAATCAAAATTCATCTAGTTTGATGGTAAGAAATCAAATTGAATATATATACACTAGAACGAAAAGATATGTAACTTAAATAGTACGTAGTATGTAGCTTAAGAAAATTGTAGAAAAAAAGTTGAAAGTGTAGTATTGAAATTTATTTAGAAGAGAAATTTTTTGTTATAACATAATAAAATTTTTAAAATAAAATAATTAAGACAAGTAAAAAGATTCTTTTTTACATTAAAAAGGAAAGTAGAAAATTGTTTATAAGATGAAGAGTATAAAGAGTGTTTCACTGTGCTGACGCTTATCAATTTACTTTGGATAAATACTACGTAAATTTTAAATTATAAGTTAAATAAGTGACACAAAGTATTTTATAAAAGTAAAATGACTTACACGAGAGATTGATCATTCGAGATATATTAATAGATATAAGTATGTAAGACTTTTTTCTAATAGAAAAATACATCATCAATTGATTTATAACTAAAAATCTCATAAGCAACTTTAACCATTTTATAAGCGCAGAGAAACATTTGCATACTTTGTAATTATGTATAGTATACTTGTGCTGATGCTCTAATTAAATGTGTCGGATCAATTTGTCAAATTTTTAATTTTATTTAAATGTTTTTGAATCACATGATACCAAATGGTTTGGTGATTCTAAAAACAGAAAAGGAAAATAAAATAGAATAAGATTAAAAACAAGAGTAGTGATTCCGTATACCTAAGATTCACACATAATTTCTGAAATTTCTCACAAAATTTATGGACTTATAAGCTAATGAGAGAAAAAAATGTTTCACCTAAGCTAATATGCTTAATTTTAATTTCTTAATCATAATCTTAATTTTTATCTTAATTCTAATTATAATTTTAATCTTAATCTTATTTCTAATTCTAATCTTAATCCCAACATCCTGATCCTAATATTAATCCTAGACCCCCTAATCTCCTCATCCTAATTCTAATCTTAATCCAAACCTAATTTTAATCCCAATACAAATACTAAAAAAATACCAAAGAGTCCCCATATAATTAGGATTATATTCATGTTTTAAAGTGAATCGTAACGAACTTGCAGCCCCCACCCCTCCTTCCCGGACTTGCTGCGCCGCTCGCTCACTCCCGCGCCTCCGACCGTCCCAAGCGACTTCGCCGTCGCTGCGTCTGTCATTCATCGCCTCTGCGTCTCTTCTTCAGGTCTTTCAAATCCTCTCTTTAGGTATTCATCGCCTCTGACCAGTCTCTAGAATCATAGGTATAGCCGTATAGTACGTTTAAAAAAAATAATTAATCTGGAGATCCCACAATCACTTATCGAAATTGTGCATAATTGAGACTTTATATTGTTAAATACATAGTCCGGAATATATGCTAAAGTGCTTAGAATCCATTAATAGGTTCCAAAAGTTGGGAAGGTTTCGTAGTACATTGATTGGTATGCCATAAAAGAAATAGTCAGTAAAACATAGGGAAAGTACCAAAATAAGAGTTCTATGTTTTATTGTTTTTGATTAGGAGTTCGTATTGTGGTAATTTAATACTGTATACGGTCATTATACTATACGTTTTGGTAATGTACGTGGTCATGATTTGTAATGTAAATGCATTTTAATTCTTATTTTGGGAATAAAAACATAGAACTCTTATTTTGATATATTTTCAATATTTTACGCTTACTTTGGTCTTTTTCCCATGCCATAATGTAGATAAAATGATAAATCTTCTATTTTCTTGTTAAGTTGTGTTTTCTTTACAGGAAAACTGCATATTGCCTTCCGAATGCCTTCAACAAATGGAAAACTTATTGATTTGGTGCTCTAGATTCATGTTGATTTTTTCTTTTTCCTTTATAAAACTTTGAGTCTCCCTCAACAAACAACAAACCCAGTGCACCTCACAAAAGCTGGCATATTAATTACATTAGTTTTAAGTTGTGATGGTTGATCAGTGTATTCTCATTATTACACTTGTGGTCTTCAAGTAAGCCATAGTTCATTAACCACTGACTGTTACTTGAATAACTGATTAAGACCTTTCTTTGCCAAGATATGCATTGAAAATTGTATCCCTCACACCTTTCTTCAAGTTAAGTCATTGTTTTTTCATTTTTTTGAAGTTTGGATGTCTCTCTTCTTGATATTTCTACCTGACAGATTCATCATGTTCTATGATCTTAACTTGTTTTGTTACTTTTTTTTCTGCAAGGAATGGTAGAACAAGGTAATAAAATGAATTTAACTTCTGCATTATGGGAGCACTATTCTTCGGAGTCCATTACAGGTCAAGGTAAAATTGCAGCTACTTGCAATTATTGTATTCTTCGGAGTACACACGGCAAACAAACTGAATTTAACTGAAATTCAAGCAAATGCGGCAAGCAAACTGAAATTACAATTTGTTTGCCGTATTTGTTAGAATTTCAGTTAAATTTAGACCAATGATTCCTCTGTTTATAGTTTTTTTTGCCATGTCCCTTTATATTGTGTCTGTCATCTTGAATTTTCTATCCTAAGGTTACAGATGTTTCATTTGCAAAACATTCTCTAATTACATCTGGTCACATATTTGAATGAATGCTTACAAATGGTATGCAGGTAAGAGTGATATTGCCAAAGGAGTTGATAAATGTAACGATGATTCGAATGAGCCAACAATGTGCAAGAAACTTGCTAGTCTCAGTTTGGCGAATATCAATGAAGTCAAAGATCCTTCAGCAGAAACGAAGCCTCCAGGTGCAGATTCAGTTCATTCAATTCTTCAAAATTCAAGTGGAATAATGTATCAAGAATATCTGCGTCAGGTAAGAGAAGATACCTTATTTAATATTTGGTGTTGTGAATCAATCCTTGAAACAGAACTGAACTTTATGGGTCTAATGGTCTATTTAATTCCTTGAACCAAACATAATGGTAAAGAAAATAGAGAGGGGGATATAGGGGAAGTTCGGTAGGAAAGAAAATGTGAATGGAAATAAAGCATTAGTTCAAAATCAATAAATTTATCTTCGTTACACATTCAAAGTTCAAACTTGTTTTATTTATTTACATTATAAATTTATACCGAGTATAAAATGCTAAAAATTTTATAGCCATATTTAAGATTTTAAATCATTATTCATATTTTGTTTTACTGTTTTCTAAGGTAAAACCAAACCCAAGAATATTACATTGGCAACCTTTTCTTCCCCTAGCATTGTAAGAACCAAGAGAGGTTCAATGAGTTATTTTGGTTCTGTCCATTATTACCCAAAGCTGAAACATGTCAAAAGTGTTTTTTTTAGCTCCATGTGAAATGGACGAGAATTCAACATAATCTTATCATTCTTCCTGGATGGCATAATAATAAAACAAGATTTCATCTAAACCTTAGAATGGATCTTCTATTTATGCAATGTGCAGCTCATTGAATCCCACATTTCTACTTTAAATCGAAGTCTTCAGCTATCAAATACCTTGGATGTACTCCGTGCTAGAGTAAGTGTGTGGTACCAATACGATTAAATTCCTCACATTCTTCTCTTTAAAAAATTATTTGGCTACGTTTGGTACACGGAATTCAAGCCATAAAATTGGAATCGGGGACTTCAATTCCAATTATACTGTTTGGTTACACAAAAATATGTGGATTTGGAATTGGTAATGCAAAAAATGAAATGGAATTTCAGAATTCAATTTCAATTCTATCAATTCTGTGTACCAAATGGAGCCTTTGAGCAGTTCGTTCAATTACTCGTGAGTGTAACATTACATGCATACTCCCGGTTTGACTCTCGCATAGATTAAGAAAGTTGAGATTGTTTAGTTGAAAAAAGGAAATTGAAATTTATTTTGGGACAACGAAAAAATGAAAGTGAAGTTTGTTTTGGGACAGAGGGTTTATCTTTTAAGACACATTTTCTGTTTCAATGCATGGATGATTAGATATGGCTTGGATGAAGATGATCATGTTGGTGGTGGTGGTGAAAGTGATGAAGATGAAGATGGTGGTGAAAGTGATGAAGATGAAAGTGAAAGTGATGAAAATGTTTCCATGGAAATCGAAGGTAATGCCGGGAACCAAGAACCAGTGATTTTGAGTGAAGCAGTAAGTCGAACTTGGAATCAGGTATGTTGGAACCATAGAGTTCAGGACCGGTTTTGAAATGTGAAAAAAATGAACAAGGTCATGTTTCGGAACATGTTCTAGGCCCTATATTTTGTTTTTGAGTAGTAATTAGAACAATGAAGGTAATCAAAGACTTAAGGTTTTGTAACATGGTCTTGTTTGTTTCAAATAATTTGATGGTATTATAAATATGCATTTTTTTTTTGTTGGTCTAAATTGTTTATAGTTTGGTTAGTATGTCTGATCTTGAGCTCAGATGTCTTCATCTATGAACCAGATAATCATCTTCCCAATGTATTCATCAAATAGCAATCATGTTCGGTAAAATAACATTTTTGCCACTAGTATAATTTATCCATTCTATTGGATTGCAAAAAAATGGAAGGCAATTACATGCGTGAATGGAGATGCTATAATATACCAAAAAGTTGTATATTAGTACTCCATTCTTTCCAAAACTGTCGTCATGTTTCACTATTTACTGGTTAATTTTTTTTTCATTTTTATTTATTTTCGTTGATCATTTGTTAAAATAACATAATCATGTCATTTCTATTTTATAAAATCTTTGATGTAATGTGTGTGTGTCCCTTCCATCTAACAATAATGTTCTCGTTTATTATTTACATGGTCAAACTTTATTCACTTTGTTGGCATATTTTCGTTGTCCATTTGATAAATAATATTGTCACGTCACTTCTAGTTTTGTAAATCTTTTCATGTAGTTTTTAAATATATAATCTTATTTTTTAATTCTATATGATTTTTCATATAAAATGATTTAAAAATGGCTCCAGTAAAATATCGTAACACTCAACGAGAACATCATTGTTGGACAGAGGGAGTATATATGTGTGTGAAATTTTTATTGTATTTTTTTATTATTATCTAAACTAAAATGGGAGGAGTATAACACGGCCGACACAGGAATGTGCAGATGACATCGCAATCGAGCAATAAAATATTCCGTTAGTGCATCGCTTTTGAAAACAACAAAGAAATGAATGATAGAAGAGACCATTCTCTTATGCTTTGTTGTTAGCCATCCTCGGTGGACTTGTCACTTGCCTTGTCCTTTTTTTTGTTACTTTCTTTTTAGTACTTCGGTTCCAAAATTTATGTTTTAATTTGAGTTTTCAAATCAGTTTAATTACAAAGAAAAACTTGCTATATCAAAATATATTTTAAAAATAAGTCCAAATTATTGTTTTAATTTGAGTTTTTAAATCAGTTTAATTGCAAAGAAAAACTTGCTATATCAAAATATATTTTTAAAATAAGTCCGAGTTCACTAATTTTTTTAATAAATAAATAAATATTTTTTAAAAGAGATTATGACCGATTCAGATTAGGTCGAGATGAAGGTTAAATGAGGGGGTTAGAAAGAGCAGTGATGGAAAACGGGGTGTAATAAAAGGGTAATACCCCGTCACATATCTTTCTTTCTATTTGACTTTTTATTATTTTTTATTTAACATTTTGACCATTAATATTTTTCTTTATATGTACCATATTTTAAAATTATTATAGTATCTCGAAATGAATCTATTAACATTGAATTTATATTACTCCCTCCGTTTTTCAAAAGAGTTCCTCTTTTGACTTTGGGGGAAAATAAGGAAGTGTTAAATTGTAGTTGACTTTCCAATTTTTCCCTTGATGTGATGTGTAAAAGTAAGATGTGATAGTTTAGTTGTTAGTGAAAAAGTATGATGTGATATGTAGGGTATGAAAAAGTAGGGGTAAAAGTGGTTTTTAATAGAAAAGAGAAGTGTTTTAAGAAAAACAAAAAAAAATGAAAGAGGAAGGGTTTTAAGAAACGGAGGTAGTATAATTCTATGTTTTTTTATGTTATTTATAATAAAATTTTACAAGTATTGATCTTAAAAGTGAAAATGACAATAAAAATAAAAGAGGAGCATGAAAACAGAAAAGTGTTGCATAACAAATTACAGTACGTAATAGAACTCTCTAATAATCTTGCAAAAAGAGAAAAGGGGCGTTAAAAAGTGTGGCTGCTGGGATTCGAGCCCAGGTCTCCACGGCCACAACGTGGAATTCTAACCACTAAACTACAGCCACTTTTGTTTCTTATGTGTTTCAACTTTATAAGATTTGTATTACAAATTTAGAAAAGCTATTTTCTCATTGTGTAAAAATATATTTTGAGAAGAAAAGGAATACTGAATACAAAGAAAGTAGGTGGGGTTTGAAATATGTATGCATACTTCAACTTCTCTGCTGTCTTTGGTGTTGGCATCTAGACTTTGATAGTTAGCACTTCTCCACAACTTTCTATTTACTCTGCTAGCTTAGTCATTCAATTACTTTGTACTTGGTCCGTCCCTGAGTGTTTGTCCACTTTTGACTTTTGGAACTGTTCATCTAAACACTTTGACTCATCAAATTCTCTCAATGTGTAAGCCTAAAAATAGTCATTGTGATCTTATTTGATTTGTCTTAACATATAGATTATTAATATATAATTTTTATAATTTTTTAATATACAAATTATAAGATAAAATGGATTAAAGAAGTGCATTGGATGGTGTGCAAAAATGAAAGTGGACAAACACTCAGGGACGGAGGGAGTATTTTTTAGTTGGATTTTATCTTCTTTGTTTTCTTTAAGGTGAGCTGGAGGAATGTAACAATGAAACTTCGTATTACTTTGTACTTTTTAGTTGGACTTATTGTCTAGAATAAAGTAACTAATATGAAATTAATTATATATATATATATATATATATATATATATATGTGTGTGTGTGTGTGTGATGTGGCTAACAGAAAAGATAGTTTGGGAGTGAAGTGAATACATGAAAAATATTTGAAACATCGTATCATTTGACACTGTTTTTGAAATTACAAACACTGGTTTTCTGAGGAGAAACTCTTCAAAATTAGAAATGAGTTCAATATTATGCAAGACTGAAATTAGTGAAATATACTTTTGGTTTAGGCTATAAATGGCTCATGGGTGACAAACCTAGAGTTGATTGGAATAAACCAGGCATTACTCTTTATTATTTGGTTGTTTTGGATACTAAGTATGCCCTATGTAATGACCCTAGGGAGGATGTGAACCATTTGTTTTGTTGTTCATTCACCAAAACAGTGTGGCAAGAGATGTCTACATGGACTAGATATATTTTTCGAAGGCTCTAATACGTTGGAGATTCCATTATGTACACAGGAATTAACCTATATAGTACTCCGTATTAAAACATAATAAATTTTTCAATGTAGTATTATACGTTTTAATTTGCCAATATATTACCCCTGTTCAAGTAAATTCTACAATCACCAAATATTATTCAAAATAAATGTCTATTACTAGATATTATTCCTCACTGGACATTATTCAAATACTATTTAAAAAATAAAAAAATTTATATAAAAAAGGACATACTTCCTCCGTTTGGGAAAACCCTTTCCCATTTTGGTCAAAAGCCAAATCAAGAAAATATTAACTAGTACTCCATAGTTAACTTCTAATTTTACCTCTGATGTGATAATAAATTATTAGAAAAAGAATATGATATAATAAATAAAGTAAGAAAAATAGGAATGTAAGTAGTTTTTGAAAAAAAAATATAAGTATTTCGTTGAAAATGAAAAAAAAATGAAAGAGAAGATTTCCCAAACAAAAGGAATATGTTTTAGTACTATTTAATGTAAATTTTACTTATATATGTAATTGTTTTTTGTTCCTACTTTGTGCAAGACCAGGGGCTACACAATCTGTAGTGGTCCAGAATACAATCTGGGGAAAACCTTTTCTATTGAGCTTTATATCAAGTCTTTTCGCTAAAAAGAAGTTTGTTTGTAATCTATTGGCTGTGTTTAAGAACCCAATAACAACTTTATAAGAACCCAAGATTCAGATTTTTTTTTTGGTTCGAACCAGGTTGGGCCCTTACAAGTTTTTTCCTTTAAAAAAACTCACGAATAGATTTATACAGCAAATCCTAATAATTAAAATCTTTAGTAATTTCTTTTCAATTACAAAAACATCATTAAAAGTAATGCAGATAATTTTCTTGAAGAAAAAGAAGTATATTACTGGAGAGTGGAGAGCGGAGAGGGAGCCGAGTTCCACTGCTGGGCAAAGTTTAAATTTTTTTCTAAAACTAATGGCAAATCTTGAAGAAACCCCAAAAGAGAGAAAAACTCCATTTCTAAAGTCACTCACTCCATTAAAAGATTCTCACATCATTCATCTGCTGCTTCATTCTCCACTGCCAGTGCAACCCCGACTTCTGCTGGCCGAATGATTCGTTCATGTAATGTGTACCCCGACTGCAAATCACACCATAAATGTTCGGTTAAACTAACTTTAAAGGGATGCATAGAAACCAGACAGAACTTGCAGATTTGACGAACGAAGTAATGATGAATTAATGCAGCAGATAACAATGTAATGAAATGCATAAGCTGAGAGTGATATCTGACAGAGTTAACCATAGATTATAAACTATACCTTAAGGACAACTGCAACAGTGCCAGGCTTCTTGGAAGGGTCTGGCACTTGGAATACCGCATTATGCTTATTTGGATCAAACTCCTCATCCACAGGATCATATTTTTCAACTCCAAATTTCTTGAGCACCTGAAATTCAGAAATCATTAAGCCAAACTAAAAAACTATACAAGAAAAACAATATAATAGTTCTTGCATTATAATTATTTGTGATTGAGGGTAACTCACTCCAAAATGATTCTCAAGATGTGGAATTGCACATTATAGAAAACACACACTAGAATATCAATGTGTGATAGCATATCCCTAAACTGTGTTAGATCTAACTTAACCCACCCCAACAAGAAATTTATGAGGTGAGGTTTAGTAAGCAGTAGTACATTGACACAGGGTAAAATGCCAATGTGGGATGCTCAACAAGTTTGAAATGAGATTATCAATGGTGGACGGAATAATTTTAAAAGAGATGGTATTTAAATCATATACAGAGCTAATACGATAAAAAAAATGTTAAATACTGGAAACAGCTGTGGTTTGGCACGTGTATGGTTCTCATGAATTCATCTGCATAAGAAAGTAAGAGAAACAGAAAATAGTTTAGGAACAAGGACTATCTCTTAAAAGGGAGAGTACCATACCTCAGCCAGTTGCTTCTCAGTCATTTCAACACCTTCAAGTAGCGTTTTCAGAAGTTGCATTGAACCGGTAGTGTCACTAGAAGCATCGATCTTGGAATAGCTTTCTTTTACAACTTTTGAAGCCCTATTCAAATTGTCTGCAACATCTAGAAGGCCTTTTGCGAAGTTCTATAGCATTGTTTGAGAATAAAAAAGAATTGTCAGAACCAGATACATTTCCAAATCTAAAATTTCGGGAAATGATGTACAAATGGCAAACCTGGATGGCAAACTTCTTGGAGTTCTCTGTTTCACGTCTATTTCTATCCATTGTGTTCTCCATATCAGCAAAAGTGCGAAGAACCTTGTCCTTCATTTGATCAACTTCTTTTTGTTTCCCCTTCAGTTTTTCTTCAACCTCCAGCACGAGTTTCACCAGATCATCCCTGGAAAGGTCCTCCAAATCTAAATCAGAATCAGAATCAGAAAATAGAGTCTGTTTAGTACTTCTCCTCCTCCTTTTAATGTTTTCAGATGTATTAGCGTCGGAGGTTCCCATATCACCACCTGATTTGTTGGATTCCTCAGAAGATTCGGCATCATTATTCACACTTTTGCTAGTGTCAGTTTCAGTTTTTTCCCGCTGTTCATTTCCTGCCTGGGTTGTCTCCTTTTCATCTGATTGTGGAGATGCCGATGATGACATTCCAAACCATTGAGAGCCAGATCTACTAATGGCCGATTCACGCAGAAGAGAGATATGACCAGGAACAACCTAAATATACAAAATGCATAGAACATTCACTTTTGAGTATTATAACAATTAAAATTTTATGAAGCCAGCCAGAATGATAAGCTGATTAAGTATCGATCCTAAAAAAGAGGTTCATATCTGTCTGATAAGCTTTAAACATACTGGATGAAGTCAATCGTTATTAAAACTGCAACTTTATGCTTTTCTATAAATTGCATTCTTGAAGTTCTCGCCTGTGTCTAGAGTACAGACACTTCCAATTTCTCATCACCAAAGCAAGTGACAATACGAGCGGCTAAAATATTAATTAACCATAAAAACAAACATTTTTAGTCATATATTTCCCTAACTCTCTCATTAATGCCCAAGAGTGGAGTTCTTTTAAATGATATAAAAGTGCAGCAAACTTAAAGTAACTGGAAGCAAAACAGAAATGATTTTACAGCAAAAATGAACAACAAAATCTGCAGATTAACACTTTCCGATTGAAACAAAACAGAAAAAATTACTGATTGTTCATCAGGGGATCGTACCGAGGATTGGGGATAACATATGGAATGGAATCGATTCGAAAGGTTCGGGGCCTGTGGTTTCTGCTGCCGCGCAAATAAGATCAACGAGTTCCAGCACTGAACCAGAGCAGACTTTGAGAGCCGAGACGCGATTCTGCTGACCACCATGATTGAAGCTCGGAAAGATGGCGCCTGGGAGATTATCAATTTCTAGAAGAAGGCGATTATAGGGTTTAAGGAAGAAGAAGGAGGGTTTTAGGAATGTGGCGATGGATGTCGTCGGGTCACCAGCTTGGGGAGGAAGCTAGAACAGAAAGGAAGCTTCTAAGAGTATGGGCCAGCAAGAATATGGCCCATCTTATTAGAGTTGTAAAGAGCAGAATACAATTGTGGCCCAATTTGTTAACCGGGCTGCAAACTGTGGGTAATGATTAATTAAAAAGTTAGAGACATAATTTGGACTACAATCCACCATTATCTGTTTCGTAATTCGGCAACGTTAAATATAGTATATACTCCCTCCGTCCCAGAGTATTTGTCCACTTTCATTTTTACACACCATCCAATCACTTCTTTAATCCATTTTATCTTGTAATTTTTATATTAAAAAATTATAGAAATTATATATTAATAATCTATATCTTAAGACAAATCAAACAAGATCACACATGACTATATTTAAGCTTACACATTGAGAGAATTTGATGAGTCAAAGTGCTTAGATGAACAGTTCAAAAGTCAAAAATGGACGAATATAGCGGGACGGAGGTAGTAATTTGTTTAGTACATTAGAAAACAACATACCGTCCGCTGTAGCACTGGCTTAAGATTCTGGGTGAGAATTTGTTCCTTCGGGGACTCTAGGTTCAAATCCCGGCAGCGGAAGAATTCTTTTTATGAATCAATGTGGAGGGGTTTGGGGTTGGGGATTCAAGCTTTTGCAACAAGGATTTGAAATAGCTCGAATAGAGAACTTAGTGAATGTGGAATCTTTTTTCTTTTTTGTAGTTCTGCATAGAGAAAATAGAAAAGTTAGCTAAATATGTGTATTCTTTTTATGATGCGTAATCAATACTTTATCTCATGATTTTTTTACAATTTACTCTCTCCGTCCTAAAACTTTCTTCCCACTTCCCCTTTTTCTCCGTCCTAAAACTACCTTCCCATTAGAAAAAAAAGATGAAAAATGACACTAATACCCTCATGTATTTACACCAATTATCTTCTAACTCTATATTTTGAATGCTTGTAAAAAAAATTCAAAAAATCTTTTTTTAAGGAGGGTAAAACTTGAAGTCAAAGACAAAAATTAAAAATGGAGAAAAGTCAAACTAGGAAGAAAATTTTAGGACGGAGGTAGTAATTTACACTATTTGAATGAATTTAGTTTCAAATCACATTAGTTAAATCTAAGTATGAAATATAAAAATAAGACTTAAAACCCACATCAAAATATCTGCAAACCACGAGACATAACTATAAAGTATACTATTTTATGAAATAATATCTAAAATATATAAAGAAAGAATAAATAATTCAACGGAGAGAGTATGATATTAAATTTATATAAGTGATTATTGAATGGGATGAAGTGAGTGATAACAGTCGTCATTTAAGGTCTTGTTTGAAATAACATTTAAAATTAAATGTGTTCATTCATTAATTTTCTCAAAACACTAAAGCTGTTATAAAATGAGTATTTTTTTGTTCATGCCCAATGAATACTTTGCCTCATCAATTTTTACAATTTACATTGATGGTTGTTATTTTCAAATTATATTAATTAAAAATTGATATGAAATTTAGAAATAAAATTAAAATACTTAAAAGTTGCATCAAAATATTTATAAAATACAAGACATTACTTCGCGATAGATTATTTTATCAAATGATATCCAAAAGAAGAGCAAAGTTAGATCCGTGGAGTTAATTACTACACGAAACATAACTATGAGGTATACTATCCGTGGAGTTAATTACTATTCCATGATTTACCATTTAGAGGTCACTAGTCTCTTCACATTTTAAAACAGCTACTAGCATTCCATAACCCATAGCCTTTCAAGAACACGGTAATTAATTGTTACTCCTAATTAATCATGCAATCAAGTACGGAGTAATTTTAATTTACTAGTCCCTTCAACTCCCTCCTCCATAGGTTACATAATACGTATGCCCACTATATATACAGAGTATATATGTATATCCATACGATTACTATAATCAATTTCCTATATTAGAGCCAAAAAGAAGTTTTGGAGATTTTCATTTCATTGCTAAAGAAAAGATATGAAGCTATTACTCCCACTCATACTAGCAGCAGCACTGCCGTGGGTTCTTTTAGCGGCGGCAGAGGAGCCGGCGGGGTACAGAATTGCTGAAAGACTCAATGCCGGAGGCGGCGGTGCGGCGGCAGGTCAGTGCTGGGACGCGTTGGTGGAGCTGAAAGCATGCACAAACGAGATCATACTGTTCTTCTTCAATGGGGAGGCGTATTTGGGGAAAGACTGTTGCAGGTCCATACGCACCATCATGTACGGCTGCTGGCCTTCCATGCTCACCTCCATTGGCTTCACCGCCGAGGAGGCCGACATCCTCCGCCACTACTGTGGCCCACCTGCACCCGTTCCCGGAGCACCACCGTCTGCTTCTTGAATGCCCAACTGCTGCCAGTAATCTGATGACACGAGTGTCTTTGTTGTTATATTTTGGAATTGAAATCATTGTTCACTCAGTAATTTGATCATTTTAGAATGAATAAACTTGCATCAGTTATATAAATGTGCTCTACTGCTCTTATTTAGCATTTCATTTGATTTTAAGGCAGAATCTATGGCTTATGTCAAACAAGAACTACTTCAATGTTTAAAAGAGGGAAAGAAAATAAAATTAGAGGCTAAACTTGTCCCTTTCTAATAAGTGGAGTAAATTCAACAAAATGGGTGTGGCTTCAGCATCGCCCTGATAATAAAACTGACCTAGTTTTTTTATGTTGTATGTGATTTACACTAAAAACATACCTTTAATTAGGTAGCGGAGCATACACTTGACAAAAATGATCCATATAATGAGCAATGTAAACCAACTTGAAACAGACATGCTCTTCCATGATTAAGGTCCGCACCTTCAGTTTCTGCACTGGACTCCAATTCAGAGCTGTCGGCAACATGGATAGGTGGATCCAATACTGAGAACTCAGTGCTTCCAATCCATTTGAAGTTGATGGGGTCCTTGACTAGCTTCAAGAACGAGCCCTCTTCTGCGAGAATATGCCACACTTTTGGCACAAAAGCTGTGATGCAGTTCATGAACTGTTGGGTCATTTCTTGGAGTTCAAAGTTCAAATCTCGTTTGTGAAGTGTGCATTTGTCACAGCTTTGACTTGAGAATGGGACATGTTCTGTAACAAGGCTTAGCAAGGACTCGCCTGCAGCTGTCCAAAATGTAGCAGCAGAGACTATAAGAGAAGGCTCAAAGAGGAACAAATGGTGAGCTGAACCTGCGAGCAACAAGGAGTAGCCAGCACTGGCCTTGCTAAAACCGAGAGACTTGAGTCGGCACATATCATTCCCATGGTTAGAAGGCAATGGCTCACTTGCCAAGGCTTTATAGGCCGAGGCAAGAACAGTGTAGGCATTTAAAGAAAGATGGTGAAAGGGATGAAGCTTGAGCAAATTACATTTATCTTCTATAGGATGGCCATAAGTAAGCAAGTTCTCGAGCTTTGAAGAACATGATATGGGGTTGTTGGATGTCAGAAAATCGTCTACTGCATCATCGAACCATTCAACCAACTTCTCCATGGTAAAATCCCAAATAAACTTGCCACTAGTAGTCAAAGATGAACATTCAAGATTCTTAAAAGAAAGTTCCTGACAACAACGTAGAGGAAACTTCAACACTTGATCACAAAACATATGTTTATTATTACTAGAATGAAGATTGTGATTGACCGGCTTTGTTTTGTAAAATTATTAGCCTTATTGGTTAGTTTTTCCTAAAACACGAAGTCGCTAACTACTGGTACTGTTTAATCACCTGATAAAAAAGGGTATCATTTAGCTGAAATTGATACTCCTAGTATCATTTCTTGTTTTTATAATTAGTTATATTAATACAAGTACATGTTAAATATAATTCTTTTTAGATGATTAAGCCAATTCAACCATTTCAGCAGATTCAACCACTTAAACCATTCCAAATCTTACCAAATGATTTCAAACTGAGAGTAGAAAATGATTGTGCTAATTTCATCACCTCCAAAACATGATCCACATACGCCTCAGCATTACATCTATCACAACAGCAACGGAATCGGTACTTCAACCACAGCTCAGATTGTCTCATCCCCTAGAAACACATCAAAATTCAAGTTCCACTTTAGAGGTAGATGAATCTAAAATGAATACAAAAAAACGGTCCAAACTCCAAAGAAGCATCAAATAAGGAAGTTATTAGCATGGATTATAGGGAATCACACCTTACTACCTTAGGCTGTAACAAGTCTGTGTAGGTTATAAGCACCTCTTCTCCTTTCTTGATATGCTTTATGCTGCGAACAATCAATCTCGGGCCACATTCTTCCTCACTTCCTGCAAAAACAATACCCAAATTCACCATCATCATCATCGTCATCAAAATAAAGTTATGCTAGGAAATGGTTAGCATTCTTCTGAGACTGAAGTGCCAGTGAGTAATGACAAAAGGTTACCCAGTGATGATAAGAATTCAAGATTAAAACTAGTGTTGATAGGTTCACTTCCATTTCCACCTTCACCATCTGTGTACCTTGGATGCATAAGCCAAGGCATGGCGGAGATGGTGCCAGGAATTGTTGAAAACCTGTAAGAACAATTGGGAGAGCAGCCATGGTTGATCCAAGAGAAGCTCTGACCATAAACAGCCACTCCAACGCTGCACCCTGCACTGTCCTGCACCTCCACGGCGTTAGTTAGCACCAAGCAAAGCACAGCCTCCTCTAAATCGCAGGCTCCAGCAAAAGGCAACTCCGAATTTAGTAGCATCCTCCTTGCAGCTGCCATAGCTCTGGCGCCTTCTTTGATTTTCTCAAACACCTCGTGGGCGACCGAATCCTCACGACTCTCCGGCATCATCAACAATTCCGCGCGATTGGTCATCAAACCTCCGATCCTGTCCAAAATGCCGTCGTTTTCTGAAACTAGTCCAAGAATATGAAATCGGCTGAGGAGACGGAGGGAGAGGCAGAGGTCGGAGGTGTCGGGGATCGCAGAGGAGTGGCGGAGGAGGTGGAATTCGGCGGAAGAGAAGTGGATGGGAGAGTCGAGAGAGGAGCAGCGAGGGGAGCAGTAGCGAAGGAAGGAGGCAGGGACATGGTGAGTGGTAGGGGAGAAGGTTGGGGCGGGAGGGAGGAGGGAGAAGCAGGCGGAGCAGTGAGAGGACCGGCGGGAATCGTGGAGGGCGGCGGCGATGGGCGGTATCGGAGGAGTGAGGTCTTGACCTATGGCTACGTCTTCCACTGCTCTCATCTCCATTTCCGTGGCTTCCGCTCCTTTTCCACTTGCTCTCATTTGTTTTTTTTTTGTGAAATTTGTTGAATAAGACTAAAACATAGTCATTTTAAACTGTTCGGAGTGCTTAGAACAAACTGTTTATCTATCTTTGTCCTTTAATTTTTAGATTGAATAAAATACGGAGTAGAACGGATTCAATTGTCCTATTTTGTCATTATCCAAAATTTGATATAAAAATATAAAATACATAAGGAAAAGACAATTCACTTTGACTTGCATAGTAATGAAAAATGATATATTTATTTAAAAGGATTTTAAAAGACAAGGAAACATGAAAAATGTTACAACATACGTTAAACGTCAAGACTATAAGCTTCTTTTTAACTAAGAGCTACAAATTGGGGTGGGAGGGTTAGAACGGTTTGGATATTTTGATGTTCTCGTCTTAGTTTATTTTTTAAAAATATTTGAATATGGATATTTTTTGATTTTCTCAAACAGAAAGTATTGGACCGGATGCGATTTGTAGAAGATGTAAATTTGGGATGGCAACCCAAAAAGGGAGTATTTGACTCTCTTCGTCCCCTAAGCCCTGTTCCGATAAACTTATTTTTTCTGTTTTTTTTAATTTTTATTAAAATCAGATTAGATCAGATCTAATCAAATTAGAGCAGATCTAATAACATCAGATCAGATCATATTAGATTCAAAAAGATCAGATCAGATCCAATCAGATCACACCAGATCAGATCATATCCAATCAAGAACTATTATTATTATTATTATTAGGAATTATTATTATTATTATCATTATCAATATCGTTATTACTCCATACTTTTAAAATTCCAGACTTTTTAATTGTATCACTTGATACGATTCTTTCAAAAAATAAATTTAATTTCTCTTGAAAAAATATAAGAAGAAATAAAATGAAACTTTTGTGCGATTTTAATTTATGTAGAGAAAAATAAAATAATATGAAACACAACTTTTTTCTTAAAAATGAAAAAGAATAAACTTTAGAAACAAGTTAAATAGAAAAATGAGAAAGTAATCCTTAATTATTATATGTCATAAAAATTATTTTTAAAATACATTGACAATGTCAATCTAATTCTACTTTTAAAATACATTTTTATTGATACCTGTAATTTGAGTTTCTAAAGTGATTACATTATAAAATACGAATGAAAAAATATTATTACATTATATTATTACATTATAATATGAATGATTATTGTAATATATGAATTAACTAATTTTGTTTAATTAAAAAATAATCATAAAACCAGATTAGATCGAATCATATCAATTTCAATTAGATTAGATCAGATCTAATTACATCAGATCCAATCAGAATAGACCAGATCTGATCCAATCAAGTCAAATCAAATCAGAAATAGAGAAAATCAGATCAGATCGTCCTAGTTTATTTTTTTTAAAGTATTCGAATATGAATATCTTTTGCTTTTCTCAAATGGGGAGCATTTCATTATTATAAATGACATTAATTAAACTTGGCAACAATGCTCTCGTGCAATGTGTCCATGTGCAAGCCACTCCTGTCAATCATTCATTACTCATTATATGATAAATTGATGATTTTATAAAAACAATCACTTATTTTCTGTATCGTTATATTCAAAAAATAATACATACCATATTGCTCTTATTCGATTGAAGTCCTCTTGCCGTGTATCGAAAATATTATGTTGTGCAACAGATGGACGAACTCTATGGTTAGGTAGTAGACGCCCAATCATGTGATAGGTTCGGCCGCCTATTTTGAATATTGGGGTAGCTCTTCCGTTATTTTCATCTCTATTGAGTCGTTGAAGGAAAACATACAATTATATGATCGAATATTTTTCTCAAAGTGTTTGTTTTCATTACTATGCAAAATTCCATTTTAGATAAAAATAATATAGGCAACAGATGATTATCAATAATCCTAATATTCATTTATTTGCAAAAAACAAGTATTTTTCTTAAAATTTTGTTAAGTGGCCATTAGTAACGGCAATCCAAATCTCACACACATGCGAAAATGTAAGATAACATCCAGTGAGAATAAAAAGTGAGATTATTTTGGTAATAACACAAAAATGTAGAATTATTTGAGATAATTTTTACTTATTCTATTAGACAAACTTGATAAAATTTGACAAAAAAAATTAATCCAATTAATTAATAAGTTTAGTAGACTTATTGTATCAAATATTGTCAAAATATGTTTGATATAATTAATACACAATACTTCAACTTTTTCAAAAGAGATACTCCGTAGTATATCTATTTAAAGCCCAGCAAACCGGCCTAAATGGAAAGAAATCGGCCCAAACATTTCCCGTGGCCCATTTTATATTGTATATACTACTCTTTCATCCCATTAACTAAACCCTACCTCTCACTTCACATTTCCGCCACTTCTTCTTCGTCTCATTCTCTGCATACGGAATTAGGGATCTAATGCTAATACCCAAACGGCCAAACCAGCAGTCCATCTATTCATCCACACATCTCCGGATCTCGCGATAGCCGATTAGCTTCTTCGATCCTTACAGTCGATCGGTAGCCTCTCCCTCTCTGGACGGACCGACGGACTTCCGACCTCAGCAAAAAGAAGCCACCACAGCAACTTCTAGGGGGTAAAGATACACCCAAAATCAAATAAGATTAGAAGGGCAATTTGCTTCAGATGGGAACAATTCAGAAATGTGACAAGGGGATTAGATTCATATTGCCACTTCATTTGTGTTCTTAGTCATGCCTTGCTATTTCTTACTCACTCAGTTATTCTTGCACGTTTGTTAAGGTTGTTTTACAAAAAACGCACTTTTATCACATTCTTCTTGTTTCTACTTTCCAGACGCTAGAGTTCTGGAGGGAGGCTAATATTCTTTCAAAGCTTCATCACCCAAATGTGGCAGCATTTTACAGTGTAGTACATGATGGAATAGGTGGAACTCTTGCTACTGTAACTGAGTATATGGTGGATGGCTCTCTAAGGGATGTTCTAATTTGCAAAGATAGGTACAATTACATCACCTATGCTTGATGTCCTCAGTCTACAATGTAGTCTTTCTTATTGGGATCTCCAGAGAGCAAACACACACTGAAAGTGCAAGCCTGAATTGGTGTAGAGTTGTCAATTGTTGCTACTTTTTGAAGTGCTTGCTGTTTTACACTCTTATCCAATCAGTGTTATTTATTAACTTCTATTGTTGCATTCGGCTTCTGCAGGCATCTTTATCCGCGAAAATGGATCATTGTAGCCATGGATGCGGCATTTGGGATGGAATACTTACATTCAAAAAACATTGTGCATTTTGATCTGAAATGTGACATCTTGCTGGTAAATTTGAAGGATCCTTCACGACCAATATGCAAGGTCGTATTGATGAGCTTTTAAAACTGATTACATGTGATGTGCTATTATCCCTCGGAAAAATTTCTTCTCCCTACTACTCCCTCTGTCGCATGATTTTTATTGGCATGACTTTTTCAGAGATTTAGAAAAGTGTTGAAAAATGCAAAAAGTCTGGTTGAAATCTGTTTAGATAGAGAGAACTTTTTTGAGCCAAATACATCTTATTCTGATACAAATATTCTTCGGAGTTTTCTAATTTCAAATTCCCCAATAAACTAAGTTTTGAATGACTGTTACAATAGGTTGGTGATTTTGGGCTGTTTAGGATAAAACAGAACACCCTGGTGTCTGGCGGAGTAAGGGGGACACTCCCGTGGATGACTCCTGAACTACTAAATGGCAGCAGCAACAAAGTCTCTGAGAAGGTAAGCTCTAATGGCCGACCCGGTAAATTTCAAGGTGCATAAGCATGCCCCTCTCTAAATACATTTCTGAAGATGAAGGTTTTAACTTTCGTCAAAGTCTGAATCATCATTAGGAGGCCATCACTTTTTTTTTGAATATGAAAATATGCAAATGCTTTACTGTCATTCATGATCTGTCCTACAATCCTTTCTAGTCTAGTGTGGTCTAGGTTGAATCTTTCCAACCCAACCCATTGCCAAGTTTGAGATTGTATGGGGGTGTGTTTGTAGAAATAAAATTATTAGTGCTGCAAATTGAATTTTGTTTTAAGACAAATACTTGATTTTGTTTCCTGAAACAACAGAATAATCTTGAAAACCAGGTGAGGTTCAACTTGATACCTGACCATGTTGATCCTAGTGGAATGTGGAAGAATTGCAAGAGGGGTTTAGCTACATGCCAACCTCAGCAGCTCAACACCATACAAGGGAAAGTGCCCGATGCAATTACGATTTTTTTAAAAATTTTTTTAGAAAATTAGAACACCAAAGGCATCGGTTGTAGCTAAACAACTGATGCCAATACCTCCTTTTATTAATATTTAAAAAACAAGTATAGCAAAGGCATCAGTTGTTCAGAAACAATCGATGCTTATACTCTTTTTTTAATTAATAGAATAGCAAAGGGGCATCAGTTGTTTAGAAACAACCGATGCTAATACTCTTTTTTTTAATTAATAAATATTAAAGGCATCGGTTGTTTAGAAACAACCGATGCTAATACTCTTTTTTTAATTAATAAAGTAGCAAAAGCATCAGTTGTTTTCAAAGCGATGCAATTGAATTGAGCCAATTGCATCGCTTGTATTTGCATCGGTACAAAACTGATGCTAAAGGTACAAAACAACAAATGCCTTTGCCCTGGTATGTACTAGTAATGAAAAGCGAATATGAAATTGTTTTGTGAAATGAAGTAAACAAAGTAAGCATTACTTATAAATTCAAACTTATAAAAGTGGAGATGACAAATGTACAGTAAAACAATACCTTTGAATGTATTATTAAAAACACTTCTTATATAGTATTATGTTATTTAGTTTTTCTATGTTAACTGGTATTACTCTCTGGGAATATTGTATTAAAATTCAAAGTCCACTTATTTAAACACTATAAGTGTTTGATTTATGTGTGACAATTACATTATATTATTCTAAATTTTATTGCTTCTTTTTGCATAGTGTAGGCATCAAACAGAAATGGAACCGGAGAAGAATCTGGAGGTGCATCATACAGAACATTAACCGGAGAAGAATCTGTAGGCGAATGAGGTAACTTAAAAACTCTCTTCTAACTTTAAATACGTATATATATGTACTTGTATAGTCGAATGTGGCCGAATTTTATAAAAATCTTATAATTGTAAGATGTTACCAGTATTACTGAAAAGATGTCACTAATACTAATAACTAAACTTGTTTTAGCATGGATCCAATTCTTGCAGATCCTCATTCTTTTGAGGGTATAAGATTTTTCCGATAATTAAAAATTATAACTGAACTTGTTTCTCGCGCATATCTGATTCCTGTATATATACTAGTACTTTTGACCATATAAGATGTCACCAGTACTGATAATTAAAACTTATACATCAGTCGTATATTACTAACTAAATAGTTTTAATCATATAAATTATAATTTTATCTTTTTTAAACTCCACGTAAAATCAAATTGTGAAAATTATTTTGAGACAAATTAAAAAAGTATATGTTTTTACACTATTAAAAAAATTGATTGGCCAGTATCCTCTGTAGGGTGGGCATCCAACTCCCCTGGCCTTAATGATAGAAGGCTTGGGCAAAACTTTTTCCTTGTTAGTTTCGTAATTATTGGAATTTCTTAGAAGCTGCAAATAGACAGTGAAGAGTTAGAGCATCACCGCGTGAGTTATATTCGATATTCATTTTCTTTCAATCTACTCATTTAAACTACTTTTACATATTTTATTTCATAGTAGGTTCAAGAAAAAAACATTAATTTGATATCAAGACACATGTTATTCTTAGTAACTTGACTATAAGTTTGTTATTAGCAATTACTTATTTTATATTGAAATTAGTCACTGTCTTCTACGGCTGCCTTGTCTCGAGAGCCGTCCACACAGGCTCGACTGCAGCCCAAGTATCACAGTTGCAGCAGGGTGCAGGATTCACCTCTCTACACTCGTTCGTCTCAATTCCTCTCTATGTCTTCAGCCGCCGCCGCCTTCGGTGTTTGGCTACTTGCCGTACTACTTCCTGTAGGTTCTATAGCTGTTTTCACCCTACTATGTGACAGGTTGGGGCCATACGCTTTCCCAGTTGGCTTGCGGCCCCAGCCCGTGCCGAGCTTGCAGCACCTGCCCATGAGGAGCTTGCCGGCATATGTGTTTAGACAGACACCATCTGGATCGGCTGAGCCCCATGTTTTTGGCGGCCTTATGTAGTCGGAGTCTTTGACTCCGGCAACATATGCACTTACTCTCACGGTAAGCCTGATTTTAAATTTATTGTAATATTCTTAATAATTGTTTCTATGTTACTATAAATACACAATTCTTTTACAAAAGAGATAAATGAATCATTTAATATTTGTGTCCAAGCGTATTTGTCCAGTTTGTCTTTTTTGAGTTAAATTGGATAAACTTTGAACTTAAATTAAATAAATCTGTAATGTATTTTAATATTAAAATAAATTTATTAAATTTATCATATTGAGTATTTTTAAAATTATATTTCATTATAATAATACGTAATATTATATGAAAGTAATTTACCCTTACTGAGACAGAGGTAGTATAATATACTACATTTAAGTTTTAAAGATACATTTTAATTACCCTTTCATGTGATAAATTGTTTTGCAGAACATGAAAGCGTTTGATGCACAATATGACATACAGGCTAGTATCAAGACTAGGCTGGGCGACCTGGACCAGTATAAAATATATTGGTTCAGGTTGAAACACAATGCACCAGTTGGGAGAAAAATCACACTTGATCCTCAGGTATCAAAATCTGAAATTTTTACTTTGATTTTTGTTGCTAAAAAATAGTACCTAAGGAATTTGATTAACTTATAATCCAACATACAGAGTACTCCATATATAATAACGCAAATAATGTCTAGAGTCTAAACAAGTTATTGGCACCTCACATCTACTTAATTTTTTTTCAAATGGACAATATAATAATATCATTTTTATCTGAATCTTAAGAGTTAGAAAATTCAATTGAAAATGATTTTATTATATTGTCCATTTGAAAAGAATTAAGTAGATGTGAGGTACCAATAACTTGTTTAGACTCTAGACATTATTAGCCTTATTATATATGGAGTACTTCGTACATTGGATTTTAATTTAATTTGATTCCTTCATTCAGGTACTATTTTTTAGCAATAAAAATCAAAGTAAAAGTTAAAGATTTTGATACATCAGGATCGAATGTGATTCCTCTCCGAACCAATGTATTTTATACTAGTCCAGGTCGCCCAGGCTAGTCTTGATACTAGCCTTTATGCCATATTGTGCATCCAACGCTTTTATGTTCTGCAAAATAATTTATCACATTCAACATGAAAGGGTAATTAAAATGTACTTCTAAAACTTAAATGTAGTATATTATACTACCTCTTTTCAACAAGGGTATATTATTTTCAGTTTATATACGTATTAGTAAAAAAAATATAATTTTGAAAGTACTTAATATGATAAATTTAATAAATTCATTTTAATGTTAAAATACATTACATATGTATTTAATTTAACCTAAAAGCTTATCCAGTTTGACTCGAAAAAGACAAACTGAATAAATACGTTCAGGTATGAATATTAAAAGATTCATTTATCTTATTTATAAAATAATTGCGTACTCATAGTAATCTAAAAGAAATTATTTAGAATAGTGCATTAAATTTTAAATCACGTTTACCGTGATAGTAAGTGCATATGTTGTCGGAGTCAAAGACTCCGGCAACATAAAGCCGCCAATAACATGGGGCTTAGCCGATCTGGATGGTGTTTGTCGAAACACATATGGCGGCAAACTCGTCATGGGCGAGGGCTGTAAGCTCGGCACGGGCTGGGGCTGCAAGCTCAGCATGGGCTGGGAACGCGTATGGCCCGAAGCCCGTCACATAGTAGGGAGAAAGCGGTTGTGGAACCCATGAAGTAGTATGGTAGGTAGCCAAACACCGGAGGCGGCAGCTGGAAGAACTGAGACGAATGGGCGTGGATAGGCGAACCCTGCAACTATGGGTGCACCTGACACTCGGGTTGCAGTGGAGCCTGTGTGGGCGGCTCTCGAGTCAAGGTTGCCGTAGAAGACGGTGCCTAATTTCAAAATAAAATAAGTAATTGCTAACGAACTTATGGTCAAGTTACTAAGAATAACATGTGTGTTGATATCCAACTAATGTTTTTTTCTTGAACCTACTGTGAAATAAAATATGTACAATTATATTCCAAATGTGTAGATTGATAGAGAATGAATATCAGATATCACTCACGTAGTGATGCTGTAACTTCTCACTTTCTATTTATAGCTTCTAACAAATTCCATTAATTACGAAACTAACAAAGAAAAAGTTTTGTTCAAGTCTTCCATCATTGAGGTCAGGGGTCGATGCCCACCTTACAGATGATACTGGCCAGTCAACTTTTTTAATAGAGTGTAAAAAACACTCTTTTAATTTGTTTCAAAATAATTTTCACAATTTGATTTTACGTGAAGTTTAAAAAAATAAAATTATAATTTATATGATTTAAATTGTCTAGTTAGTAATATACGGCTGTCGTATAAGTTTTAATTATGGTGATATATTATATGGTCAAAAGTATTAGTATAGATACAGGAATCAGATATGCGCGAGAAAAAAGTTTTGTTATAACTTTTAAGTATCGGAAACATCTTATATTCTCAAAAGAATTAGTATATGCAGGAACTGGATCCATGGTAAAACAAGTTTAGTTATTAGTATTAGTGACATCTTATACAGTTAAAAGTATTAGTATCTTTAGAAATTGGATCCGTTAACAAGTTCAGTCTTCATTAGTATTGGAAACATCTTATACAGTCAAAAGTATGAGAATCCGAAGGAATTGGATCTGTGCGAGTAACAAGTTCACTTACTTGTACCGGTAACATCTTATACGATCAAAAGTATGAGTATTTAGAGAAATCAAATCTATGCATGCGAGTACGAAATTCAGTTATCCATTCCGATAAGATCTTATACAGTTGAAAGCATGAGTAAGGAATTGGATTCGTGTGAGAAACAAGTTCGTTTATCAGTAATACTGGTAACATCTTACAGTTTTAAGATTTTTATAAAATTCAGCCACATTCGACTATACGGGTACATATACATACGTATTTTAAGTTAGAAGAGAGTTTCTAAGTTACCTCATTTGCTTACAGATTCTTCTCTGGTTCCAATTCTGTCTGATGCGCCTCCAGCTTCTTCTCCGTTTCCATTTTGTCTGATGCGCCTCCAGATTCTTCTCCGTTTCCATTTTGTCTGATGCGCCTCCAGATTCTTCTCCGGTTCCATTTCTGTTTGATGCCTACTTGGCTACACTATGCAAAAAGAAGCAATAAAGTTTAGAATAATATAATGTAATCGTTACACATAAATCAACACTAATAGTGTTTAAATTAGTGGACTTTGAATTTTAATACAATATTCCCAGAGAGTAATACTAGTTAACATAGAAAAACTAGATAACATAATATTATAAAAAAGTGTTTTGAATAATACATTCAAAGGTATTGTTTTACTGTACATTTGTCATCTCCACTTTTATAAGTTTGAATTTATAAGTAATGCTTACTTTGTTTACTTCATTTCACAAAACAATGAAGGTCAAGTAAAAATATTTACCTATTTACAAAAGCAGCATGAAAATATTCCCGCCCAAACAATTGCTGAAAAGGTCAGGTGGAATGTGCTCTTTCAACTGCCCACTTACCCCTAATCTACCTCTATCCATCTACAACAGAGTATTATTATTATTTCTCAACCGCTCTCTTTTCTCAATCCTTTGCCTCTCTGCATCTGAAACCTCCTCCATAGCGTTTACCCCTAACATCTTCTTCCGTTCCTATCGCTCATATTTGCCGCTGCAATTGAAGGCCAATGGTTCATTGGTCGAAGCCAATGGATATTTCTATCGCCATTCTCCTAGCGCTAACCTAACCAGAGAATGAGAAAGAGTCGAATTCAGAAAGTGGGTAATAATCTTTTGTTCTTTCTATTTTAATTTCTTTATAGTTGTAATATGATTCGGAGATTTTTGGTTAGATGTTCATGGTTTCCAGTGACAATTGGTGAAGCTGGCTTCTTTGGCTAACGGGATGATGAAGTGATCAGATTCAGGTGTCATCTTCTAAACATATGTGAAATCATCTTATTTAGTTATTTTAGGCTAAATTCCTATAAAATTTATTAGGTTAGAAAAATAATATGCCTATTGCTACATGCAGACAACAAACTAAAATGTTTCTTTTGCTTTAAATGTGATGGGATTTTTCAGCATCCCCAAAGGCCTATTTCATATTGCAAATTAAAGCTGGAGAAGAAAGTTCAAGCTGAGGTGAGATAATATACTTTTTTAAGAGATATGTTTTCCTGTATGTAATCAATGGACGTGAACATTAGCCTTTGCAAATCGTAGGCATATATGGAGTATATGCTTACCCAAATTGCATATCGTACTTTGATTCTCAATATTGCATGAATTCTTATTCTTTTAAAGTTGATGCCGATGCAAGAAAGGTTTAATTTCTAGGTTTATCACGTTATTATATTTTAAAACTTTTGGCTTAAAATAGTTTTTTCATGTTATTTATAAATACTTATGACTTACTTCCTCTCAAACCAGATTTAATAGAATGTAAATATACTATTTTATCTGATGTGTTCATTGCAAAATAGACAAAGAAATTATTACTGATAGATAAAGCTATTTAAATGCCTATCCATATCCTAAAAATAGAGACATCAGAAAGCAACTATTGTTTCAACATCTATACTTCATAAACTTCTACAACATTAAGATGGTAAGCTTATTGTTGTTTGATTTGTTAAACATTTTAGTCGTGATTTTAGAATATGAATATGAGGAAAGAGTCATTAAAACATTTTAAGAATCTTTCCTTGATAGTGTCATGCGCCTTAGTGAAAATAATGTAGTTGTATATGGAACTCTAGAATGCAGCTAATGCTTATTTTTGTTTTGCTTGAGAGTGCTGAGCACATAGTTTTTTGTGTAATTATGCACCTTAGTGAAATTATATGGTGCATCCAATTTTGTATATATGTCAAATCATATTCAGGTAATTATATGACTCTTAGGTGACCTAAGGTGGTTCATTTATTTTCTGAATTTTAACCTATATAATTGTTTCTACTATAACTTTTAATGGCTTTTAGTCTGTTTGATCAATATTTATGATAGCTGGAAGACAAGATGTGTTTTTTATTCCCAAGCAAGAGAAATGATTGATGCAATGCGGGTACTATGGTCCTATGCATTTTGTGTTTTCTCTCCAAGAGGAGAAACTTATGCATCAGGATCAGAAAATGGAACAATAAAGATATGCCAGACATGTCCTCATGATCTAAATATGGTAGTAACTTATGTTAACTGAGTAATTGTACTCGTAATCTTCTTCAACTCTTTTTACAATGGCTAGAGAGCTGGGGTTGGTTTGGGTTCATTTTGATTTGAGACTCTAAGAGTTGGAATATACTAACACTATGTTTGGTTTAAGAAATTTGAAATAAAAAATAAGAGGAAAAATAATTTTCATGTTTGGTTAGAGAGGAAAAGAAAAGAAAACTACAATGAAAGGAAAATAAGGAGTTAAAATGTTCTAAGGGAAATGAAAACCAAATTCCTTACATTTTGGTAAGGGAAATGGAGAAAATCATTTTACTTTCTTTTTTTAAAATTCTTTGAACCAATAATAGAGTAAGGGTAATGTTGCATAGAAATGCTTGCATTCTGTATCTGGTCTTTCTTTCATCTTTACATAAGAACATATTATGGATTTCAGTAAAAAAATGTGGCCTATTTCTTAGGCTGCCAGTTACCGCATTTGTGTACTTGATCTGTTAAGTGAGGAATACAATGTTGGAACTACATTAGGCCTTGCACTCTATCCAATAATATATTAGATCAATTTGAGTTTTTTTTATTAAGAAAACATGTATCCAATTTGTTTATCATTTACTATAAATCATTCGCAGAATCTTATGTCCAATGGTGTAGAATTCAACGTGTAGGATTTGAGAATATTTCTTAATGAACATGTGAAGAATAATTTATTAGCATAGCGAATTATATCCACTCATTTTGATTATTTGTTATAGCTATTTTGAAGTGCCTGCTTTTTACATTCTCATTGAACTATTGTCGTTTATTAATTTTTATTGTTGCGTTTGGTTTGTGCAGGAATCTTGATTGGAGCAAATGAATCATTATAGCCATGGATGCAACATTTGGGATAGAATACTTGAATAAAAAAAATCATGCTGAACATTGTCCAGGGACATTTTAGAAAATAATCTTTTACAAATAATCTACTTCTTCCTACAAAAAGATTTTCACTTTTAAGGATAAATTCATTTTATACTTACTACTACCCCGTCCCTGAGTATTTTTGTCTAGTTTTGATTTTTTTCAGTTAACTATTTCAATCTTTGACATATAATTAAATAAAATATATATTATGGAGTATATTTTAATTAAATAAAATAATATTTTGAAAATATTTGATATAGTGAATCTAATAAAACTCTTTTTGTATCAATATCTAATATTATTTTTATTTAATTTGAAGTCAAATTTTACCAATTTAGACCGAAAAAGGTCAAAAGTGGACAAATACTAAAGAACAATGAGAATAATTTTTACCCAATATACTCCCTCCGTCTAGGGGTGGACACGGTACTGACCGGCAACGGTACCGCCGGTACCTAATAATAATAATAATAATAATAATAATAATAATAATAATAATAATAATAATAATAATAATAATAATAATAATAATAATAATAATAATAATAATAATAATAATAATAATCATCATCATCATCATCATCATGTCCCTAAATATAGTAAAATATTATGCATGGTAAATATATTCCTACATACTCCGTAATATAGAGTATTTATATTTCCATACATAAAATTATATTAGAATGACATAATGAAGGGAATGCACTTACGCACACAACATTTTCATGTACTCCGTAAACACAAAAAATAATGAAAGCACACAATTTTCCATTTATAATGGAAAGTCAATGGGCAGGAAAGTTGGTCAAAATTTCCCTGTTTTTAAATAAGTATAGATAATTATAATTATTATGTACGGAGTATTAATTATAAAAATATAATTAGATGTGGAAAAGAGGATACGAGACTTTTAAGAGCTTAAATTAACAAGATTCCATAGGACCTGGCCAAGATTCCATAGGAGCTTAAAATAAATCTACTTTTAATTTATTTGCGAAAAACACGCATTTTTAAAAAGTTTTGTTAATTGAACTGTTAGCTTTTTGACAATGGCCCAAAATTGGGAGATTATATGTTTTACAAAGGAAAAAAGATACAATGAAAATTGTTAAAAGAAAAAAATTAAATTTTGACAATATGAATAATAAATATGAATATATGATTTGTTTTTGGAATGTAGCTTTAAAAATAAAGAAAAATACTTCGGTGAATTAACACATCAAATAATTGAAGCTGCATGCAATCCATGAGGGTAACGTCAAGTGTCTTGTGCAATTTGCTGACTCTAATGTAGTGATATTTTTTTTTTGAGCTCCAAAATTTTCTTCATTTTTTTCTCTGTTGTCCTAATTTTTTTAATCTTTTCTTCGATCTATATATTTTTTATGGCTTGTTTTGTTTTTCTATTTTCCAAATAAAATATAATTACATAGATTTATCTCCCTAAAAAACATATATTTACCAGAGTATTTGCTTAATAGGTGTGCAAGGTTAAAAGGGAAAGAATATTTTAGGAGGGTAGTCAATTTAAGGTACAAATCACACCACAGTTCTTTTGAAAATTAAACTTGTTTCTAAAACAAACAAACAAAAATAGTCTATTTATCTTTAATTTAATTTTTCAAGTGTTAAAAAACTACTCTGGGGTATCTTATAAAAACAGAGCGTTTATACAGAATTACTGGTGGGATGTCAAGAATAAGAAGGACAATTTATGGGTGAAATGGATACATGAACGATATATGAAAATGGAGATGGAGAGTTATTAGCTAAAGGGTGATAGCTGTTACTATTGGAAGAAAATCGTGCAAAACAGAAAATGGTTTGTCAATATGGAGATCAATAAGGAATATACAACAGAGGATGGATACACATGACTATTGGGGGAGAAAACTAAATCATCCTGGACCCCTTTCATATGGAATAAATTGACAGCTCCAAAACACCAATTCCTACTTTGGCTAATATGGAAAGGAAGATTGAAGACCAAGGATAGACTAAGCAGGTATATTGACATAAATCAAGTATGCCCACTATGCAGAATTGAGGAAGAAAACCACAACCACCTCTTTTGCAATTGCCCTTTCACTACCAAACTGATGGGGAAAATATCAGAAGGAATTGGCTTCACAATCAAAGGGGAGAGTGTAGAAGAAATTAAAAACAGACTCATGATTCTTAAAGGGAGGAAAAGGAAGGAATGCGTAAGTGCTTATGCTGCTACATGTTATTGGATCTGGAAGACAAGAAACAAAATCGTTCATTCACAGCCTGTGATGCAAGAGGAGGACATTCATATGCAGATTCGCAAATGTATAGAAACCTACTGGAGGAGAAAGTAATGAGGGCAGATTAGCATATATCAGTTACCAATTTATATGTTTTGGTGTTTGAGGTCTGTAAACAAATGGTTACTGATTTTGATTTAAATAAAATGTGCATTCAGTTCAAAAAAAATAACAATAATAATAATAATCATGTTTATGTCCCTAAATATAGTAAAATATTACGTATGTATGGTAAATATGTTCCTACATACTCCGTGATATAGAGTATTTATATTTCCATACATAAAATTGTATTATAATGACACAATGAAGGAAGGGAACGCACTTAAGCACACAACATTGTCATATACGTAACACACAAAAAATAATGAAAGCACACAGTTTTTCACCATCATCATACTTGAGAAAGGTTGGAAATTAGTACATAAATAATGCTAGTTAAGCAAGCCGATTTCAAGAAAATAAAACCTTAAGAGCTTAAATTAAAACGTTCCATAGGACCTGGCCAAGCACACATCGTCCTCCCCTGGGATCTCAACTCGTCAAGGACATTTTGACGCAGCTCAGATTTATCAAACTCGAGACCTTTGGGTCCAAAAAACCACAAACGGCTCAATGCTTCCAATGAACAAACCCGGCCATCTGTTCCGAATGCAACGATGGCATTGTTTTGCAAACCCCCTTTGAAAAGTTCCTCCTCCAGCCATGTCGAGTGCCGAGGGTCAAAGGGGCACACGTACCAAAAAGGAGCAGTTTCAGATACTAACAAATCAGCCTCATCTCCCATTACAGGATAGTCGTGTCGGCGTACGAGGACCAGCTGGACATCAGGATTAAGATACTGCTTGATCTCAAAGTACCATTGTTTCACTTGAAAAGAAAGGCCAAAGTCACCAAGATTGTCAAGGTAAAGAAGAGTTTTCTTTCCTGTGAGTTCACTCACAGGTATCTTCTTCTTGTCTTTATAAACATGTTTCCTTGGCCCATACTCCAACAATGTCTCCAAGGTGAGCTCCTCGAACTTCTTCATTTTCATTTCAATAATGCCGTCCCTGCCAAACGGATACGCATCAATCCCACACACGCTCATGAATTCTGCTCCGTGAGGTTCGACAAATGCACCGTGCGGTCCCACGATGATGATATGATCTGTGTGGTTCCATTCTGTACATCGCCTGAACCTGCAGCTTACAGAGCTGTTGAAGCGCTTGTTTTGCCCGTCAAAACATGGGGGAAACCAACACCACGATATGTTCCACTCCAGCAACACACTCTCGATATTTGCTATGTGGACCTCTGGGTCAAGACTATCAGCAATCCAGGGTACATAGACCAGCACTATTTCAAAATCTAGCCCTTGAGCTCTGCATTGTTGATAGACCTTCCCTAGAGTGGGAATGAGATGTCCTCTAATGCATGCGTACACCCCGACAACCTTACTGCTGAGTTCCAAGATAGTCACCTTCTCATGGACGCCTGGCGAAACAGTCTTATTAAGAACATCAGACGGACTGCACCCTAAGAGATCTTCAAGCTTGGATGGTAGAATATGACCATCATCCCCCCACAGGTGGTCGTTTGCGCTAACCTCCTGCAATTTCTTGTCAGTGAAGGGAAACGCATCGGCACCATGGTCAAGGGCAAAGTAGGGATATTCACAATACAAAATGTTTCTCTTGATATCCGTATCCTTGTCTAAAATGAGACATTTTATATCATCACATTCAGATGCTCGAGGTCAAGGTATTTGCATATAAAATCACGGTGCTCTGAGTGCTGGAATGGTACCACTAGACATGAAGGGGGGAATCCCGACATGAAATGATCGAAAAACACCTCGTGATTTGCCAATTGGTTCATCTTAGCAACTACTACCATCTCAAAGTCACTTCTCGAGGAATACAGCTCGGAGCATGCAGTTGCTAAAGCCTGGGCACGGCGTGCATTAAACTCTTGGCGGAAGACAGGCAAGTGAAAACAACAGACCAGAATGTATTTTCCACTAAATGTCTGCTTACCAATTTCAACTCTCCCGGTCTTACCATCATTACGAAAAAGGTAATTCATATCATCCTTACCAGACAAAAAGGAGATAGCATCAAAAGACTGACCAATCTTGATGGGAGACAACTTTTTTGATTCAGAAACCATCTCATTGATATGATCTCCATATTCAAGTTTCAGACCCATCAATTTATAGGCTATAGGACATGCTTGTAAAGGTGGGAAGGGATTGTTCTGCTCTTTGGGAATCACAGGCCATAGTGTTTTTAAAATCCTCTCATAAGAGCGCAGGCAGTCGAATGAACTCTCTTTCTTGAGTTTCTGAAGATGCCCTATTAGATGCAACATGGAGTCAAAACCTCCATGGACCAGAATGCCCTTCTTGACATTCACAAGGACGCACTTAAAAGTACCCGGATAAACCAAGCCGAGGCAGTCACACATGAAGTTACGACGATGTGACTCCTTGGCTGGTACAACAAGAGAGTAAGTGGGAACAAAAGAGAAGAATGCTTTCAAACATAAGTCACATTTGTCTTCTACACCGGGCTTTGGAACAAATACCATCTCAAAATTGTCTCGGACAGAATACAGATCAGCACATAGCTTAAAGAGATCCATAGGGGAGTACATTTGCTTCACATCGACTGGAGGAAGTTGATAGAAGAAACAGTAAAAGAGGATGTATTTGCCAGAAACCGTTTCCTGGTCAAATTTCACCTTCTCCCCAAAAGTTCGAAGAAGGTAATCCATCTTACAGATGCAGGACAACAAGGGCATTTTGTCAAAGTTTACTTGCTCCTCACCAGTTTTCAGTTTCTTTGATGGATACCCTGACATGCCATTCATCCCAAGAGACTCTGAATCAACACCATCGATCCCTGAAGACCCTAAATCAAGATCCATTCCTTCATGGAATTCCATATTGTAGGAAAATCAAAATCAAGCCTGTTTTCAATAGATTCCAAGAAATTGCAGGTTTTTAAATGCAAAAAAGATTACTCCATCACCGAAAGTAAAAAAATTGTGGGCGTAATTATATCGAAAACGAAAACCTAACCTTTAAGGCGAAGACGTGAAATGGAATCGGAACCGTAAATTTTGCTCCAAACCTACGATTGCTATGTTTGCGGCGACGTTTTCATGAGGCGGCGGCGTTACTGTGTCTAGGGTTATTCCTTCATCTCAAACGCGCTACAGGGGGACGACCGTATTTGGATGGGAAATAGAGCTAAAATCTACGTAGTATAACTTTTCTCATTAAAGTATTCAATACCCTTTAAAATTTTAAAATTACATAATTAGTTTTTAAGTATTCATCAATTCTCTAAAGAAATATTTGCACTAAATAGCACTAAAACTTAAGTTATTTCTCTAAGTAGCACTTAAATTAGTTTATGCCCCAAATAACACTTAATAATGTCCATAATGACCTCTGATGGCAAACATTACTTGAATAATGACTAATTGATAATGACTAAAAGTGCTACATTGGGAGGAAAAACACATGTAGTGCTATTTGGAGAAAGTTATTATGTTTTAGTGCTATTTACGGAAATTCCTCTTCTCTAAATGTAGTCTCTTTAGGGTACACATTAAAATTTAATTAGAGTACATATTAAAAGCTAAATGTTGGAGACAATTTTATTTTCATAGGTGTTCAATTTTTATAATAAAGACCATAAACTTAGATTGAAATTGTGAAAACCTATTAATTTCCTATACACGAAAATAATCCCCTATGTATAAGTATAAGTATTTCGTATTTTATTTATATATATATATATATATATATGTACTGCCCTTACCCCTTTTTTGTTCGCCTTGGTGATGGACGTCCTAACTCAAGGTGTGTAAGAAGGGGTCCCATGGTGCATGCTTTTCGCGGATGATATTGTGCTTATCGACGATACACGTGAGAGACTAAACGACAAGTTGGAACGATGGTGCCTTGCCCTTGAGACTAAATGGTTCAGAATAAGTAGGAACAAGACTGAATACATGGAGTGTCGTTTCAGCGGCAGGGAAACAGAATCAGAGGTGGAAGTTAGGATTGACTCTCACCTAGTACCTAAGGTAGACAGGTTTCGATATCTTGGCTCGGTAATCCAGGCTGATGGGGAGTTAGACGGGGATGTTGGACATCGTGTTGGAGTGGCTTGGGCCAAATGGCGGTTGGCTTCAGGGGTATTGTGTGACCCGAAGATTTCGCCCAGGATTAAAGGCAAGTTCTACCGATCCGTAGTCAGACCTGCTATGTTATATGGGGCAGAGTGTTGGGCGGTTAAGAAGACTTATGTGCGTCGTCTGCATGCGGCGGAGATGCGAATGTTACGATGGATGTGTGGGAAGATAAGGTTGGATAGGATTTCGAATGAAGTTATCCGACGTCAGGTAGGCATGGCGCCGGTGGAAGATAAATTGCGGGAAGCGAGGTTGAGATGGTTTGGTCATGTGAGACGGCGGGATGCTGACGCTCCTGTACGAAGATGCGAGCGGATTACGGTTTTCGGGGGAAGTAGGGGAAGGGGTAGACCTAAAAAGAATTGGAAGGAAGTGATTAGACAGGATTTAGGACTTCTCACCCTGACTGAGGATATGGCTTTAGATAGGAACCTTTGGAAAACTAGGATTAGAGTAGCTAGTTAGGAACTTGGTGATATACAGATTTTGTAGTGTGTTGTGTTTGATTGGAATCTTCTATTAATGCTTGTAGAACTTTCTTTTCATTGTACTTGGTGTTTTATCTATGTTATACTGTGTACCTATCATATTTTTTGTGCAGGTTGAGCTGGGGGTCTCTTGGAAACAGCCTCACTGCTTCCAAGTAGAGGCAAGGTCTGCGTACACACACCCTCCCCAGACCCTACTGTAGTGGGATCCAACTGGGCTGTTGTTCTTGTTGTGTGTGTGTGTGTGTGTATATATATATATATATAAGATTTGGCAGCAATCCAAATTGGAATTGATCAAGGGAGGGAGGAGGAGTGCGAGATCGATCGGAATTGATCTAAATTGAATCGAAAATAGATACGAGAAATTAATTACCACTATTTAGGAGTTTAAGTTCGAGATCTTATTTTAGAGATACGACCTATGTTTTACTTTTAATTTGAGGGATTTGTTTAAATGAAAACAAAATTTAATTAATTACTCGTATTTAGAGAAGTTTAAGTTTGAACTTTTATTTTGAGATAAATTTCTAACAAGAGTGTACTTTATATCTTTTTAAAATATAAATTTTCAAAATAAAATTAAAAGAAAAAAGTAAATTTGCATAAAATAACTCTACATTTAATTTATTTGCGAAAAACACATATTTTCAAAAATTTCGTTAAGTGAACTGTTAGCTTTTTGACAATGGCCCAAAATTCGCTCAAGTGCAAAAATGAGAGATTATTTTCGATAACAGTAAGAAGTGAAATTATTTTTGGAAAATATAAAAAAGTGGAATTATTTAAGAGTCAAAATACAAACAATGAATACGAGTAATTCTTTTTGTGATTATTTATTTTCCAACTCCTTGTTTGATTTTGACGTTTGTTTCAACACCAGCCACCACAGCCGGCCGGATAGCCCCCTCGCCCCACCGGGTCACCGTCCGCAAGACGCCTCCTCCTCCTGCAGCGGTGGACTTCCAGGTCTCCCCACCTTAGCTATCAGCGGTTCAGCGCGGCAGCAACACAGGTCCATTACGACATCAGCGGCTCAGAAAAATATAAAAAGGTAATGAAAAGAAAGAAAAATAATTGTACATTTTTTCTTTCTTTTCATTACCTTTTTCAATTATTATTTTTTACTTTGTACATAATATTTTATTTTTATTTTTTTTGTAACATTCTCCAAAAAAAATCTTTTATTTTTGAAAATACATTATGGAAAATTTTAATTTAAGATGACAAGCGTATATTTTATTTTATATATTTGTATAATAAAAGAAAATAAAATTGGAAAAACTTATGATCGAGGAAAAGAAAGGGCATAAATGTTATTTTTGCTTTAAAAATAGGTAAGGGGGGCATGTGTGCTCTATTTAGAAAGCATAAGGACTTTACAAATAATTTTTAAAAACAGGGAGGGTTTTGACGCCCTTTTTGTAAACTACAGGGGGCAACCATGCTATTAGACCAGAACATCTTCAAGCAAACTAATAAGTGCGCATTGGTACTCATAATCAAAATCTCTAGCGGTGCAAATTGGGCCTCTATTTGTAATAAAAAAAATTCTACTTGATCTTGGGCGGCACAAGTTTCGTGATTTTGGTCTCAATAATTTAGAGGGTGTTTGTTTTTCTGCCAGAAGATCTTCTGGTGTCTTTTGTCTGCGGGGGCTCTGCAGGTTGTTTGTTTTTTGGAAGACAATTCACTCAAAAAGGTCTTCCTGGCATCTTCTTGGAGAAGACATTAACACCACCACCACCGTCCACTGCCACCGTCCACCACTACCACCGTCCACCATCACCGTCACCGTCCATCACCATTGTCGTCCACCACCACCGCCACCATCCACCGCCACCACCACCACCGTCCACCACCACCGCCGTCAACGTCCACCACCACCCTCCACCACCACCACAATTGTCCATACACTACCACCGTACACTACCACCATTAATTTATATAGTAATCTACATTAAAAAACAAACAACAAACAGGGCAACTCCTTTGACGGCTTGCTGCGACAGAGGCGATCTTCTACGACGGTGACAGAGGTAGTGGACGGCGGCGCTAATACAGGGTAGAACCTCAACTCTCTGCTCTGCAACTGAAACAAAGTGGATGGGATTTGCTAACGCAATTCACGGCAGCGACGAGGTGCACGTCAGTGAAGCAATTTCTGGTCGACGGCAATGAATCTGGCTCACAAGCACAACTTTTTCTAAATTAAATCAAAATTGGAGTGGGGTAGGTGGTGAAAAATCAAAACGGCAGAGACCACAACAGATCTGGCCAAGGTTGGAGTTGAAATCACGATTTGGGTGGGCGGCCTTATCCTCAACTTGATTCCAAATTGTTACTGATACGTCTGCGTTGTTTGATGCGGCACCTCCAATTCTTCTCTGCTAGAGAATTCCTTCAACGGCTGCATGGAATAATTTCACTTTTTTGTGGTACTTTTTGTTGGCAGGCTCAAGAGATCAGTGGATAGAGGAAATTCACCCTTTTTTGTGTGGAGTTCAAGTGAAAGAAATTTGGATAGGTGACGGATCGGCGGTGGGACGACAATCAGGGAGATTGACGGTGTATTTTGTGTGGCTGCGAAGCAGGTTCTTGCCGTTTTTCTTTTTTCTTTTTTTTGGATTTTTTATGTTATCTCAATGAAAGCACCCATTGATACGAGTATCGGGATAGGGAAGAACTTCGAGCGTTCTTCAAGCTCCAAGAAAAAGAGGTAAAGTCGTAAAGAAGGGTGGAAAACTTTCCAGGCTCCAAAGGAAAGAGAACTAGATTAATATAATTCTTGATTTTGATTGCTTGAACCAATGGCGTGTAGTTCAGGGGTAAACCCATGGTGAAATTGGTGTTCCGAGGAAGAGACCTGAAAAATCTGAACTTGAAATGCAGTATGAGATATTGGTGAATTAGGGGCAAAAGGGGAGGAGAAACAAATCTATAGAGGGCGTGTGTTGAGAAAGTTTGAATCTTTGAACTAAAGACCAAATCTTTGAGTGGTTAGGACAATGTCTTTTGGTTTCCAAACAGCTGCTTTGGTGGGTTCACCATATTGCGCCAATGCTATAGCCTGGTCAGAGGATAATTTGTTAGCCGTGGCTTCTGGTCATCTTGTTACCATTATGGTATGAAAATAGTTTCTTTTAATGACTTTTATTATTGTTTTCTATTCTTATTATCATTATTATTGTTCGTAAAATAAAATTCATAAAATTCTTAGTATGCCACTTTGACGGATTGAATTTGGTCTGAACTTTATTATTTCCCTCTCAGAACCCTGCATGCCCTTTTGGAGCTCGTGGAGTTGTTACAGTTCCCACCAGCAAGCCCTTTCAAATTGGACTGATTGACAAAAAGGGTAAATTTGTTTATTTATCTTTGAGATGGAATAGAGTGCTGTTAGTTTTTCCGATATGTTTCTTAAAGGCTAAATATTGAGTATTGTAGAAACTTAATGGATAGTGGGGAAAGAGCTTACTTAATTTAACTTATCATGACATCATTGTATATGTATGGAAAGTTACCTTTGTATTTTGCTTGCTTGAGACTTTTGCAGAATTGATCTCTGGCTGTTTGTTACCTACTTTTATATCACGAGACATCCGTTCTTCTGTTAGATCAATTTCATGGTCTCCTATTGGATTCGCTTCGAATGCCAGGTTTGATGTCCAACTTTTTAGTCCCGTCTGTGTTTGACTTCCGTCTCTAATATGCCGTGATGCCTGATTTGTCTCTAAAATGTCATGATCATACGTGCAAACAGTTGTTTGCTTGCCATATGCACCACCGAGGGACGTGTGAAGGTTTACCGCATGCCATTCTGTGAGTTTAAAGTTGAGTGGATAGAGGTAGGCAGTGAGAAAACATGCCTATATATTTCTCTCCGTTATCATGTTTTTTCTTTTTGTTTGTTTTAATATCTTTCTTCATTTAACTTGAACAGGTAACAGACATATCTGAGATGCTCTACACCTATCTTGGAAATGTCAATTTCAATGTGTCAAACGTGTCTTCTGAAGTTTCAGACGTGAGTAGATGAATGACTTTTCAGTATTTTCATTATCTCAACGATTTATATAGTATTTCTTTTTAAATCTCATTTCCCCCACATATTCCTTGTTTGCTAAACAGACAAATTGTTCCCTCAATGACGTAGCATTTGAAGAAGACATGCCGATATGTCACTTTATGAAAGCAAAGAAGAAAAGGAAACTGAACGCCTTTACTGTAATGTACACTATTTTATGAGCCCTTTGAGATAAAGATTTGTAATTATTTGATTTAAAGATAAATTTTCCACCTTTAGAAGGACATTTTTCTCATGGGATTATGTCATCCACAGGTAGTAAACATCAAGGATGGCGTGAGAAAAGGAAATATGTCATGTCTATCTGCTGAAGAATATGCTTCTCGTAATGCGATGATATCTTCACTAACTGTTGCTTGGTCACCCAATCTAAAATGGACAAGTTGTTTTTCAGTGCTTGCAGTGGGAGGGAAATCCGGTAGACTCTCATTTTGGAGATTTCATAAACCACAATGTTACTCCACACGGAGAAGTACCGACTCAAAATCTGCATCACTTATTGGCTTCCTTCAAGCTCACGGCGCTTGGATAACAGCAATAACATGGGCTTTGTTTGATTCTAATTCTTCAAATCCTCAAGTTATGCTTTGCACTGGGAGTTCTGATGGGAGGTGAGTAATTATTGTTGAATAGGGATTCACTCACACCAAAAGGATCTTCAATATTTGAAATTTAACTCACACTTATATTCTAGACTAGATTCATGTATATTGCCAATGGAGAAAAAAAGAGTTGTGTTTGACAATGTTTTTGCTCCGGCTAAATAATGGACTAAATTAAAATGTCGCATTAAACTTTGCTTCTTAAATGCTATGAAGTTTTGGGCAGTAAATGAAGCAATGCATCAAGGGTCTAACAAAAATAACCTCTTTGTATCTTACAGGGGTAAGATTTCTTATATTCCCCCCCCCCCAGACGGCAACAGAGTTAGGATTATACTTGGTTAATGTACTTATATACTAGATTAAACCCTCCTAAACAATTGATGTTTCCATGTTGGATACTCAACTCACACACAACAACAACAACGATCAACAATTATATGTGGCCTTGTGCAACAATTGGCTTATGGCCCAACAATAAACTCCCCTTACAAGTTGTGCCCTCTCTCTGTTGCTTATCTTATACTGTATTAAACTTTGATGATTTACACTATAATTTAAATGCATTTTTGTAGTGTGAAGCTTTGGCGAGCATGCAATAGAGAACTTGAGGAATCATCCAACACTAATCATGTTTCTTTCTTTCTGATAAAAGAGGTTGAATTTCATATGGTACATTATAGTTTTCTAGTAATAAGGAATATATATATTTTTCATTTATATATTTTTTTTCTGACAGGTAACAATGGTAAATTTTGAACCGGTCTCTATCCTTTCTGTCATAGTGCCTTCAGATTCATCAGGCAAAATTTGTTTAGCAATTGGGAGAGGATCGGGATCAATTGATGTGTGGATTTCTGAGATGCCCAACAACACATTCAAGTCAGTTGGCTCTTACAATGGACATGATCATATTGTACGTTGTTATCATTGATCCATACCTTTCTCAATCAATACTCTAAGGGTATATTTGGATCATGTTAGAGAAATGGGAAATTGCTAAGGAAATTTATTTGAATATCGCTCATGGAGCCAAAGATTCACTATTTTTTGGATTTGGGGTACAATAGAATAAAGCAAAATGCTCTTTAAACCGTGTGCACTTCTTTCAATAGAGAAATAGCAGTTAGCGAATGCAACTTTCAACGCTCATCCTGGGTCATCTGAAATAGCTGCTTAATGCTTTAATGTTGTTGTTGTTGTTGTTGTTGTTTGTATATCCAAACTGCCACCATTGATTCGAAAGGAAAATGAATATATTTTAGGGAAAAAATGCATGCCAGTATATCTAATTCTTTATATATAGATAATATCTATATATAAAGAAGTCTGAGTCTTTATAATTGAAATAATAGTGAAATGAGTTTGTTCATTTTAGATTTTCTTTGCCAAGTATTTTTTGAGTTCCAAACAAATGATTAAACTCCTGTGAAATTACGAAGGTCACGGGCCTGGCTTGGGCTTTTGATGGACGCTGCCTGTACAGCTGCAGCCAGGTAATCTACTTCAGATGTTCACGTGCAACTAGCATATTCATTATAGCATTATTTCACTTAATGGAACGACTGCATTTCTAATCTAAATAATATACATGTCAGGATAACACACTTTGCAGCTGGGTGTTGAGAGGAAATTTGCTACAGCAGGTTTCGATTCCCACAAACACCCCTGGAACAAGGAGCTCTGTTGATGTGCCAACTGCTTTTGATTCATGTTGCGGTCTTGCAGTGTCTCCGGGGAATCTTGTGCTTGCTGTGGTACCTTGCTACCCTTTTGGTCATTGGCTAAAATTTTAGTCCTTTGCTATAGATTTTTCAACTTTTATGGTGAAAAAAAACATTTTTACATGATTGGTTTAATTCTTTTTGTAATGAAAACTTCAAAATGCATAAATGTGTGCCGTCATTATAAATTTGCAAGAGCTAAATGACATTTGCCAATCTATGCAGGTACATGGCTACGATACTGAACTATTAAATCCAATGTATGAGTCAAGGTCAGTGCACGTATCAAGAAATTCATCACATATCCTAAAATTTTGCCAAAACAAAGAAATATTTTGTCATTTGGTATAAACGGAATGGTGATTGCTTAAAATACACAGGTCTTGCAAAGCTGCAGTAGATTTCCTGTGGATCGGCGGGCAGCATCTGGATGTGATCTCTGATCCGTTTCTAGATTTGGACTCCCAATCTTTTCCTAGTTCCTCCGAGAGAGAATTGGCTTGTTGGGACAGTAATATATTATGGTCACTACATCAATATGATCATCATCATCATCATCATAAGCCATTGATCATGTGGGACATTATAGCAGCACTTTTGGCCTTCAAGCAGTTGAATCCAAAATATGTACAACACATACTATCAAAATGGCTGACATCGATAGTTGGTGGGCCCCAGTGTGACATCTCTAATATCTTGTCCAAGTCCCTTTCCCCGTACCTCCCTAGAATTGCGTCCCGAACGCTGCAACTCCTCAACATCATCACCAGACAGGTAGTGTTGAAGAAGGTGGTGGATGACTATAATGCCCTTGAAGGGGAGGAGCATCGTGACTGGTGGAAGCAGCTGCACATAGATGCTGAAAAGGAATTAAGGGACCGGGTTGTAGGATTTAACCTTTCTGTTATTTCAAGTTGTGTGTCTAATTGTGGGGGAGAGGATACCGGTTGCGGATTGGGACATTGGATTCCTGTTGGGTTGGCGCAGATGGAGAAATGGGTTGAGCTTAACACTGCAGATATGAAAGGGCATCTTAAACTCCTCGCAGAAAAAGTTAAAAGTATCAAGAAAAGGTAATTCATCATGTCTTGCTATTTATTAGATCTGGCAAAAAATGACCCGACCTGTTTTTGACCCGAGACCCAACCCGAAAATATTGGGTTTTGAACAAAGGTTTTGCTGATCAAAACCGAAGTTGATCGAACCCGAAATGACCTGCTAAAAATGGGTCAAACCCGACCGAACCTGGACCCGACCTGACCGACCCGCTAATCTAAGATTTTTTCAGAATCATGCATTTTAATATGAAATATAGTGTTATAAAAATAAGATAATAATTATATTTATTTTCTTACTACTCATTTTTTGTGTATAGATTTATACAATCATAACAAATTTTAATGATATCGCATAATTATCTTACATTTTTTCAAAATTTTTACATAATTAATTTTTTTATTCGTAATATTGACACAAAGTCATAAAAATTACCTAAAATTTCAAAAAATAAATGAAACTCGTAACCCATTGGGTCAACCCGAACTCGATGACACTGGGTCATGAATATGTAGTTGTCAACTCGAACCCGAAGTAACCCGAGCCCGACCTGACCGACCGATTTGCCAGCTCTACTATATTTATATACACAATTATACATACTCCCAACTCTTGTGTTTCCCATTGTCGAGGAACCAACTCAAAAGTTTGTAATTGTAGATCCAGAAAAGGTTTTATACTGGAGACCCGAAGAACAGACTCCATCTGTGAGTCCACAGCAGATGAGGAATGCAGCTTCTGCACTGCATCAGTTCCATTCGACACCCCAGAATATGGTTTTTGTGTGGGAGAGAAGAACAACGATGCGACCGTGGGGCCCAGACACAAGCTAACTCGGTGCACTGTTTCGATGCGGGTGTGCCCTCCGAATACCCCTCCATGGCACTGCGTGTGTTGCAAGCGTTGGACATCGCATCTGGCACCTTCTGCCCTCTTCACCTTACCTGAATATCCCCGCGATTTTGAATCTTTAGTCCAGCAGCAGCTTCATTCTTCTTCTTCTTCTTCTTCACATGATCAACCAGTTAAACCTTTGTGCCCTTTCTGTGGGATTCTTCTGCAGAGACTGCAACCAGAGTTTCTCCTCTCTCCTTCTCCAATATAGCTACAAACGTGATTCAAATATTTGCATGTAACCCCCTCTTTTTTTTTCTTTCGGCAAATCTTGTAAAACTTATATGTAGTAATATTCTTGCCATGTGTTTATAATTTTGTGCTTGTTTTGAGCTACCTAACATATTTCTCTTAGAATGAGGTTCCATAAAGTCAATAAATTTTAAGGCTTGCAACTTACAATAGAAGGAATGTGTTATGGATGGGCCGAGCTTGGGGGTTATCGATGGGTTAAGGAAGTCACATAGAGGACCATTCATCATAAGGAAGACTATGCGGTGTTGGATTTTGCTGCTACGGTGTACTACGTTTGGAGGGCTAGGAACACAGCTTATTTTGATTACTCCTCACTTTGTGTTACCTCTATCATCTCTAAAATCCAAATTGTGATTAATAGTCTTGAACACGCTTGAAATTTATGTATGTCCATTTCAAAAATATATGATTCCTTGAAATTTAATACCGGAGTAATTTCTTTACCATTATTCCAAAGTTAAACCTACTACAAGTGTCACCAGTCCACCGAAGTTAGAGTTAACTTTTTACGAGTAATTTTTTTTGTTGTTCTTGTTCCAATTCCAATCCCAGTCTTCGGCTTAAAGGTTAGGGTTTCTATTTCAATACAATTTCACATTTAGTTTTTACTTTTGCTAATAGAGTGAAGTAATTTATTGTTGTTATTTGTAAAAGAGAAAAACAAGTGGTAGCAAAAATATTTTATTTTATCAAATGACCAATAGAAATATGAAAATACATAAATATTTCAAAAAGTCTAAATAGTAACTGTGTAATCTAATTTGAGAGGGAGGAAATAAAAACACCCTCTTGCTCCAATTAAAGAAACATATTCAGAGAATAAGAAGAAGAAAAAAGAGCCTTGGATCAATCAAAAGCTAAAAATTACATAGTGCTTGAACAAGAATTCAGCAGGAAAATGCACACCTTCAAAAGATGGAATTTTTCTTCCAGAATGAAGCAATGGCTAAGGTGGTTTTCCTTCACCGACGGTATCCATGGCGTTTGAGATTAAAATACAAGCGCAGAATGCCTCCGTCGAATGTGTTTTTGAACCCTTTCTTGTGAGAGCATTCCCATTCTCTGCTGACAATCCGGAAGGCTATGTCCTCGTAAGGTGGGCCCGCGTGGAACCTTATGATGCAGGTGTCCCCACTGTCTCCATCCTTGTCTATCACATAAGTTGGAGTTTTTGACTTGTCGACGAGATCTGGGTAGAATATATTGAACTTGTATCCCTGCACAACCTTTGGTGGTGGATTGTCATGATCATAATGAGTCTGGTTGTACTTGTTCCATTCGTACCCGGTGTGTACGCGATTGAAGTAATTTGGCTTCCTGGGACGGTACTTGTCATGCCACCAGCACACATGTGAATCAACATTGACTTCATCCTTTGAGCCAAACACTGCGTCTCCTTCCTCCATGGCTCCCATGGCTTTCAATGCTTGCTTTTCAAAGTCTTCTACAGGTTGGGATGGTTTCAGAGTCATATCCTGAAGGCGACGTTCTCCCAAAACTGACATTCTCTTCTTTTCAAGCATAGCCCGGTCTTCTTCAGGGTCAATTGCTTCTTCTTTTTTGCCACCGTGCACTAACACAGGTGAATATGATCCAGCATACCCATCATCATCATCATCTGCTTCTCCTTCATTGGTATCTTCTTCAACAGGCATGGGCTCTGAAGATATTGCTTGAACAACATTTTCAACATGATAATCTGCTTCTCCTTCTTCTTCTGGCACATCATCTTCTTCTTCTGGCACATCATCTTCTGGCTCAGGTGATGGCTTTTCAAGACGTTTACGCAGCAGTTTTGCGTGAATTTCTTTGAGGCGTGATTTCGCCTTGGAAATTTGGAGTCTCTTGAGAACAGCTTCCCAATATTCAACATTTTTGGCTGTACCGGAGCGCATACGGGATTCAATCCAAGACTGCATAGCTTCCAACTTCTCATACCTCTTTCCCTCCAGCTGGAGCTTCACGTCTTTTTCTACGTTACGATGCAAACCCCTCTCTTCAGCCAGAAATTCTGGTGGCAAGTGCTCTCCACGCAATCTGGCTCGATCCATTGCGTCCCTTTTCCTTGCCTCTGTCAATTCCCAATTGCACACCGCCGAAAGTGCTTCCCAATACTGTGTGTGTGTTTCTGTATCCCTATCCAAATCAAGGTACAATTTGATATCCTCTTGAAGCTCTTCAATTTCCTTCATTGTTACACACTTGAAGACCGTGCAGGGGTCATTGATTTCAATATCAAGATCATCCGAAGGATCGAGTTGCATGGCAAGAACATCAATCGGCTTGATTCGCCCTTGCTGAATCCGAATCTTCGCCCTGGTTTTGCTTTGGACAAAGTGGAATTCTTCTTCTTTCTTCTCCCAATCTTGAAACTCAGCTCTAGCTCGCTCTCTTGCAAGCATAGCCATTTCTTCTTCACGCTGAGCCCTTTCGATCTCGCGTTCTTCTCTCCGCTTCTTCACCTTCTCAATTTCCGCAATTCTCTCTTTCCGTCTTTCCTTTTCCGATTCGAGTGAGAATGACTCGAGAGGAATGCCTCGTGATATGTCCCTGTGGATTTTCTTTTCCCAGATGAACGCGTCATTTAGATTTGAATCTCCAAATGGGTTTGAATCATTTGAGTACCCGGAGAGCTTATGTTTTGCTTTCAGCTTTTCTGCCGCCTTCCTCAATTTTCTCTGGGCTTTCTTTGCCATGTACTCGGCAATATCTTCATCAGCGATCTTCCTCTTCTTACTCTTCCTCAGCCCATCACTCTCCTCCATCTCAGAGTCACTGTTTAGAATGCAGGTCTGCACATAGGGAAGAATGGAAGATTAACTGGGTCCATTGCTAAAGCTTATAAATGGGAAACATCATATTATAGGAAAACAGTTTGCTCATAAGGCACAAGATAGATAAAAACAGTTCCCAACTTATGCACAAGATCTAATAATTGGAAATTACTCATAGACATAAAGATTCAATCTTTTGAATACAAACATATACTTCCTCCGTCCCTAAAAATTGACGCAGTTTGCTGTTTTTGGTCAAACTGTGATGCCCTTTGACCGTATATCATGGAAAAAGTATCTTTAGTTATAAACTTATAATGCAAATTTAATAAAATTAGGTTTATTTTTAAATATAGTTTTGAAATATCAAATTTTGATAGTATTAAATTATTTTAAACTATATTTAAATAGTGATCAAAAGGTATCACCAAAAAAGATGGCAACCTTTTAGGGAAGAGGGAGTGATTTTCAGTAATAGCAATTAATGAAGAATTGTGTTAGCCTAGTATATTTGTATATGTTTGTTAATTGTGTATTGGGCCAAGTAAATCATAGGCCCGAGACTTTATGTATATATATCCCATGTAACTAATGTAAAATCAAGTTTCACACAAATAAGTTTCTACATGGTATCAGAGCAGTCCTAGGGCTTCCCGTCAAACCCTTGCGCTCACGTCGTTGGTACGCCGTCGTCTTCCTCGGCGTTGGTCGCTGGTTCTCCGTCTGGTGCGTGGTAGAAGGATCTCGTCTGGTCTTCTCTCGCTGGTTGGTCTCGTCGTATACGTCCGCAGCCTGTCCCTCGTCGATCACCATCATGTCCGGTGAAGTTGCGTCAAACCCTAAAAAGACAAGGTTGATTCATGATCCGTCGCCCATATATTACCTTCATCCCTCCGAAGGTCCGGGTAATTCTTTGACAAAATACCTCCTCAAAAGTGACAATTTTGATGTTTGGGAAAAGGCAATTCGTAATGCCTTAGGTGGTCGTGGAAAGTCTATTTTTTTGTCGTCCGTAGGGGTTATCAAACCTACCGACGAGCATGAGTTGTCTGCGTGGTGTGCTAATCATCAAATCATATGTAGTTGGATTTTTAACAGTGTTGATGAGTCTATCCAACCGAGTATTGTTTCTCATTCAATTGCTTATGAATTGTGGGATGATTTGAAGAAACGATATAGTTGTTCAAATGGGCCTCGTGTGTACCAGTTAAAGTCTGAGTTAAATGCCCTACGTCAGAAGGGTCAAAGCGTCGTCTCATATTATAATCAGTTTATCACTTTGTGGAACCAACTGTACGGCTCTTCTGACCTCACCGGGGGCTGCCGGTGTGAGGCCGCTGGGGTCACACGTGCCCGTATTGAGCGTGACAAAACAGTGGATTTTTTACTCGGCTTGGATGATGAACAGTTTGGCAATATCCGCTCCCAAATCATTGGTACCGAACCGGTGCCCGATCTTGATCGTGCATATTTCTTGGTCACTCAAGAGGAGCGTCATCGCCATATCGTTCGTGCTCGTGATGATCGTACTAATCACAGCATTGAAACATGTTTTGAGCTCATTGGTTTTCCAGCTCAATTCGCTCGTGGTGGGGGGCGAGGTCGTGGCAGCCGCGGGGGGTCTTTTTCTGGTGGTCGCGGTGGTCCTCGGCACGGCAGCAACACCGCTGCCGGCAGTGGGCAGATGGTCCAGGGAAGTGGTGGCAGTAACCCCGTCGGCAATGGGCAGGCAGTCCAGGGCGGTAACAGCAGCAACCCCGCTGCGGTTCATGCGTCTGTTTCTGATTCGGGAGGCAATCTCAGTGATCAAATGTCTCGTTTAATGTCGATGCTGGAGGCGTCGGCATCTCATACGTACACTGGTAATTCTTCTTCTGACTGGTTAATTGACAGTGGAGCTTCACACCACATGACAGGTTCTCTTGCTCATTTATTTAATGTTGAGGATGTCTCTCCTCACTCCATTTGTCTCCCTGACGGGTCTCGTGTTAAGGCCGTCAAACAGGGAAGTGTGCATTTGTCATCTCGTTTGGTACTGCGGAATGTGTTATACGTACCAAACTTACATTGTCACTTGATTTCTGTTGGTTGTTTAATTCGTGACAATACTTGTTATGTGACTTTTAATGATCATTGTTGTGTAATACAGGACCGTTCGTCGCAGATGGTGATTGGACAGGGTGATTTGCGAAATGGAGTGTATGTCTTTGCATCCGTTCCTGCGTCAGCACTCGTAGCCAATATCGATCCTTTTGTTCTTCATCAACGGTTGGGCCATCCCTCCGTCGATGTTCTTCCTTTTCTTGGTACTAATAAGACACAGTCTGTTATCCAAAAATTACAGTCTTGTGAAATTTGTTTCTTGTCCAAACAAACTCGTTCTTCGTTTCGTGTTAGTGATAATAAAGCTGATGCTATTTTTGATTTAATTCATTGTGATTTGTGGGGGCCTTATTCACCATGCATCTCATCTGGGGCACATTATTTTTTGACTATTGTTGATGATTTCTCTCGGGCTGTCTGGGTTTATCTGATTAAATCAAAGAGTGAAGTTACTTCTTGTTTACGCCGATTTTTCACAATGATCCACACCCAATACTCCAAAATAATTAAAATTGTTCGTTCTGATAATGGTACTGAGTTTCTCAATTCTCCTTTACGCCAATATTATGAGAGCTTGGGTGTGTGTATTCAAACGTCTTGTGTTGGTACTCCACAACAAAATGGGCGGGTAGAACGCAAACATCGTCATATACTAAATGTGGCCCGATCCCTTATGTTTCAGGCATCTCTTCCACTTGAATTTTGGGGAGAATGTGTCAAAACGGCTGTTTATTTAATCAATCGTACACCCACAAAACTTCTTGGGGGTAAGTCACCACTTGAAATTCTTTCCTCTAAACCTCAAGATTTGAGTCATCTCCGGGTGTTTGGGTGTCTTTGTTATGTTCATCCTGTTCCTCAACCCAAAAATAAATTCCAACCCCGAAGTGTTAAATGTGTGTTTCTGGGTTACCCATATGGTACCAAAGGGTGGAGAGTCTATAATCTTGACACACATCGTTTCTTCCACACGAGGGATATTTCCTTTGATGAAACCGTCTTTCCATTCGCCATCCCCACTCCCTCGTCCACCAGCCGGCGTCCACCAGTCCAGTCGTCCCCGTCAATCCGGCGACCCAGCAGCCCGCCGATCAGTCCCCGTCCCAGTCCACGCCGGAGTCCGCCAGCCCCTCCACTTCTTCTGATGACGACGACAGTCCTGCGTCTTCCTCGGTGGAGACCACTTCTCCATCGCCTATACTTCCATCCCTTCCGCCTCGTACACGTCGTCGTCCGTCCCACCTTAACGACTATGTTCTCAATACCGCAAAGATTGTCACTCCGGCTCCGGTCTCCTCATGTTCTTCACGATCTGGTACTCGGTTTCCTATTACTAACTTTGTTCATTATTCTAAGTTGCATGACAGGTATAAGGGTTTTCTTGGAGCCATTGATGCCACCTCAGTTCCCCGTAATTTTCGAGAAGCTGTTCAGTATGCTTCTTGGCGTGAGGCTATGGCCACCGAATATTTGGCCCTGGAGCGGAATCACACTTGGGACATTGTAGATCTTCCTCCTTATCGTCGGGCCCTTGGTTGTCAGTGGGTGTACCGGACCAAATATCATTCGGATGGTACTAAGGAACGCGATAAAGCGCGTCTTGTTGTTTTGGGCAATCATCAGGAGCTGGGCGTTGACTACACTGATACTTTTGCCCCTGTTGCCAAATTGGCAACCGTTCGTGTTTTGTTGTCTGTTGCAGTGGCTCGTGGTTGGTTTGTTGATCAGTTAGATGTTAATAATGCTTTCCTTCATGGGGATTTACGGGAGGAGGTCTATATGAAAATCCCCCCAGGTTATACTCAGTTCTTTCCAGGGAAGGTCTGTCGTCTTCGTAAGTCATTATACGGCCTTCGCCAGTCACCTCGTAATTGGTTCACTAAGCTTCGTGTGGCTCTACGGCAGTATGGGTTTCGTCAGGCCCATGCCGATCATACTCTATTTGTCCTCCACCGTGGCCCTGATATGGTGGTTGTCCTTGTTTATGTTGATGATATTTTGGTCGCAGGTAATAACAGGTCCTTATGCACTTCCTTCAAGAAATATTTGGATGATTGCTTTCGTCTAAAGGATCTTGGTCCGGTGTCTTATTTTCTGGGTATCGAGTGTGCTCGCTCTCCTGACGGTATGGTCTTGAATCAACGGAAGTATGCTCTTGATATTATTGATGAGGCCAATCTTATTGGATGCAAGCCCGTGGACACGCCTTTACCGGTCAATCATCATTTGGCACGATCCACTAGTGCTGAGATTCGTGATCCTCAGAAATACCGTCGCCTTGTGGGCCGTTTGCTGTATCTCACCATTACTCGTCCTGATATTTGTTATGCTGTTCATACATTATCTCAGTTTATGCAGGCTCCACGTCTTGATCATTGGAATGCTGCTCTCCGTGTTCTTCGTTATCTTAAGGGACACCCTGGTCAGGGTATCTTGTTGCGTAGTGACAGTAATCTTGCTCTTACTGCTTATTCTGATTCGGATTGGGCCAGCTGTCCCCTTACTCGTCGTTCTGTCACTGGTTATTTTATTTTGTTGGGTGGCTCTCCGATTTCATGGCGCACTAAGAAGCAAACTACAGTCTCCAGGTCTTCTGCCGAAGCTGAGTATCGAGCCATGGCTCACGCATGTGCTGAAATCCGGTGGTTGCGTGGTATCTTGGCGGCCTTGGATGTTCCCTATGTAGCAACTCCTCGTTTGTATTGTGATAACAAGTCTGCTTTATTCATTGCCGCCAATCCAGTTTTTCATGAGCGCTCGAAACATATCGACATTGATTGTCATATTGTCCGTGAGTGTCTTCAGCGCAAACACATTGTTACGGCTTACGTTCCCACGCGTTTTCAGACGGCAGATATCTTCACAAAGGCTCTCTCCGGTCCTCTTTTCCGCTGCTTATTGTCCAAGTTGGGCATTCATGATATTCATGCTCCAACTTGAGGGGGAGTGTTAGCCTAGTATTTTGTTAATTGTGTATTGGGCCAAGTAAATCATAGGCCCGAGACTTTATGTATATATATCCCATGTAACTAATGTAAAATCAAGTTTCACACAAATAAGTTTCTACAAATTGAAAGACCTAATATTATCAAGGGCATAAAAATCAAATAAAAAATGCATGGAAGATCAATTAGACATTTTAAATTTAAAATTTAACACAATAAAAAAACAAGAATCAAACAAATTTATAGTGAAAAAATTTAGCAGTTCATCGAATTCACTGAGATAAGCAGAATACTCGAATAAATTACAAAAGAAAAAAAATTGTCGCACATTAATTCCAAGTATTCAAAATTATTTGCAATTACATACCTTTTGGATCGGACTCTGGGAGGGTTGAGAAAACGGGGTTAATAGTGGCCGCCTGGCCGGTGGTGGTGCGGCGGTTTATGCTATAAAAAGAAAAAAAAACAAGGGGAATCCTAGAGGAGTACGGAGTATGAGGTTGCGTTGTTTAGTTTAAGTAATACGGGGCAAGCAAGAGAAAGGCTTTTAGGACTAATAATGCCTACTCGTTATTAAGTATCTAATCCCACCTTCCAAAACGTAAGCAACAGCCTTAATAATTTATTTTTATTTGTTTACTCGTTTTAATTAACCACTTGATTAAATAAGATATTCCAGTCACATGTTTGTAAAATTTTTTATCCATTTTTGAACGGCGTAATTTTTATGTTTTATTTCCCTATGAATTTGTAAATAAAATGCTTTTAAAAGAAATATTCCATCTATCATATACTACGTAATATTCTTCCCGGTTCTGTTTATGAGGTTTGACTGATTTTATTTTCAAATGTTTCTTGCAGTTNCCCCCCCCCCCCCCCCCAATTTAGATATCTTTAGGAGAGTGTAAAGGGATTTAAAATATATTCACCCATTCTCTAAAACATTTCTTATTTTGATTAATAGAAAAAAATAAAGAGTTTATATTTGTATAACGGAGCAGTATTTCTTTATAGCTCTTAGTCCATGTGTCCCTAAATGAATTACTTCGTATATTTTACGCAAAACAAAGTAAAAAAATTGGCATAAAATAAAAAATAAAATTTATAACGTATATCAAAAGTTCTACAAAAGAATATCGACAAGAATAGTTTACACTATCAAATAAATAATGAAAAAATAACAAATAAATAAAGTTTCCGTAATTGTTTTAATTGCTATTGACTCTATTAATTTTGGGAAGTAAGTTTCATATCTAGAAGAAAAATAGAAAATGCTTTCCTTTTGGTATGCGACTGAAGTATTTGTGACTCTAGTTTTACTCGAGAGTTAATAATGGATTAAATTAGAATGACACATTATATGAAGGCCCTTAGTCCATTAGCTCAAAAACACAAGTTCTGTGCTATTTGCACGGTAAAATTGCATACATTTTGGGTCTGAGATTACAAGCGGAGTTAGAACTATGGAGATAGCCATAAAAGAGTATTCTCATACCATACAACTCATGATCATCTAAAACAAAATTACCACAATTCCAGACACTTGTACAACTTCCTCAGTGCGCTGCACGACCAAAAAAAAGTCAGGTGAACGATAAAATCAACCGTCGCTAGTCAGTGTGAAGGCGAGAAGAACTATGGCCAGCGTGAAGACAATGGTCACGCCAGAGAAAACCCACAGTGTTTTGCTATGGGGTTTTTGGCTACTGGGCCCGCTCGTCTCTACTTCTTCAAGGAGCAATCTGACTTTATCGATGTCGTAGTCCTTGGCAGCTTGCGTTAGCCCACCGTGTATCTTCTCCAGCTTGACCAGCCTCCTGTCTTTTGACTTGTCTTTGACTGGCCAGAATAGGCCTATCATCTTCCATATACAAATGCCCATGTAGATGGCCACAATCACATCCACACTGTAATGGTGCCGTTCCCTTATTTCTCTCTGAGCGCTGTGCAGCAAGAGAATCCATACAAATGCAGAGCTATATCCACCATATGCTTCCTGCATTAGTTTTGATGAGGTAGAGTATCAGTGAAAAAAATTGGGCCCTGTTCTTTTTGCATTAATTTAAGTGCAGTTTGGTAAATTGGAGTGGAGTTTGGAGCATATGGTTAGCTGGTTCTAGAAACTGCTAACTGGAGGTCTGGAGCCTATATAAATTACATATATTATAAAACTAAATTAGATTGTAACTGGGACAGAAGTTTATATAACTCGAACGCAAAGTTGAAGAGAACCGGGCCCAAGTCAAAAGCTACATATTCCACTCATTCCTTTTCTGATTGTATCACTTATTTTGTTGATAATCTAAATAAGACAATTCTAGGTACCAAATCGCATTTATTTAATTGGAAAGGATGTTACCTAACATTTAGAGTATAATTTTATATGCTCAGTTTATATACTCTATTATTTTCCCCAACATGAAATGAAATGCACGAAGCATAGCACAAGATGGATATGGTAGGAAAACACATTTTAGGATCATACCGTCCATGCCATAGCTGTCAGTACCGCAACAAGCATGTGGCCACTATATATGAGGTCATTACAACCACCTCCAGCTTTCTTCAACAGAAGGTACCATGAAGATGATCCCTCCTCGGCAGTAGGACGTAAGAAATCAATAAGAAAGCTCATTGACCCCCAATCAGGTCGGAACTCCATTTTGTAATCCCCAGTGTCAGCTGAAACGAATAATCATGAATTCTGATTCAGAAGCATTTGATACAATTTACACCAAAGAGGATAGACAAGAAAGAGCAGATGTAAACTTTCGGTCTCATGACAGTGTCATTTTTCACCTTTGAAGCATGACTGAATATCTTACTAGTTTTGATCTTTTTCAGTCACAAATAAAACTGACCCGTGAAAGAGCAGAATGCTCTATGTATTGCACCTTGTAAAAAAAGAGATCCAAGCATAAACCCATGGAAAATATGTGAAAAGATCCACATTACATATGTATTACTATGAAAGAGCCTCATTAATATTGAAGAGAATAAACTAAATAAGGTAAGGATTTTCATTCCATAAAATATTCTAGGCGAATAGGCGATCAAGGTATAAAAATAAAAGGCAACTTCCACACAAAGTAAGAGCAAAATCTCCTCAAATTAATATTCTACCACAATATTCCCAAAATAAGAAATTGGCCATAATAACAATCTTGCCATATATATGTGAATTTAAATTTTCATTTATAAAATTGTTTGAGGCCATTGTATTATTTTCAAGTGGTTCAGAAATGACAAACTTGTGAAATTTGAGGCTTTTTTTGTTTGTGATTCTAGCATTGCTCAATTCTATCCAACAAAAAGAAAATACCATATGCAGTATCCCAGCTAATCACTTGGCGTATAGCTTGAGAATCTTTGGCATAGGGAACATAAAACTTTTGAGCCCAGCGGTGAGGATGATGAGGGACCAGAAACCGAGATTCTGCGCACCAAGGTCTTGCAGATGGAAGAATGGTAGACACGAATGCAATGGTCCGAAGAAGACGGCCAACACCCATGGTGAACATGTATCTCGCCCCAAGACCAAGACCCGGAGCTTCAACGGATTCGAATAGTACAGAAAAGGCAAGCATTATAAACAGCATAAGAAAATGATGCAATCCAATAATACGAGCTCTCAATATATCAACCATTACTTGTGGAAGCTTCTCATTCAATGCCAGAAGCAACCACTGGCCTGTATCAGGAAGAGGCGATGTTTCTCTGTGAGATTGTAAATCAAATCTTAAGTTAGTCTATAATTATGTTCATTATTATCATACCATAAATGTATAAGCAGATTCCTCTCATAAACATTGATTAGCACGGACTTAATCTTTAATTAATGCGCAATTAATGAACTTAAACTTGTCAAATTGATCTTCTACCTTTACCAAAATTAAAAACAAATCTGGGAATTAAATTCCCAGATCCACTCTAATAAGGTAACTAACTCTTACAGGATTTCATATAACGAGAACAAATCCATGGAATTCAGAAAACTGATAATATTATAATGAAATTCAAAAATAATTGCGCACTATAAGCTACGTACTTGTGCCAATCGAGGCCGAGCACGGCGGTGACGGAACGGACGGAAATGGCTTCAATGAGGAGGGCGGAGAGTAAGAAGAGCATAGAGAAGACGAAAGGAAGCGCAGAGCGCAGCTCGGCGGACCAGTGCTTGTAGAAGGGGACGCGGACGACGGCGGCGATTGCCAGGGCGGTCCATAGCACAGGTTGAACCGACGCGTGCAAAGGCGGCGAGATGAAGCGGAGGTAATCCACTCCGATGTACGCTATGGCGGCGAATCCCAGCCCGCCGCCTCGCCGGTTTCGCAAGATCGCCGTCCCCCACGACGGCAGGCGCCTCATGTTCAGCTCCGGTAAGTATCGTACTCGAAGCAGGTTATTATTATCTGGTCCATTGGCTTTTACCTCTTGACTTGACTTCCTTGACTCCCTAAGCTAAGTTTCCCAATTAAATGTTCTTTCCATTCATTATTAACTCATTCTTACGGAGTATTACTCACTCCATTTCTTTTACATGGTCTATTTTATTCTGCGTGTCAAATCTTTTTGGAATGGAGGTAGTATTTAACTAATTATATACTCCGTATATAAAATAAATTAAAATCTAAACGTTATAGCAAATTATTGGTATCAAAGAATATTTTTAATGCATTATTTTTAATAATTTTTTATTGATATATATTTAAAAGAGATATTGTTAGTTAAACATTAAACTCGAAAATCGAACAATAATGTTAAAAAAGAATGGAAGAAGAATAATTTTCCTAATATATCAAAAATTCAAAGAATGATCAATTAAATGTGAATGGAGGGAGATTCGAATTGTCAGGACTCAGGAATGTCATTACTGAAATCATTTCATATTTTTTCGAAAATCCATTTCATATTTTATCGAAAATCTCTTACAATTCTCATTACAGGAAGGTATAACATTTTCATCAAGACTACCTCGTAGGAGCATGTCTCCTATCGCACCGCTATGTGAAACCTAACTATTCTTTAATTCATTTGCGGAGTATTCATTTAGTGTGTTTTTTTCACCCTTTTAGAAATAATGCAATCCAAAATATGGCAAACATTGTTAAGATCATATGCACACAACAATAATAATGATAATAATCAAACAAATTACCCTTTCATTCTACAGTATACACATTCTAAGACTGATTGTTGTTTTAGTTTCTGGGTTTTGGGGTTCGGTTTGCAGACCTAAAGTATCGAACGATGAATGCAAGAGAGAATAACAATGCTGAGCCTGCGACGATAATGGGAGCACATATCACACTGCTTTTCTCCCGAACCTCTTTTCCCCTGTCTTCTTCTTCTTCCCTCTTCTCAACTCCAGCTTCCAGTGTTGGTAATGGATGTTCTTCTTCATGAGCTTCACCAGTTTTAGGCAGAACTTTTTCTTCTTCATGAACATCACCAGTTTTAGGCAAAACTTTTTCTTCTTCATGAACTTCACCAGTTTTAGGCAGAACTTTTTCTTCTTCATGAACTTCACCAGTTTTAGGCAGAACTTCTTTTTCTTCTTCATGTTTTGCAGAGTTGATTCCTGATGTCAAGCATTCAACATGGCATTAAATATGAAACATGTTCCTTACAAGTTGTTGGATTTAATTTGATTTTAAATTCGACACAGTTATAATCAAATTCGGGTATTTCAAAATACGCCATGTATACAGTTTTGAGTTACTAAGTTCATTTACCTGACGAAGATTCTGGGTGTTCACGCTTTGGCTTCACTTCGTCTACATCGACTATACTTTGTTTGGTTTCTTGATCATCATCATCTGGTTTCTTCGCCATTTCTGGATGATTTTCAATCCTTCTCTCGTTCCTTTCTGCTTCTAAATCATCACTTCGTGTAGGATCAGAGGGCCCTCCCAAAGAATCATGATGGTTATTATCGGTTTCTTTTCGCAATTCGACAATCTCAGCTTCTTTGAGGGGTCTTTCTGGAATTTCATAGGGCTCTTTAATTTCCTCAATCAATGTCCCAACTATCCCTTCCACTCTCTTTGGCATTGAAACAGTCAATAAAGATTCATCTTCTGCAAACATAGCTTCTATATCATCCAAAGACACTCCTTCAGGAATTCTAAATCTCTTCTTCAACTTCCATGTCTCAGTTCCTTTTGTTTCCAATCTCCCCCCCACCATAACTATCACCTCAACTGGTTTCTCGCAACACATCTCCATTATAGTCCCATCCTCATTTATTCCAATCTGTATATGCTCTGTTTCATAACCTGCAAAATGTCACTCATACCAATTTTAAAAGGGAAATAAAAACAAACAGGTGGTGGGCATGATTGGGAGGAAGAAGAAGAAAATTGGAAAAGATAGAACCTTTAAGATGGACAGTCAAGATAAACATGTAGTTGGTTTCAGCAGACTGGAAAAAATGGCCCTTAACATCTTTTGTGAGCTGCAAATTCAGATAACTGAACTCATATGAAGCATTCTTTATCGTGACCTTCATCCCAAATTCAAGATCCATTTTTTTTTTTACCGAAGCAGGTTTGTTAAATGCATATGCATGATGGGAAAGTAGAGAAGAAGATGAACTTTATTAACTCAGGGGATTCTTTACTTCACCCAGAGGTAAAAAGACGGCCGCCATTAAACAGAATAATAATAAAAAGATGGTGTGAGATTTGGATTGATTCCCCAACAGCAAGTTGTGCTTCCATTGGACATGAAGCTATGGAATTCCATTCAAAAAGTTTTGTCCAGAATGAGTCTGTGCAAAGGAAATATACCCAGAGAACCCAGCTAAGAATATGTTCAACAAAAGGAAAAGCCAATCATAATGGAAGAACAATGGACTGGATTTTCTTTACTGTATCTATATACGGAGTATTTTGGAATTTATTAAAAGTAGGTTATTCTTTTTACTCCGTACTTCATAAAAGATTCCTCCTCTTTTTTTATCAAAAATTTCCCTCCCTCTCTCCAGATTTAAGTTTCAACTTATTTTTCGGAAAAGTTGAAACTTTGTTATTAAAAATTATGTAGCGAAGAAAAAAATTTTACGGAGTACATTTCTTAAAAGGGATAAGAACTTTACTTGTATCCATAACTTTAATAAATTCGTGTAATTTGTTTAGAAGAGATAATTATGAGTCGCATGTAGACTTCTTCTTAAGGAAATAAAGTTTGAATTGTTCTTCTAGGCACCAAGTGCAGCAATGCATTAAAGTTCTAATGAAGACAACATATATTTATCAGATTAAAAATCAGTGTACCTATTTTGAGCTTTCAATGAGTTTTTGCCCATTCAGGTTGGTTGTATAAGCTGGAGTGAGGTCCACACTGCAGAGCTGTGCAGTACTGGAACTGAACTTAAATTCCAAACCAAAAACCACCCTTCTCACAACAACCAAAGCCAAGCGTTGACAACAAAGCTTAAAAAGAAGTGTGTGTTTCTGTGTGTGTGTGAATGCCCAGATATCAAAGAGTTGACAAAGTCCCTCAACATGTGTGTGAATGCCCCATTCATCAATGTGCCATTATGGGGTCAACCTTGAAATCAATTCAATCTGATCTCTGGTCAACCAACAAAAAGTTCAGGCAGATGGTAAAAACTAAAATCAACTCAAAAGATAAATAACAAAAAGGCCAAGCAGATTTTTATTCTCCAAAAGACTAAACACCAGCATTAACAATATAGCATTGATAAAGAAAAATCCAACCTTTTTACTAATTTCTTTACATGATATACATATAAATATATATAGTTAAATAGATGTGACACTTGAACTCTATGCTACACCAGATTTTTTTATTTTTTCATAACATAATCAAACTGCTATAGACCAATCAACTACAGAGTATCATTCAAGTCCTTTAGTCCTGCAACGAACAATCTTATGAAACACTTCCCTGACCCTGCACTCCAATGGGTTCAACCCATCATTCAGCGCGCCAAACACGGCCCTAACCTCGTCCACTATCTTCCTCGCTTCTCCCTCCTTCTCCTCGCTCAGAGGAAAATGAACAGAGTTGATCAATTCGTTCACGCGACGAACAGCTTTCTCAATCTCATGAATCTCCTTCAACAGCCCACAAGCGTTTCTCCTGTCCTTCTTCTTTGACTCCTCAAGGATCCTCTCGTGAAGGGCCATGAGCGGGCCCGCCCAGACGAACTGCTGTTTGTTCACGTAGAAATGGGTCTGCAGGCCGCGATCCTGACAAGGGATCGCGGCGACAAGGGCCCACATCACAAAGTAAAGAACATAGCTCATAGTGAAGACAGACAATGCCAATCCATTGGAAGCCACAATATCGCTGTTTCTTGGGGCAGATAAGTTGTTCCCAATGGTTTGGAGCTGTCTGGCTGCTGACCAGTTCCTGGAAACACTCCAAGATAGTGAACGGAAATGGGTCAAAGATTTATTATTGTTACTACTATTACTCTTATCCCTTTGACGCCCGAAGGAACGGTTTCTATGAGAAATGGATGTATTGTGAGACTCTTTCTCATCAAGCATGCTTATAGCCAAATCAACCAAAGCCTTCTTTGCCCTGCGAAACTGGCCTTCCCCCAGACTCCTGTGATGATGATTGTCCAATGCGCACAGCATGATCTCCAGATGCTTCTGCCACTGCCTGACATGCTCAATCCCATCTCGAATCGCATTGCAGACATCCAAACCCTTCACGCTCCTCTCAAAATACTCACCCAGGTAACGCTCCGCCAGGGCTTTGTTGAAGGCCCCTTTGTTGGCCAAGAGAATTGACCGGAATTCGTCCTGGCAAGACAAGAAGACGTCCAGGAGCTTCTGGATCCACGGGATGGAGAGGAACTCGCCGGAATCGGAAGCCAAGAGGTCGGAGAAGCGATCCGCCACCCGTTTCTGGAAAGCCTGGAGATCGAGTTCTTGGTGAGAAGGGGGTTCCATGGAGTGGACCTGACCGCGACGAATGTTCATCAAAGATCGGCCGAAACTGGAAAAGGTTGTCCCTTGGGGCTCGGGAGCTCGCATTTCCGGGAAATTCTGGAAATTCCGACCAAACCCACTACACAAGATCGGAAATTTAACAAGAAGATGGTTGGATTGGAGATGGACGCAGGCCCTGCATTCGCATATGAACGATTGCAGGGACAATTTAAAGACGCCAAGATTCAAAGCTTCCACAGGAGCCTATCGAGAAAGAAAAACGAAAATTATCTCCACTCAAATCCGAAAAAATGGCAGCCCTAGCATTGAAGATGAGAGAGAGAGGGATATATTGGGAAGAGAATAAAGAGACGGGACCGTGGTAATGAGTTGGAACCCTAACAGGACGGGCTTTTTAAGAAGGGGGGGGATTTGGACCGCGTATTTAGTTTAATAGTTTTTGCTCCAAAAATAAGGGTACCAAACCAACCGAACCGAGTATAAAATTCTGAGTAATTTTCAGACAGTGTTGTTTGAAATGGCAAATGATCATCCATTCTGTCTCATTAATTATTATTATTATTGAAAAGGTCTCATTAAATTCTCCACACACGAATTGCAATACTCGACTAGTATTTTTTTTTGAAATAATCTATTTATACTACAAAAATTATACGAGTATTCCGTACATTAAAAATTTACACTTACATTTTATATCAAAGTAAGAGGCTGTTTGGCAACTTCTGAATAGATAAGTGCTGAACGAGTAAGAGATCTGAATCATTAAGTACTGAACCAGTAAGAGGTCTGAACCATTAAGAGATAGTATATTGCTTAACTATTCAGAGGCAAATGTCTGATCAATTCAGATAAGAGCTCTTAACCATTCAGACTCTGTATAATACTTAATCATTCAAAGGCAAATCTCTTAACCATTCAGACATCTGAACCATTAAGAGCCTGAAACAAACCATTAAGTGCTGAATCATTCAGACATCTGAACCATTAAGAGGCTGAAACAAACAGCCCCTAAGTGTGATTTTAATAACTTATATTAACATAAAATATTAGTATAAAATTTTAGGACCCTGCGGACATTTTGTGTCTAATAAAATATAAGTCTAAACCTTTAAGGTGTATTTTTCGATATAAGTTTTTGGATACACCTAGCACAGTTGTGTTTTTATGTTGCTCTTCCCATTTCTAGTCACTAATGAGTATTTTGAAATAACTACAATATCAGTTCTTAAATATTTATCTAGTTTTGATTTTTTATAATCAGTAATTTTTTACTTTTGATTTATAATTAGGTTGTGTGTTTTGTGTGTGTGTGTGTGTATACTCGGAGATTTTGATTATGTGTGCCCACTTGATTGAGACATGTTTGCCACCTTGTCAAGAGAAAGTTGATTGGATAATTTTCTTTATAACTAAACATTAATGTTATCTTTAAAAATATATCTGAAAATTTCTTTTCATGACCGACCATAATATTTAATTTTATGGCCGAATAAAAAGACAATATGATGTTCTTATCATCATATGTAGATCATTCCTTATTAGACTAATTATCTAGATGACTGCTCATGATCCTCGTGGAATGTAACATGAGTCCTCACTTGTTAATTCTTAGGTAATCTCATAATTCTGAGGATTAACCAGTCTCAAGTCTTGATTTGATTCGATATGGACTGGAATGGTTTCGGTATACGCAATGACCATAGAATAATTGATAATCTTAGGATCGATTATATTTTGAGGATTAACTAGTCTTTTTAAGAAATAGATATGATCTAGTCAGGTCTTTTTGCTCATTTCTAGTTGGTAATCCCACTCATGATTTGTGATAATGACCGCAATTAATAAATGCGAGTGGGGAGTAAACTATTAGCTAGCCTGTAACTAATTAATAATGGAAATTAGGATGTTCTAACCACATCATTTATTAATGTCCACAACAATCATATCCAATTGTAGCCTTTTTCACACCTAAGCTGACGTTATCTCATAAGTTATTACTCATATACTCCGTAATACAAAAAAACAAAATTGCTCTTGAGTATCTGATATTTTTAAAAATTTAATTACCAAGTACCTCACATTTTTCGAATTTACTCTAAAGTACTCTCTATTTTGAAAAACTAACTACCGGGTATCTCACACTTTTAAAATATACTCTGAGTTACCTCCAAATATATATTAACTTACCCGTGAGGGACATTCCGTCCCACTTTCCGTCAAAACTAGTTACGCCGTTAATTTTAAGAAATAAGGGTTTGGCATTCCAAAAATAACCTTTGTTCTTATATTTTAAGGATACGATCTATCTAGTTCAATCGAAGCTTTCGAATGAAACAGAATGTCTCTCACAGGTAAGTTAATATATATTTGGAGGTACCCCGGAGAATGTTTTAAAAATATGAGTTACCCGGCAGCTAATTTCTCAAAATAGAGGGTACAATAAAGTAAGAAATGGGGTAGTTTTACTATCACTTGAAGTATTAACACAACACTTGGCAGTGCTGAAGGCACAACATTTGAAGCTACAAAACTCACATGTTTCTCCACATCATGTAATGTGTTCTTCCTTAGAGACAGCATCGGCCAGAAACACGCTCCCTGAATCGCACCATCCCGCCACAAGGTCCTTGTCGCCGCACTGCAAAACAAAAAAAAGTGTGTGTGTGAGAGAGAGAGAGAGAGAGCAGAAAACGAAGTTGAAACAGCAACCAGGAAAACATTTGTTGATGTTGTTAAGCATACCTTGTTGAAGCCAAGCCAGTTTGAATCACCTCTAAACGAAAACTCTTTCTTTCGATCTCTCCACTGTCCACACGCAACCTGCCAGTACACAAGTTCATATACATAATGTCATGTTAAACTACCACATAAATATAGTAGTAGTACAAAAGAAGTCATGTTTCGTGAAACTGAGTTAATTAAGCATATAATATGCAAATATAAAAAACTGCACTCCGTGAGATTTATTGGTTACATTGTTACAAGTTATAGCCATTGCACATTTATCAAACATGGTTATCTTTTCTTGGAAGACTTTGGCATTGATGCTATAGAGTGATAAACAATGAAAAAAATGTAGATGTTGTGTGAATAATTAGGGCAAACTGGGGTCCAGGGTCTCGATGCAGTAGTAGTTTTAACCAAAATATGGAGTTTGGAGAATGTATAACTAGAATTTAAAGTTAAAAACAACATGCACTTAGTTTTTTTGGCAAGTAATATCACAAAATCTCAAATAGTAAGATACTACCCTGGCTTTTTACAAATACTAACAGCTTTCATTCACCTCATAATCAACTCCTTGTACATAAATGTAATCTGAATCAACTGAGGAGAAGGCAAGTCTTGTTATCTGCAAGAGTGAAAAAAATTATTGGCATGTGGGAACCAAAGGACGGTTAATGTTGGGACAAAAAATTCAACGGACGCTGAATTTCATGTCACCGGCATTGGGCACAGTTGGGATTGAAGTGAAGAAGATGACCCTTGCAACTCATATTTGTCATTAAACAATGCAGTGCAGTACTACTCTGACCTCATATTTAGAGCAGTTCATCCATCTTGACAGGGCTGACCATCTGCATTCAAAGCGTTTAGGCAAGAGGAACCAATATCAAGATTTCTTCTCCCATGTAATGTTGATAGGTGTGTTACTTGTATATATGCTGTTACTCTGTTCATGCTAATGGGTTTACTTTAATTTCTTGGTACTTCTATGTTTGAGTCGGGGTCCCTCGGAAACAGCCTCTCTACTTCCCACTAGGCACAAGGTCTTTGTGCAAACATGCACACACCCTCCTTACACCCTACTTTTTGTGGGATTTTACTGGGTTTGTTGTGATTACCAATTAAATGCTAAAAAAATTAAAAATTGAAGCATATACAACATAACAGTTTTAAGAGTAAATTCCATAGATGGTCCCCAATTCCATATTCAGTCTCCAAGTATAAGATATTCCATAAATGATCCTCAATTTTGGAAAATTGTTCCTTAATTGATCCTTCAGGGACTATTTGGGGGGGGGGGGGGGGAATTGTCATATTTTATTGTTTATAGAATAGCTTATAATTAAGGACTAAATATGGAAAGCTACTTATAATTAAGGACCATTTATGGAATTTACTCCAGTTTTAAAAACAAAAACTTGATCTAATCTATCCCCTTATAGATCATGTAAAGAAAAGACACACCATGAGAATAACAGCCCAGCAACAAAGTTATGGTTTTGTTTAGCTAATAGTTCCCCCCTCATAATGATTTTCACTGCTAAAGTTCAAACATTGAAAGATTAAGTGATGCTTCAAAAAACAAGAAACAACCTGCGAGGGTCATAAACAGAAACAGTGCGATCAGCTCCACCTGCTGCAATAGTTCCATTTGAGGAATCACAGACTGCATATAAGATGTCCCCTACTGACCCACAAATTCTATGGACACACCCTCCTTTTTCTCTCATTCGTATGTCCCATATACTAAGCTGCAGCAATATCATATCAAAGGGAAATGCATGATTAGAGAAAACAATAAGCACAATCTGACCAAGTCTAGGGAGTGTTCATTGGAAGTGTTATTAGCAACAAAATGAAAATTTATTTTAGCAACGAATTGAACAGTATACAATGCGTTAAATATATTTAAAGAAATAAATGTGAATGATGAACAATCTTTAACTTGTAAATGGGCATATGCACGGCGTACAATAAACACCGCACATCCGCATGTATGATTTAGGAACTCAAGAATATACAGGGATAAAAAGAGGGAAAATAAAATATATTGCTTGGTAGGTGCAGCTGAAATTGCTGGATATAAATATTCAGTTTTTTGGTTTTCTTTGGAATGGTAAGAAATAATTAGTTTAAATACTGAAGCACCCCTACATTTGTCTTTCTGAAATAACTATTATGCATATCTGTGAGGGTATTATTGTCCAAATGTACTAACTTTTTCTCTATTGACCATAAGGATTAAAGAACACCAAACAAGTGGCAGAATGATTTTTTCCTCAGATGTAAGGGAAACATATTCCAAACAGAACCAACTATATTAACCTATCCTAGGAATAAACAAGGAAAAGTTTCTCCTTCCATCTAAAAAACCCATTAAGTGTTGAAATCTATAATGAGCATTGGAAATACCTGGCACCCTTCTGTGACGGCTAACATTGAGCTCTCACCATGACCATTCAAATTTTGCATGAAGATCAATGAAGTTGGATACAACAATCTGCTAACATGATAATAAAATTAGGAAGCATGTACAAGGGGTTTCAACACAAGCATTTAAGAGTGTTCCCAAATTTAATTTGTTCTCAGCTGAACTAATACTCCAAGATCGCATAGTGATCATAGATACACCATCAAAAAATCAGGGGATCCATCATCCATGTAAACCAAAAATTCTTTGGGATTATTATTGTAAAAATATAGAATTCCTGGAGCACCAATGATAACTAAGCAATCTTGGAGTATTCGTGTAAAATCTCAAATTCCTGAGAGCCTTGGGATGATTTTTTCCCAAGATTAAAAGATATGAGCTAAAAAAGCAGTCGCAGTATTAAACAGTAAGGTGGTACTTGCGCGCGTAGACTGCGAAGATGAATATCTTGGTCATACACATCAATGCTCTTCCCAAAACTGTGTGCAACAGCTGCCTGTGGAAAAAGCTATGGATTAGTGAAGTTCTTAGGAAAAGGGGGAAGAGTTATATCTATAAACCAGTTCATGGAATTGCATAAAAAACAAATAACTCTGTTTCCTAGACGTCACTGGCTGATGAAAAACAAGTGATTATTTAGAAATAATTGTCATGTTAGCTTAAAGTTATTGGAATGCAGTTTGCTCCACAGAATACATTGCGAATAATTTAAGCAGCTTTATAAGTCAAAAAAATTGTTACTATTTTAGCTCCATTTTGTGTAGAAGTTGTTGAAACTACACATTCACCTGGTCTTATTTTATTTGTCTTACTCTCCTAGTCTTCTTAGTTTGTCCCAAAAAAATGTTAACTTTCCTAGTGAAAGCAATAATTTCCTTTTTTTACTTTTCCTGTCACACTCTCCATATTAAATTTTAAAATGAGTTGACACTCATCGAAATGGATACATACACCCTCCCCAAAACCCACATTGTGGCATTTTACTGTCTATGTTGTTGTTGTTGTTGAGTTGACACTCATCAAACGAACTATAAGAAAGCATAGTACCATGGACCACTGAGTTCGATTGAAGCACAGACCAGCCCAACTACCCTCTCCAACACCACAATCTCGAGGAGAGATTGAAAAGGTCGACCTATCTACATCTGGAATACATTTTGCAATGTAAATAGATCATAACTCAATCTTTGCACAAAATGATGGAAGCAAGAATGGGAAGTAGAAATGCATACCTTCACCACACATTTTTAATTTAGAAACTATAACATAACCGTACGAGTCTACACTTCCTAAAACCGAGAAAGCAGTGCCTGAAAATGCAACATAATAAAGAAATTATAAATAGCACAACAACAAACCCATCAAAGGAGTGGAGTCTGGGGAGGGTGTAACTACGCAAATCCTACCCCTAGAAAGGGAGTAAAGAGGTTGTTTGCCACCCGCTCAAAATACACGATCATAAAGAAAACAAGAAAGTAGCACAAAACAAAGTAAGATTGAACTAGTGACCCATAGTTATATAAGAAAACCATTTTAGTTTAATGATGAGATATAATTCTACTCAATCCAAGCAAAAATGATGACTCACTATCAGTTTCGGAAAGCACTATTGATTGTATTTCGGAACGATGAGGGCATCGATTGACAATTGCAGATTCCAGAACCTTCACATATACCTCATTAGATGAGTAAAACTCACTGGTGATGATGCAATCGTGTTCGAACAGTAGCTGCAAGTAATAACACACAGGTACCTCGGTTTGTTCAGGGATTAGGAGGTCCTGCTTCCCTAGATTCACTGCTGAATTATTCGTTGAAATCTGGATGCAGAAAAATGAAATTTCATTTCCATAACATTAGAATTAGAAGCACATGTGAGATGACAACTTACAAGGAGTTTGTAAATGCTACAACCGGAAGCAATATATACCCAGCACGATTCATCGCCTCCAGCGTTTACCTGCGCATTTTAAGGGAAAAGAAGAAGAAGAAGAAGATGATGATGATGATGATGAATTATTGAGCTTAGTTTCAGAAATTTGAATTTTAAAATGATAGGAAGAGCAATTGGTGAGCGGACATGGAGGGCGAGACGCGTGGGCTGGAGGTTTCCGGGAGAAGGGTGCTCGAATAGGCTCGAAGGAACCGCCGCTTTCTTCAAGCTCTTCGCCTCCAGCATTTCTTATCAGCCGCGGCAACCGGCGGCGGCGGTGAGCCGGCAACTGAAGTGAAGTTGCGGAACAAAAAACGGAGTACTCCGTAAAGATACTGTAGCACAAAAGCTTTGAGAAAATTACAACAAAAAAAAAGGCAATTGGGCTTTATGAATATTCAAAGGGAATACGGGCCTATATTTCAAAATAGGCCATTCTTGAATTCCACATGATCTCTCTCCATCCATTTCTATATAATGATCCGTTTCGCTTCGCGTGTCAAATGTTTGACTAATTTTATACAAAAATATACACTGAATTAAAATATAAAAATCATATAAAATTATTAGTATCAAAAAATTCTTTAAATTTATTATTTCTTAAAATGAATTGCCAATATATTAGGGAGTATAAATCTATTGTTAGTCAAACTTTAAGTTTGAAAAACAAAGCAAACAGTTAAATAAGAATGAAAGGAGTACTTGGTAAGTCCCAATTCAATTTTTTTTCATTTGTTAGGCTAAAAAGAAAGAAATTTGTGTGGTTAAAATTTGTGTAAAATTTTTTTGATGTGAATTCAGACAAGTAATCATGACCTCAGAAGTAAAAACATTTGATTTAAAGAACAAGTTTCATGTAAAGAACAAGATAAGTAATCCAGACATTAGAACTCACAACATTCTTTTCTTCTTTTTTGACCAAATTTTTGGAGAATGTATTAATCAAACTTCAAAAATTGTGACCACATGTCTTGTGTATCCCACCAACATTCTCACTTGAAGCTCAAGATCATAGGCTCCAAACCAAAAAATTGCTCTCAGGTACCCTCTATTTCTTGATAAGAACTGTCAGGTCCCATTATTTTTCTAAATATACTCTGGGGTACCTTAAATTATCTAAAAAATTACTGAGGGGTGACAATCCATCCATGTCTCCGTTAGTTTCTCTCACCGTTACCTTTTTCATCTTCTTCTTTCATGTTTTTTCTTTCTTTCTCTCTCTCCCTCTTTCTCTTCCGATTAGCCCCCCCCCCCACCACCCAAATCCCTCCCCCCTTTTTTTCTTCCTCTATTATTTCTTTTCTTCTATTATTATTATTATTATTATTATTATTATTATTAATTTTTATTTGGAAAAATAGCACTTTTTATAAAAAACACTTATTATTAATACTATTATTTATTAAAAACAATTAATTAGTAATTTACTACTTCACTCTTTTATAAAATTAACATTACTTATTAGTATTACTTTGTATTAATTATTATTTATTTCTTATTGTTTTATTTTTCTTCTATTTTTTAATCTATTATTATTATTAAAAGTTAATTACTACCTCCATTCCAGAGTATTTGTCCACTTTTATTTTTACACACCATCCAATGCACTTCTTTAATCCATTTTATCTTGTAATTTGTATATTAAAAATTATAAAAAATTATCCAAAATAATCCCAACTTTACCCGGTCTTTCAAAAATAATCTCACCTTTCACTGTGATGCATAATAATCCCAACTTTACTAAAATTTGTCAGTTTTTGGGTCGCCGTTAAGTTTTTAACGGAGGGTTAACGGAAATGCCATTTTAGACAACAAAATGAAAGTTGGGATTATTTTTGATGAATTTTTTTTTATTTTTTTTTAATTTTTCATTTAAATTTTTTGAATTACTTTCTACCTCCATTTATTTTTATTTTTTAAAGATTATACTTACCTTAGAAAAAAATAGATATAAAAAATAATGAAAATGAGAAAATAACTAAAACCATACAAAATTAATCAAATAAATAATGTAATCAATAGAAATTAAACAGAAACTGGTAAAAAATAAAATAAATATATACGGAGTGGTGGGTTTTAACATTTTACACACCACACGGAGTCTTAATGTACTACTTATTTTTTAAAAGAACAAGCCGTTCGGTAAAGTTGGAATTATTGTAGATATTTTTTTCTAAAAAATAAGAAGTGATATGTTAATACTTTGTATAATGCGTAAAATATTAAAATCCGCCCGTATATTTTTATTTTACTTTTACCAATTTCAAGTTAGTTTCCATTGATTACCTTATTTAGTATTTTATTATTTTTGTATCATTTTAGTTACATTTCTCATTTTTTGATTTTTTATATCTATTAATTTTATTTTTTTAAACTAAGACTAATCTTTAAAAAAGGAAAAAGAAATGATGATGGAGGTAGAAAGTAATTTTAAAAATTTAAATGAAAAATTTTAAAAAAATAAAACAATGAAAATTCATCAAAAAAATCCCAACTTTCATTTTGTTGCCTAAAACGGGCATTTCCGTTAACCCTCCGTTAAAAACTTAACGGCGACCCAAAACTGACAAATTTTAGTAAAGTTAGGATTATTATGCATCACAGTGAAAGGTGAGATTATTTTTGAAAGACCGGGTAAAGTTGGGATTATTTTGGGTAATTTTTTAAAAAAATTATAAAAATTATATATTAATAACCTGTATGTTAAGACAAATCAAATAAAAAGGGGGAGAGATTTGGGTAGTCTAAGAAAACTACTACTCCCTCCGTTCCGGAGTATTCGTCCAGTTTTAACTTTTGGAACTATTCATCTAAGTACTTTGAGTAATCAAATTCTCTCAATGTGTAAGCCTAAATATAGTCATGTGTGATCTTGTTTGATTTGTCTTAACATACAGGTTATTAATATATAATTTCTATAATTTTTTAATATACAAATTATAAAATAAAATGGATAAAGAAGTGCATTGGATGGTGTGTAAAAATAAAAGTGGACAAATACTCTAGGACGGAGGTAGTAATTAACTTTTAATAATAATAATAATAGATTAAAAAATAGAAGAAAAATAAAACTATAAGAAATAAATAATAATTAATACAAAGTAATACTAATAAGTAATGTTATTTTTATAAAAGAGTGAAGTAGTAAAATTACTAATTAATTGTTTTTAATAAATAATAGTATTAATAATAAGTTTTTTTTTATAAAAAGTGCTATTTTTCCAAATAAAAATTAATAGTAATAATAATAATAATAATAATAATAATAATAATAATAATAATAATAATAATAATAATAATAATAATAATAATAGAAGAAGAAGAAAATAAATAATAGAGGAAGAAAAAAAGGGGGAGGGATTTGGGTGGGGGGGGCTAATCGGAATTGGAAAGAGAGAAAAAAAAGAAAGAGAGGGAGAAAGAAAGAAAAAACAGGAAAGAAGAAGAAAAAGGTAACAGTGAGAGAAACTAACGGAGACATGAACGAATTGTCACCCCTCAGTCATTTTTTACATAATTTAAGGTACCCCGGAGTATATTTATAAAAATAATGGGACCTGGTAGTTCTTATCAAAAAATAGAGGGTATCCGCCAGCAATTTTTTGGGCTCCAAACTAAGGTAAAAAGTCCCAAAATAACATGCCCTGATTGGCTTGAAGCCTTTTATTTCCATCACCATGGCTATTAATTACCCCTAACATTGGATCTCCAAGATCCAAAAACAAGAAACTCAGCAGCACATACAGAAAACCCTCAGGTTATTTACTTACCAGTATTACAACCATAGCAGCTAAAATGACTCTTTGCTGATGATCCTAAAATTGTTTTTGCACAACATGATGAATTTAACAAAAAAATGGGTCTGCTTAAAATTACCAAGACCATTTTTTTTTCCCTTTCAATGTCTTACATTTCAAATAGAGCTTTACCAGTGTCCCCCGCAAGCATCCCCTTCCGTTTCAACTCCAACACCATGCGTTCGTTCTCAAGTTTCATCCTCTCGTTCTCCATCCGCATACTCTCCAGCTCAAACTCCTTCTTCTTGCTAAACCTCTGCCACTTGATCCGCTCCCTCTCCAGCTCCAACATCTGTGCTTGGATCTGCAGCTTCTGTTCCTCAAGCTGAAGGAAGCGCTGTTCCATCCAGCGTCTGTCTCTCAAATCATCATCAGTTGGCCCCAACCCTAACTGGCTTGCATCCCCATTTGCATTATGTGGCTGGAAACCCAAAGAACCTGCATAGCATTCATTTGGTTTGATCCTCTTTGTGGGACCACCTCCCTGAATCTCTTCGCACTCTTCCTCGTGCTCGTCCAGCTCAGCATCCGCATCATCGTCGTGGTCAGCGTCTCTGGTTCTAAGAGCAAGCCGCAGCGAGCGCTGCAAGTCTGGGTCAGGAGGCAGGTGTAAACGGTTACCGTTGTGGTAAGAACACATCTCCTCATAGTGCAAGTGCTTGGAACTCAGAATCTTTCTGACTTCTTCCTTTGCTTTCTCTGGAATGTCATCCATCATGTCCAGGAGCACGGGGTTCTCAACAACCTCGCAAGAAGTGCCCTTCCCAAGGATCTCATTCAACCTCTTGTACCTTTTGTTGAGATCGTTGAACTTATCCTCGCACTGTTGAGGGGAAACAAAGTGTCCCCTTTCAGCCATGACCTTGGAAACAGATTTCCACTTCCCCTTTTTGTGCAGATTGGACGATTTCCTCCTCCCACTGTACTCAGCAGAAGCTTCCTCGCCGATGTAAGACACAGCAGTGATGAGTAACCTCACCATCTGATCAGTCCATTTCACACGGTGCCAAACGAGCGCTTTCTTCGTCGCCCTATTCTGATCATCGCTCGCCGACTTACCACCCTCATCATCATCGCTTGTTGATTTAATGCCCTCGCCTTTGCCATAATCACTCAGATTAATGTTCTGATTACAATCAGGAACAATATTGATTGAGAGGGGAAAGTTCTCGTGGATAGGCAGCTGGCGAACAATGGATCCTGTGTGAATGGGATGGGAGTGTAGACCAGCATGGTTATGAACCCTAATTGAACCTTGTAAATCAAAACCCCCATAAGAACATCCCGGCATCATATTCCCAGTTCCTTCCATTTTTTTCCTTTCCCTACAACAGTTTTTGGGAAAATCAACTCAGAAACGCAGTTCAAATGAGCAAATTATTGACTCAGAAACAACCAAATGCCGAAGCATTTCATCTCTCAACAAGTCCAGATTCATCAATCCAGCAAATATCGAAATAATCGATAAAAACAGACTTATATTTCACATATTATCAATCAACATACGGAAACCAGACATTAGAGCAATCTATGAAGCATAACACCGAAATCGCAAAAAAAAAAAAACAAAATCCGAATCGAGAAACTATGTCTGGAAAATAAACAGCAAAGCTATGTTCGTGATGAAGAACTTACACATGAGTAAGAGATCTGCTGGGTACCGGCCGAGAAGATGGAAGGATTCAAAGCCTTTTCGATATAGAGAGCAAAAAGGGAGAAAATTCGGAAGGGTTTTTACTGTTGGGAAGAGGGAAAAGGGGGGAAGAAGTGGGACCTGCGAAGCTAAATTTTTCTCGTGTTCTCCACAATCACAGAGGCTGAAAATGGTAGGGGAAATAGCTTAGCTTAGCTTATTAGAAAGACGGAAGGGGTTAATGAGCAACCACAACGAAGAACCTACGCACAGGCTACAGCCTTGTATCGTACTACCTTGGTCCACCAAATTCCTTTTTTTTTTTACTAAATTAATTTATTTCATTGTAGATATAAAATTAAAAAATAAAATTTATTAAAAAAATTAAATACATAAGTAGTTTTATACTCCGTATACCGAAAGGTAGTATGAATGTATTATATTATGAAACAAATGATATAAATAATCAGGCAAAATGAATTAAGCTAGACCGTGTGAATATCGTATGAGAACAACTAACTTGGAGTCTTGGACGGATCGGAGAGAGTAAAAAACAAGGATTGCTCAGGAAAAACTATCTTGTGTGTTAATATGTTACTCTTTCATCTCTTATAGATTTTCTCATTAGTTTTTTTAATATTAAAAATTTTACAATTACTCTCATTTACTTTACTCTGTATTTATTACACTCTCTCACCTTATTTAATTTAATACACTCTATTCATTTTTATTAAAAATATTTTGGTAAATTTTCATCTTTTTTCAACTGTCTTTAAAAACTAAAACTAAAGGAGAAGAATGTTTGAGTCATAATAAAATTAATTAATTAGTGAAAACTTCCTATTTATTAAAAAAAGTACCCAAAAAATATTGAAAACAAAGTTTTTTATGTTTGTCCCGAAGTTAATTTATTGTTCGTTTTAAAGAAAGCATTCAATGATTGAAATTTTTTCTTCACTTTACCGTATAAATGGCAAATACATAACTTTATTAGTTTTTTAAAACTTGAAAAGTTAAATTAAAGATAAATAGACTATTTTTGTTTGTTTTAGAAACAGGTTTAATTTTCAAAAGAACTGTGGTGTGATTTGTACCTTAAATTGACTACCCTCCTAAAATATTCTTTCCCTTTTAACCTTGCACACCTATTAAGAAAATACTCCGGTAAATCTATGTTTTTTAGAGAGGTAAATCTATGTAATTATATTTTATTTAGAAAATAGATAAACACAACAAGCCATAAAAAATATATAGCTCGAAGAAAAGATTAAAAAAATTAGGACAACAAAGAAAAAATGAAGAAAATTTTGGAGCTCATAAAAATAAATCACTACCTTAGAGTCAGCAAATTGCACAACACTTAACGTTACCCTCATGGATTACATGCAGCTTCAATTATTTGATGTTTTAATACACCGAAGTATTTTTCTTTATTTTTGAAGCTACATTCCAAAAACAAATCATATTTATTACTCATATTGTCAAAATTTAATTTTTTTCTTTTATCAATTTTCATTGTATCTTTTTTGCTTTATAAAACATATAATCTAATTTGTAAATATATATATGGTGTACATTTTATTTTTGAATATTACACCAATATTCGAATAAGAAATCTTAAATTAGATTTAGTTAAATAACAGAAATATCAACTCATGCCACCCGATAATGATCTTTTAAACTATGTTTGGTTCAAAAAATTTGAGAGAAAAAAGAAATCACTTTTTCATACGGAGTATTAGTTATAACTTTGTTTGGAACACCATTTTCAAAAGTAAATAACATTTAACCTTGTGAATAGTGAGCAAACCACTTAACATGAGACGAGGGGAGTAGAACTTTTAATATAGTTTATATATATATATATATATATATATATATATATATATATATATATATATATATAGTTTCAAAACCAATATTTAAATAAAAAGAACTAAAAACTTAAAAATTCGTTTCATTATGCATAAAGTAGAAAATCTTTTGGGACAGAGAAAGTATTACACTGTGTTTGGGTGGTGAAAGTAGTGAGAGAAAACTATACATTGGAAAGGTGAGAAGAAATCATCGGTATATAAGCTCTTGAGTTGAACTAAGTAGATAATAAAATTTAATCTTTTAATGCGATTCAGCTTAAATGTCATATGCCCAGTCTAGTGATCTCTACTTCATCTAAAATTCTATCATGGTATCAAAGCCATTTTTAGCCCACCTCATCTCCCAAAATGTCCGTCTAGACGTTCATTTCTAGCGCCCCTAATGTTTAGCCCAGTTGTATGTGTGGAATGTATAACAACGGCATGTGGACCGTTTAATCCAATTGTTCGTGGTTCTTGAAGTGTGGCCCTAAAAAACAGGAGATGAGAATTCTTTTTTAAGTGGTCAACCAGTTAGGTTCAAAATGACACAATTGCCACTTACACTATGTTTGGCTAAAGGATTTTGGAAGGAAAAGAAAAGAAAATGATTTTCTCTCAATTTCCTCACCAAAATGGAAGAAATTTGGTTTTCCTTCCACTTGGTACATTTTGTCTCCTCATTTTCTTTTCCTTCCACTTTTCCTTTCTTTTCCCCTCTAACCAAACAAGAAAAATGATTTTCCACTTCATTTTCTTTTCTTTTCCTTTTCAAATTCCTTGAACCAAACATAGTGTTAAAGAACTCTATTAGAATGTATCCCTCATTAGAAAAATAAGAAAGAAATAATCAATATATATACTCTTGAATTGAATAATTGATTGAATTGAATTTTTTAGTGTAGTTCAATCCTCTGTCTTCGAGTAAACAAACCATTAGTATGCCGCAGAAAGACCGTTGGGAAAAAATGTGCGTAATAAATAGTGACAGATTTTGTGCGTGTGGGCGCTGCAAACAGGCCAAGTTGCAAATTGCAATCAACCAATTAGCATGGACGGATTATCCAATGTGATTTGTCCAAACGATTCCATCTCATATTCTCATTTACTATTATTGCCAATCATATGCCAATGAACACAAAAATAACCAATAGAATATCAATCAATCAATCAGTTGTACATTACTCAGAATTATATATGTTCAAATCAAGTTAGAAATTACAGCTTGAATTTCCACACACAAACATAAAAGCATTGAACTATTCTCCTATTAAGGTCTTGTTTGGAAACGATGTTTTTTATTAGTGTTAACGTTCTAAATAAAATTTTAATGGTGTAAGTTAATTTTGAAAACGCTAGCAGATAACCTTTTCGAAACACTAACCTCTACCGCTAATGTCAAACGGAGCCTAAGTTGACCTTTTAAGATATACTCCGTAGCTAAGTAATAATCTAATGAACAAGAGAGAATACAAACATCTGTGGCAGAAGCTCTGGCAAACTCATTTCTCCCCAATGTTCTCTACAATATCTCTGATCTGGTGGTGCTAGATATAGACATATGTGTGTATCCACACACTGCTGTGATATATGCCATGAATACACATGAAAAACCTTGTTAGGATGCTTCCATTTATGGACAAAATGTGAATCACTTAGGACACAAAAGAATGTGACATATCTACTAACAGCACAAGAGCAGAACATACACATGGACAAATATGCCCTTAAAAAAAGAACAAGAAGAAGAAGAAAGAATGTCTGAGTAAGTAATTAAACCACATCTATCTGCGTCTTTGACGGGAGAAACTAGGGGACCCGATGTGTTGTGACCCTTTAAAGCTCAAAGCAGTCGAATCTCTGAAAGAAGCATAAGCTGCTTTTGCAGACTCAGGGACTGAATCCAAGGGGATTGACTCCACAAAGCACGCTGTGTTTATTCGGGTCCTCTCAAGCTCGGTCTGGAGAAGCTCCGAACTGTACTGCTGGGCGAGAGCGATGAGGTCATCGGGTGACACGCTCGTACCTTGCTGCCTGTCATCCGACAGCACGTCGTCACTTCCCCGTGTTGGTCTCCGGCTATGACTTGGCGTCTCAGATGTTTCCATCACACTTTCCGCTGCTTTCTCCAAGAGAAACCCTTGTAATGACTTGAGAGATTCCCTTGCTTCCGGTGTAAAATATGGGTTCAATATTGTCTCAAAATACTCAAGCTGCATGATTCAAGAGTGTTGTTAAGTGTCACCTAACATAGACGATGTCCATAGAGATGGGCATGGCCAAGGTTCGGCCCGAGCCCTAAACTTGGATCCTGAAAATGGTCCTAACAGTGGGGTGGGTCAGGCTTGACCCGATCCATAGAATTGAACCCAAAAATATTTCCGGTGCTAGTTACTAAAACCGAAAACAGGCCCTTAAATCTTCAAGTTACATCGATTGTCTTGGGTTTTGGTGGGTTTTAGTTATCATAACAAAAGTTTTTCTAAAATTTACTACTGTTACTTCTTTGACAAAGTGAAAAATATTTTGGAAATAATGATGGAAATAATGATCTTAAAAAAGTCTTACAATATGAATATTTTGAATAATTGAATTAAATAGGTTGTTTATGATTCATATTTTATATACTCCATTTAAAAGTTCCATGGTCAGATTTGGCATTTTATTTGTAAACCAGAGATCTGAACCATGTTTTGAATTTTGACCATTTTAATATTAATTGGGGAAAACCTGATTAAATTTGAACCCTTCCCAAATTTTGAGAGTTTACATCTACTCACCTCAAGCATAATCTGACAAAAACCATTAGCATCCAATACTCTAAGATCTGTTGTCTCGTTTTCATGGAAAATGCTGATAAAAGTATCTATTAGGCCTTCAACAAGAATGCCAAGTGTCTTGTCTAGCAGTGGCTTGCAACCAGCAAAAACCTGCAGTTAAGAGCTCAATTGGTAGATATAGACCCACTACAATAAACCTGGTAACAATAAGAGCAGGACACCATGATGCCTGACGGAGCATGAAGAATATACCTCCGCATGTACTGCTACTAGAGTGTGCAGCAACTCCACAGCAGCATCTCGAACACCCTATTAATACATTCGGATTTGATATCAGCACAAAAACCATAAAAAAAACTCAGCACGGAAATCCAGGAGCATGGGAAACAAATAAGAACTCACTTTAACAGCAGGTGCTGCACCCCATTGAACTCCAGCATCTAATAAATAGTTCATTGCTACTCCTCTAATCAAATTTGTCTGAAAAAAATGTAAAAGAGCAAAGGATGTAGCACAGATATGATCCACAAAAAAAAAAACTACCATATGACATGAGAAAAGTGAAAGTTGTTGAAGAGAGTGCAGTTTAGAATATGATTCAGTAACACGGTGTAGTTACGGAAAATGAAAGATTGATCTTAAGTACTTCCTATTGTGGGGAGGGGGGGGGACAGTTACCAAAGATTAGTCATACCTTTGCATAAGTGTAATGCTCGAGAACCTTTTCTTCAAGGCTGGAGAAGGATGCAATCAAATCTTGCATATCAGTGTCCTCGTCTTCCTTGCCCCTAGTGTTTTGTAAGCAAGATAACACAATGTTAAATATAATCCAAAACCCAATTAAGAAGCTTTTCCAGCACGGCATCTAGAATAACTCAATTGACAAGATAATAATGAGAAAAGAATAATTTCTTTTCTAGGTGGTTGTAATTGTGACATAATATATTATGTTACTTGTAAAACTGATCCAGTTAGGATGAAATTTCAATGTGCAGTAGCCAGTCACTCTTGTAGTCTGATGTTGATATGTGATAATGAATTGCAAGTAGATGCACGGTTTTAAGAGTTTGGTCCAAACAGAAAGCCATGTACCTGGTTTGCAGCCACATGTGTTTGTATTTGTTGTGCATTTCACCGGCAAGTTCATCTTTGCAATATCCTATATTGCTCAAGACCATTAAAAGCTGCCGGTGAGGATCAGTAACACTTCCTTGAAGAGGATCAGATGATTTTTCTTGTGGTTGATAATAGCCATTTCCAAAATGCAGACTGTCTCTGCTTGATCTACTCTGGATAAGCTCACTACCGATTTTCTCCTGATGAGCTGATCAACATGTAAAAATTTTGTTAATGTTGGAGCTGCATATTTATTTTGTAGATAATTTGATCCCAATTGAAAATAAATCTTTCATTTGATCATACCAGCAAAACCCAGTAAACAATTCAAGAAGGCAAGTCTAACAGTCTCTTGAATTTCTTGAAGCTGCACAAAGATATCTTCTGATTTTCTGGCCTTGTTCTTCAAAGTGTTAATCATTCTGATAATAATAAAACAAAACAAAACAAAACAAAGCATAAATAACTCAAAACGGAAAAGTACACATTCAAATGAAATATTCCATTTCTCATGGGCCCATAGTAGTTACTAAGTTATTTTAGTACACCGTAGTTACTAATTAGTAATTGCATGCACAATCGATAAAAACTCACAACTTATAGCTTCATAATTTTTATAGACTTTCACAATGCATATATCGAGAAAAAATGGGCCTAATCCGAAAATGAATGGGGATCTTAAACTATATTTTTTACTGCTCGTAGTATATTTCTATATTCTACATTGACTTTCTCCGGGTACGGGTAAGGTTTGCCTACACTTACCCTCCTCCGGCCCCACTTTGTGGGATTTCTCTATATTTCTATTATTTGTTTATTCCAAAATATCAGCAAATAAAATGTTTGGATTGAGTCCGTCAATTTCATAGGAGTGCATTAATTTTTGGCCAACTGGTTTCTTTCGATTGATGTGACACAAGCTCATCTCCTAGGGAAGTTAGGAACATTAAGGTTTAAAGATGAATTGCTCAGTTTAAGGATGTGCCAAAGATCTTAAGTGTAAGAACTACACGACTCCACCTAAACAGAAGATCAAAGGCAATAATGATAACAACCATAGCTATCAGGCCTGATGTTTACCACATTGTAAAAAATATGAGTATTTATAGTTCCTTTCATACACACAATTACACAAGAAATCAGGCAGAATTTAATGTGGCAAACATTAATCATAAGAAAGAACAAGAAAACGAGAAACAAATTACTTTGGTTTAGCACAAAACTTACGAGTTTATCTGATCCATCACAGAAGCCATAACTGACCGAAAGGCCAAAGGCAATGAAGAAATTGTATATGGGGATTTATTTCTTTCTAAAAGTGATACTGGAATCCAGGATTCATCTTTAGATATCTCTTCTGTAGTGATTCGCATCCATGAACAAAGCCTCAGTATGTATATTTTTGTAATCTCGCACTGTAGTGTCCGCATTGTTACAACTGTCAAACAAGACAAAATAACTCATGAAATAGCATATACTTATGGACTTGTAACAGGCAGGCAGTCAAGCAACTAATGATTTTATACCAGCACTTGGAGGTGCACACTCTTTCACTTCAAACGCTTGGGATGCTTTAGATATCTCTTTTATGGCATCACTCATGTATGCTCGAAGAACATTGGGTTCTTCAAAATCACAAAATGTTTTATGGACCTGCCACAATTATAAACAGATGCTATATTTGTAAAACAAGATGTCTCATTAACAAGTCAGAATAGATTCATAAAGAAAGAGGCAAAGATCTCTGAAATATGCAACAGAGTATATACCTTAGACTCGTAGAGCATAAGGGTATCCTGCAGCATCCCAGCAACTTCGTCAAGAGAGTGACTTGAGTATTTTGCCTCTCCAACTTTCTCTTCAGCTTTGTTTGCAGTTGTACTTACATTTGAATCAGAAGCTACCTGGGAAGACTGCAGAACATGAAATAATTCAATAAAATGACAAAGGGAAAACCCAGTGTTTGGCAAAATGAGTTAAAAATGACCAAAATGGTGACTGAAACACTGATTGGAACCTAAAAAGTTTTTAAACAAAAATTAATGAAATCTAAAAGCTGAAAGTGAAAAAATTGGGAGTATTTTCAATTTCGTAAACTTGCATAAAAAGGTAGCAAGATGGAATAACAGATGGGAATAACAGATGGAAAGGTAGCTGAAATATTTTTCCAGTCAACAAGAGTTACTTATTAAGTTTCAACTAGCTGAAATTTATTTTACGAGTACTTTTACCAGTACCAAAACCAAATATATCCAATTTCAATCTAGCTGAAGTTTTGATTAATAAGTTAGGTTTGGTCCAATAAGCTACCTCATTTAAACACCAAACATAGACTTAATTTCAGGCTCCATCAAAATTTTAAAACAGCTATAAGAAAGATCACTGGTCACAAACACGATCAGGTTTCTGCGACAATGCAGCAAACTAAGAACCCGATGGTTCAATAAGTCCACTACTGAACATTTACTTCCAGTCGTGCAGAGTATGCTTCAACTTCAAATCTAGCATCTAGTATATTCCGGCTTATTGAACCTTATCAGACCATATGTTAGTAATGTTACTAATACAAGCATTAAAAATGGCAGTATGGCACCTTAGCAAATTTGCCACTGAAAACTGAAACAGCAACTTTCCAGAAGGCTGGGATATGATGGATGATTACAGCAGTTAACCTGCATATATATTTCCCTCTGAGAGCATCAACATCTTCACCTTTCAAGTCAATCAATTGAAGATCACTCATAAGATGTGTATTCCCAAGAGAACGGGAGTAATCAACATCAGCCTGTTGAGCATGCAAATTAAACAAACTAATCAAAAAAGGAGAAAGAATGCCGAAACTGAACTCAACTTAACTAATTATTAGCTCGGTAGTTTTTCTTACAGATTGATTTGAACCCTGCTGGATTTGCCTCCACTTTGCGTCAGATAAAGCCTTATCGCGCATTTGATTTAGCAAATTTTCCATCCTTGCTTCATGATCAAAGGTGCACTTTTCAAGCAAGCCTCGAATTCTATGGTTCTGTGAAAAAACAAATGAACTGAGCAAAATAACATTCCAACATATAGGTGGACTATAAACATTGGGGAAAGAGAGCTAAAGGCTAGCAGATACAAGTACATCAAAAGGTAATTCTCAGGTTTTACAAAATGCATCTCTGAGCTTAAAATGCGTAGCAATTTTAAAGGCAGAAATGTATAGCCATGACACCCATGTATTCAGGGTAAATACATATAGTTGCACACAAAGCTCAATGACAATGTTATCAAAATAGCTTCATATAAGATTTGGTTAGAGGTTTCTGACCTGTATATTCAGATAATGCCAAACAGGATCGGACTCTGGTTCCAACTCCAATAAAAGCCTTACGATATTTTCAAGCTACAAGAAAGATTAAGATAACCATGAACATAGAATATTACATCATTAACTCCTTCAAACTTCTCAGCTTATTATTTAACAATTTTACAAACAATAGCATATGGTAAACAACAAAGTATTTCTCCCATCTGGACATCCTTTTACAGCAATGGTAGATATTGCTATAGCAAATTGTACAAGCAATTTACATTTGTTAGGTCTATGTTTGGATCTTCCATGGAATTATAGAGCATTCCCTTGAACTCCTGCATTACTTTATCAACTTCCTCAAGTACACGCTTTAGGATACCAACCTGAAAATGAAACAAGATCTTACGTAATTAAAGGAAAAGACAGATGAATATCCAAGAAGCAACAGCTTATAGATATAGTCGAATTTACAACTAAGCCAGACAGAAGATAGAATATCCAAAAATGAACAGAAGCATGGTTATGTAAGGATCGGCAAATCAAGAACTAATGGCAGTAATATGTAAAATCCATTAATAAACACTTTCCCACATCTGTACTGCAAAATTGTGGAAATTATCTAAAAAATACCTTGACGTTTATCTTTTATTTCCATTAATAACACTTCATGAAGCAGCCACTATATGGTTTATCATTTTTTGAAATCATGTTTATGAAGGCAAAAAAAGGATCACAAGTAATGTTGCAGATCTTCATAAAGCAGGAATATTCAAAAAAGAACTAAAAAGAGAAAATATATCTTCATCTCGATATATATGCAGGCTAGAACCTTTGACAGTTTTCCCCTCCATCTACTTTCAAGGAAGGTTAAAAGGGGGTAGGCCCGTAGGCCTTATTCACAATCAGAAAACAACCCTAAATTAAGAAGAAAAACTGAACATCTCTACTTCAATTCACATTTAAGTAGGGAGGTATATCCATCAATTCAAGTATCAAGGTCGCAGAACACTTGGAAAAGGGGCTCTAGATTTACAATGTTAAGCTATAAAAATGTCATCAGAAAATCCCAGGTCATATCAATTTTTTCAGCCCAATGGTAGGTCTGGATTCTTCCACTTGCACTGATGAATTTAAATGGTAGTATGATACTGATTAATGATTGACAACAACATCACAATGAAACAAAAAGCAGAACAAAATAATCGTGTCCGCTAGAAGAGCTGGAAGATAAATAGTTTATGTAAGATATAGACAAGTACAAGCGTTCCAGCAACATAACAGGCGCTAATTTAACAATTCAGAGAGAATGATAGGGTGGCGCCAAAGAATGAGAGTGGAAAATGTTTTTTTAGCAAAATGTAACAACATTTCTCCATACATGAGAAGGCAGGACAATTGACTTGGCTTTCCTGTACTCCCTCACTGCCAGGTCATATTCACCACTGCTGATGCTCTCACGGATAGTACTGGGTAAATTAAATAATGTTCGGAACCTTTGAAGCATTCCCTGAACAGACCTTATCTTCTCAGCTTGAGCCTACACAAAGAGTAATGTCACAATGATTTGTAAAAGGCAAGAGAGGAACTTACTTTAGACCTCGGAATAAATGAAATGGGTTCTCTAAAGAAGCATGCTAAAAATCAGCCAAGACTACCTGTCTTTCAAATAGAGATTCAAAAGCACGATTTGCAATTGAACTGACTTCCTGGATATAGTTAAACAAGTGAGATGTTCCAGAACCCTCAGGGTCTTCCTCAATCCGCCTCAATTTAGATTCAATGTCTGCAACCATCAAAGATGTTTCCTTGCCATTAAAGTCTCCTTTAAATTTTGATTTAAACCAGAACTGCATCAGAGCTTACCGTCAATTGTTGTTTTGCAAGAAATAAAGCAATCAAAATTTTCTTTGACTAATTGCTTTTTCTGTTGAGTGCGGCCTTGAAGGTCAGATTTCAATGAAATAGCACCAGATTCCAGATCTGCTGCACTAGTATTTTGGTGAATTCGGGATAAAAAGAGCTTTGGATCAAACTTCTCAGAGAAAAAATTCAACCGCTCTGCCAGGTTCATGGAGTTACATGTCAAACATAAAGATTATGAGAAATATATCAAAAATATACAAGCATGCAAAGTCTGATCCCAAAATGTTACTTGATTGCTTGTTATCGTTGAACCGCTCTACACACGGTATTAAAGAATTAAAAATAAAATTGTACCAGCTAATATTCAAATAATTTCAAAGTGAGTGGTACACTCCTACATCAATTGTGCCTTAGATTAAACAGAAACGAAGTTTAATATTTCTTCACCTGAAAAAGACTAGCTGACATATACATCTCAGTAATGCTTGCTTATCACAAAGTACTTGATTGTTTGTTATCGTTGAACCGCTCTACACACGGTATTAAAAATTAAAAATAGAACTTGTACCAGCTAATATTGAACTAATAGTGAAGTGGAACCAGAAACAAGGTTTAATATTTCTTCACCGGAAAAAGACTAAGCTGTCAAATACATCTCGCTAATGCTTCGTATTACTTGATTGTTTGCTATACCACTCTACACGCAGTATTAAAAAATTGAAAATAAAACTTCTACCTGCTAAAATTCAAATGATTGCAAAGTGGTACATTCCTAAATCAATTGAGCCTTAGATTAAACCAGAAATAAGGTTTAATATTTATTCAACTGAAAAAGACTAGTTTGTCATATACATCTCACTTATGCTTCCTTATTACGGAGTATTAAACGAGTTCCCAATCAACTAAAAGATTTATTTAAGCTTCAGCCATCGGTCATTTGAGGTACATCTCATAAAACCAACGAAACACACAGCTTTCCTGCTTAGAGCCTAATATCGACAAATCCACCACTCTGTGGTCAGAGTAGGAAGTTTACAATCCAAACATCAAATAATCTAGGAACAAACATGTGCTCCCTCAGAGCATAAAAAGTACCAACCACAAACTTATTTTCTTCATGCAGCTTCTTAGGTTGCAGCATGAACAGGCAATCAAAATAAGCCATGTAATTGAATGAATAGTACACCGGTGAATTTGGTTACTAAGAATCAACTTTTAAGTATCCTCCATATAATTTAGACTTCACGAATTTGGTAATTGTGTACCAAATCTTTGAAGGAAAGCTCATAAATATGAGGAACTAATAACTCAGAAACAGTTCAACACAATTAAAATAATCAGGTGGCAAAAACATAAAAATGAACAAATACCGCGGATGTCATGATTTGATTGATCTCTATCACCAACAGAGGGAGAGCTTGATGAATGCTCAGTGATCAATCTCAAAGTCTTATTGTCAATAATCCTGTAGGTTCATATGGTTTTAGAATATCCATTTAACATGACATGTCTATATAAAACAGTATCGGCATCCACTCAATGGGGGGGCATACAGAGAAAATTATGAATACCCTAATCCAAGAGGATCTATACATTCCATGCCACGGGGAAAAGACTGCAAGGTGTTAAGTCCCTTCTTGGCCATTGCAGTCGGATCCGGCATAACCTTAGGTTGTGTGATTGGAACTGCTTTTGTCTCCCTCATCTCACGGACCCTGCGCCTTAGCTGCCATCAGTTCAAATTTCATAAGTTTCACAATAATGCTTCGAACCAACCAAAACATACCATGTTGTCCAAATAACCACCACCCCCACACACAGTTCTTAAACTGAGATAAGTTTAATTACAGCGTGTGAGCAACCAATTGTAAATCATACCAATCGTTTCACATCAGAGAAAGCATAGCAACATGAATGTGCTCAGAAGAAATAACTAATTACAGCTTGAAATGAAATGGTGTGTGGATCAAAATGTCTACGACGTTTAAGGAAATTCATTGATATATGCCTCTGGAAACAAGTTTTAAAAATAGAATAAAAATATACGCCTGGAAACAGGATTGCATACCTCGGCTTCGTCAACGTGTTTCCAGCAACCAGGCTCATCCCCATCCCACGGCCTATCTTCATTCTTCCCACCTCTCCCCCCGCTCGCCGCGCGTTTCGCATCCCCGTAACCGCGGTCCTTGGAGGAGTCCTCGTCTCCGGAGGAAATGCTGAGCATCTCCACCTCGGAATCATCATCTTCCTCCACCGGCTTCCTCTGCTTGTGCTGCATCGTCGCGTTAGGAGGATGAGGAGTCCTTCCGGCCGCCGCCGGCTGTGGAGGTGGCTGGACGTAGTTGCGCACCGGCTTAGACGGCTGCTTAGAACCACCGGGCCTCTGGTAGCTGAGATCGCGCTGTGCTTGCTCTCTCAATGCGATCTGCAACAGCTCATCTTCGTCTATATCATTACTGTCGCTTGACATAATTTTTTTATATTATTATTACTACTTATTATTGCCACTTTACGAATTTTAATTTTTCAAAAATTACGGGGTAACATGTGGAAGAAATTGGAAAATGGAGACTGTTCGGATAGTAAAGTTTCCAGAAAAAATCGAAAATTTGAAATAGAAATGTTTCTGGAATTGGATCTGTGAGAGGTGCCTGCCGGCCGCCGGCGACAATTCGCTGGAAACGGGGGGAATCATTCAATCATCCAGATGTACAGATGAATGAAAGAGCGTGTGTGTGGAAGGGAAGTCTGGCGCGTGAGATATACTCCCTCTGAAATTTTCTCTTTTTCTTTTCCGTTTGAATTTTTTCAGTTATTTATAGGTACCTTTATTTTAAGGGTATATCTTACATTTTAAAAATATATTTAGAGATACCATTTATTTTAATTTAAAAAAGTATCTAATGAGTACCTCACATTTTAAAAATATACTCTGGGTTACCTTCAAATATATACATAAACTTATTCGTGATGACTTTCAGCTCACTCTCCGTCAAAGTCAGTTGCACCATTAATTTTAAGAAATATGGGTTTCAAATTCCAAAAATAACTCTAGACTTATACTTTAAGGATATGATGTATCCAATTTAATCAAAACTTTTTAATGAAATGAAATTTTCCTCACGGGTAAGTTAGTAAACATTTGGACGTAATCGGGGTATTTTTTAAAATGTGAGTTACCCGACAATTAATTTCTTAAAATACCCTTAGAAGGTATCTCGAAGTGTATTTTAAAAAAATATATGAGGTACTCGCTAATTAATTTCTCAAAATAGGATGGTAATTATGCGCAATTTTCTGTTATTTACCTCTGAACTTTTTAAAAATGATATTGGTTCCTCTTGAAAAAATGTATTCTGAACTTTAAAAATGTTACATCAATGGTCCTTAAGCGCCAAATTTGAAAATACATTAATCACATGTTCATCCATTGCAAGTATGAATTCATCAAAAGTCATATATCATACGTGAGTTTTACAATATGCTCTTCTCAGACATTATTTTTATAATTTTGTCTTCTTTAAACCCTTAATTATTATTATCTAATATATAGGGGTATGGGGCATGCCTTAGCTTGCATTAAAAGTCATCTTGACAATATGAAGTCAGGTGTCGTGTTACGCGAGGTTGTAGAGACGGAGCAAGATGGTGTAAGTATAGATCAAACACATACCAATGCGGAATTGGATGAGAATACATGTACCCGACATACTATTTCCGTCTTGTGTATCTATTTAAATTAATTTTTTCAAATCAAACTAGATAAATTTAAAAGTATATTGTATCCGAAGTATTAGGATAATGAAATAGGGAGTGAAAATGTGAAAATACGATATAAGGTTAATCAATTAATAGGGAGTAAAAATTTGAAAATACTCGATATAAGGTAAATCTAATCAATTATTTTCACACATGTGATCGTACGAAAAACAGAGGGCAGGGCAGTTTACGTTCTCCCGTGGTTGGAACAATGATTCCATCTCTCGTCCTTTTTTGGCACATTAAAGCTTCCTGTTTCCACTTTCACGGCAACTCAATGACGCCACCATAGCTACCTAATGAACAGCTTCCCACGTCCGGCCACAGCCCGCTGCACCTTATGAAGAGTGTTTGAATAATTGGAGGAAGATCGATGCGGCGGCTGCGGCGGCATATGAAGCCGGCGACGGCGGCTGCGGCGGCTCTGTTGATTCTCATCGGATTTGCAATAACGAAGCCGACCAAGTGTCAGACAGTAGCCAAGCCAGGGTGCCGCGACAAGTGCGGAGAAGTGGAGATACACTACCCGTTCGGCGTGGGGGACGAGAAATGCTTCCTGGACCCCGGATTCAATCTCACCTGCGACAAAGATTCCAAGCTCTGGACTACCCAGTTCAAGAACGGAGAGTCGTCCGGGGACGACGATCAGTCCCAAATCATCGGAATCGACCCGGCGATGGGGACGATGGAGATCTTGATGCCAGTGTCCCGCCACTGTTTCAACAAAACCGGCAATGAAACAGCCAACGAGAAGTACAAGGTGGGAGTGGAGCCGCCGACTTTCACGGTCTCCAGCAGGGCGAACAAGTTCTTCGCCATCGGCAGCAACACGTTCGGCATCCTGCGCGCCAACATAATCCGCAATGACTCCAACATTCCCAATCACGATTACAGGTACGTACTTTAATCAGTTTTCTTTTCATTATTGTTTCTTATTCCCAGCTGCCTGGGGTTTTAATCTCCACACACACACACACGCACACACATATTCTGAGAGTATAGTAATACAATTATTCCATAATTCAATAACAGGTTTTGGATGGGGTGCTTTTCGAGTTGCTTGTACGAAAAGCCCGGTGAGAGTGACATTAAAGAATGTTCGGGTATCGGGTGCTGCAATTTCACCTTTCCCTCGGGCATGAGGGAAATCCAGACCTTAGCCTACAATTTCCTCTACGAAGAAGATTTCAAACCAGTGTGGAACTACAGCAACTGCACCTACTCTTTTGTGTCCAGAAATGGGTGGCTGAGAGACCATCCATTATCTGATCTTAATAACCTGCCTTTTAATTCCTCAGGTTTGGTCATAGACTGGGCGGTTGGGAACGAGAATCAGACGTGTCGGGAGGATGACGACGATCCTCACACTCACGATATTATTAATATATGCAGCGGCGTCAATAATGCAGAGTGCGTCAACAGTACGACCAAACATGGGTACCGCTGTAAATGCAAAGATGGCTATGTAGGAAATCCATACCTTGGTTGCCAAAGTACGTGCGTATGAATCTCATTCATTCATTCATTCAAATCAAGAGTTTTTTAATTATTTACTTTTTCACAAAATGTAAGAATATGTAAAAAAAAATCATGTCTCGTTAGTTGTTGTTTTAATTTTGTTCAATTTGTGACAGATAAAGATGAATGCAAAGAAGGAGGTTATAATAACCCTTGCCATGGACACGCGACGTGCAAGGACCTTCCGGGAAGCTACACCTGCACATGTAAGAAAGGATTTGAAGGAGACGGGAAGAGAGATGGAAATGGGTGTGTCCTAAAATCAGGTGGCAGGAATACATTGCTAGTCGTTTTATTGAGTAAGTGATCATCAAAACCAGTTTTTATTTTCATTTCATCTTATTATCATATAGTATTCGATAAATAATTTTTAATCTATAAGCTGCTTATAAGTTAAATATTCTTTCGTAAAAACACTTGAATGCTATGAACAGGTGCGAGTTTGGGTGTCACAACATTGCTCCTCTTTAGCTTGTACATATACCGGAGATCGAGGAAAAGGATGTTAATCAAGCTCAAAGAACAATTCTTCGAACAAAACGGTGGTCTATTGCTACAGCAACAACTGGAGGGCGGGAATGGGGGGAGAATGAAAATCTACACATTGAAAGACCTTAAAAAGGCCACCAACAACTTTGACCAAAAGCTCATCTTAGGCCAAGGGGGTTATGGGACAGTTTACAAAGGAGTGCTGGAAGACTCGTCAGTTGTGGCTATCAAGAAGTCCAAGATTTCTGACCAAACCCAAGTGGAGCAGTTCATCCACGAGGTTGACGTCCTCTCCCAAATCAACCACAGAAATGTCGTCAAGCTCTTCGGTTGCTGCTTAGAGACTCAGGTCCGTCCCTAAATAAAATTCCATTTTTGACTTTTTGAGGATTTAAGGGAGGGATATTTTTGTGTTGACTTTCCAAAAATACCCTTGATGAGATGTGTAAAAGTAAGATGTGATATGTAGATTATTAATAAAGGTATGATGTGATAGGTAAGGTATGAAAACGTAAGAGGTAAAGAGGTTTTTTAAGGAAAAAAAGAAGTTTATTCGGGGACAAAGAAAAAACGAAAGGGGAAGTTTATTTGAGGACAGAGGGAGTAGAATTTAGGATGGGGTAGTGAATAACTGGATTAGGTAATAAGACAATTGGTTTGAACCACATTAAAAGATTGAATCCAATCGATTAGTTAATTCAATTCAAAAGTTTATGCACCGATTATTTTCTTCTTGAACTTCTGATGTGCGATAATACTCTAACACAGGTCCCCATGCTGGTTTACGAGTTCATCACCAACGGCACGCTCTCCGACCACCTCCACCGCGACGACGGGTCTCCGAAGATGCCGTTTGCGGCGCGCTTGAGAGTGGCCTCGGAGTCCGCAGGGGCAATTTCGTACTTGCACTCCTCCGCGTCCTTGCCCATCATCCATAGAGACATCAAGACGTCGAACATACTCCTTGACGAAAGGTTGACCGCAAAAGTCTCCGACTTCGGGGCCTCGCGGCTCATCCCTCTGGATCACACCCGGGTAACGACTCAGGTCCAGGGGACATTCGGGTATCTGGACCCCGAATACTTTTACACAGGGGAGCTGACCGAGAAGAGCGACGTGTACAGCTTCGGGGTGGTTCTGGCGGAGCTGCTGACGGGCGAGAAGGCGGTCTCTTTTTCGAGGGCGGAAGAGGACAGGAACTTGTGTGCCTATTTCGTCTCTGCTTTGAACAATGGGAGACTGGGTCAAGTTCTGGACAGCCACATTGTCAATAATGGGGCAGTAATGTTTGAGCATTTATTGGAAGTTGCAGAGATTGCGAGGCGGTGTATGAATGCGAAGAGGGACGATAGGCCGACCATGAAAGAAGTGGCTATGGAGTTGGAGAGATTGAGGAATCAAGTTGATGAGAAGGGCGACGAGCAGCCATGGAGAGGATCTGGAGAAGAAGATGAAATGTGTTGTGATGAGATGCCGGGGGAGAAATCAGTGATCATGTCTTCCCAGGTTGTTGACGGTGGAGATTCATCCATGTCCATGTCCATTGTTAGTGGGGAATCAAGTGGCAACATGGACACGAATTCCATTCTCATGTCATTGCGAGGTGGAAGATGATGATATGGTTTTTTTTTTACATTTCTTGTTGTTGTATTAATTAATGATTTCAATGATGTGGAGTGGCTAATGTAATGTTAAAGCACTATTCTCGGAGACATTTTTTAGCTTGAATTTAGGCCTGGTTTAAAAATTGGCGAATGATGACGAGGAATTTTAGAGGGCCTAAAAAAAGTTTTTAAAATTGGATGTCTAAAAAGTATATATTCATTTTTATTTTTTGATTTATTTTATTTCTTATTTTATTCCTCATTTTTTAAAGTTCTCAACAAAATTTATACTTTGAGATGTATAGATGCAATATATGTTACTCTGTAATTATTATTTTTTTCAAACCAAAAAAAATTAAATTTTAAGATAATTATAAATAGAAATTTAATTATAGAGCTTGATTAATAAAAGCAACAAATAGAGGGAAAAAGGGAAAAAATAAAAACTAAACGAAAAATAAGAAATGAGCACCAGTGATCTTTATGATTTGGAAAATAAGCAATGTACCCTTGTTCGCCGGAAAAATAACTAGAAAATGATTAGAGAGAATGAGAGTATTATGCGTGTGAGTATCATGCGTGAGAGCATTATGTGTGTCTATATTTTTAGTCGTTCAAATAATATATTAATGTCAAGATGAAGATGATGATCCCATTTTTTTAGAAAATACGGAGTATAAGATATTTAGATTGTAGAGAGAATGAGAGTATTATGCGTGTGTTTTTTTTGTAAAATGAGAGAGTTTATAAAAAGGCTTAACGCATTTGTAACGCCGCATGGTCGGCATTTAACGCCCGTCTGACCAAGTGGATTATAGATGTTCATTTCGAAGGTGGAATTGTTGATTTTTACTCAAAAAACAAGCATTGAATCATGAAGAAGGTGATGAATCTCAGAATCGCCATGGGAGATCCGAATGAAGAAGAGAAAGTTTGTTATAACCGTAAGAGAAAAATGCTGCATATTGTTGATTATCACATCACATCATTACAGAAAGAAAGAGAGTCCAAGGCTTTATATATAAGCCAGCTGTAGCTAAGGAAAGAAAAATAAAAAAACGTAACACGTAACACGTCATTGCTAGTTTTGTAGCTAACGTCTAACACCCCCCGCAAGTTGGAGGGTGGGAGAACCCCCAACTTGGATAAAAGACGATGATGGATATGGCCTGGCAGGCTTTTGGTGAAAAGATCTGCGAGTTGGTCTTCAGTGGGAACATGAACGAGAGTAATGAGACCATCTTGAACTTTCTCACGAACAAAATGGCAATCCAACTCTATGTGTTTTGTTCTCTCATGATAAACTGGATTGGTTGCAATGTAAATGGCTGCCTTGCTATCACACTTGACAGGAATTGGGAGAATACCCGGTATGGAAAATTCAGAGAGAAGTCTGGAGAGCCAAGCAAGTTCAGCAGTTACACGTCGGATAGATCTATATTCAGCTTCCGCAGAGCTGAGAGAAACAGTAGGTTGTTTCTTGGCTTTCCAAGAAACTGGGCTTCCTCCCAACATGATGAAGTAACCACTAACTGCTATGTCCTTACTAAGAACATTAAGAATCCAAGACGTGACCATGTCATTGCATCTTTGCCACGCACTGATTTGAACAGGATCATCAACAGATTTCTCAACATTTCCTTTGACAAACTCCAGTTTGTTCTTCGCTGATAATGCTATGGACATGGATTTTTTGCCATGGTCCAAAACCTTCCCCATCAAAACGTTTAGATACCAGATTCAGCCCAAGATGATCAGAAGGATGTAAATACAACGGATTTGACGGGCTTATGGTAGAGATCGTAGAATTCTCAGTGTTTTCAGCCATGAATTAGGGTTATGAACTCGTGAAGTACAGAGATGAGAAGAAGACAGACCGAGATTCAGAAATCACTGAGCAATCAGAAGGAATTGTACCTAGAATCGAGTAGAAGCTCTGATACCATGTTGATTTTTACTCAAAAAACAAGCATTGAATCATGAAGAAGGTGATGAATCTCAGAATCGCCATGGGAGATCCGAATGAAGAAGAGAAAGTTTGTTATAACCGTAAGAGAAAAATGCTGCGTATTGTTGATTATCACATCACATCATTACAGAAAGAAAGAGAGTCCAAAGCTTTATATATAAGCCAGCTGTAGCTAACGTCTAACAGGAATATCCATCTTGGACGTTCATACACCCTAGCTCGAGAGAATTGTGACATGATAGTATAATCTCAATTTAATTTAAGTCTTAACCCGTCAAAGTGATATCGTTTATTGGTAATCATTCAAGAAAATGTCTCACCTTGACAAATTGTGCAGAGATAATTAAAACGAAATTTAATGGTTTAGTTGTCTGTTTCAAGGGAAATTGTGCAGAAGGAACGCCATAGCTTACCAAGTCCACTCCTCAATTTCCTTCGATTCTCCCCATGAACATAACCCCAAGCTACCTTAAAATATACATCAATTTCATCAAACTCTGCTATTTACTAAATAAATTAAACACTGGCTCATCGGAAGACGAAGAAGATGCATATGAAGCTTGCATTAATGGCGGCTCTGTTGAGTGTTGGATTTGCAGCGACCCCGACAAGTCAAATAGCTTTGCCCGGCTGCCCCGAGAAGTGCGGAGATGTCGAGATTCCCTACCCGTTCGGCGTGGGCGACGAGAAATGTTTCCTGGACGCCGGATTCAATCTCACCTGCGACGGAGATTCGAAGCTCTGGACCACCCAGTTCAAGAACGAAGAACTCCCGACCACTCAATCTCAAATTTCCCGAATTGACCCTGCGAAGGGGACGATGGAGATCCTGATGCCGATCTCCCGCCTCTGCTTCAACCGGACCGGCGGGACGGTGGCCGACACGCAGCCGCGGCTGGGAATGGGGCCGCCGAGTTTCAGCGTCTCCGGCGACGAGAACAAGTTCTTCACCCTCGGCTGCAACACGTACGGCTACCTGCACAGCAGCAAGTCCCGCGACGACCCTCTGATGCCCGGATTCAGCTACTCAGTCGGGTGCATTTCGCAATGCGGGCACGGAGAACCGGACGACGTGGACGTCTGCTCCGGGATCGGGTGCTGCAATCTCACCGTTCCGGCGGGGATGAGGAAAATCCAGGCCGACGCCTACAGTTTCGGGTTCGATTCGAAGGTGTGGGGCAACTGCAGCTACTCCTTCGTGGCCAAAAATGGGTGGTTCAGATCCAGTGTTGCCGATCTGTCTGGCCTGCCCTATAGCTCGTCGCTCTTGGTCGTCGACTGGGCGGTTGGGGATGAGAATCAGACGTGCGTCGGCGGCGGCGATCGTCGGAATATTTGCGCCGGCGTCAATAACACGGAGTGTGTCGAGGCCAAGACCAAACAAGGGTATCATTGTAGATGCAGAGATGGTTACGGAGGAAATCCGTACCTTGGTTGTCAAAGTAAGATTTTCATTCAATTAATCCATTCTTATATCTTTCTTCCCGGTTCGCAAAACGAAGAAAAATCCCAAGTTTTTTCAATTTATTTTATCTAAATATTGGTATAAAAATAAAAAATAAAATATACATATTTAAAAACTACATCAAAAGTTTAACAAAACAAGTGGTGACAAGCAGTGGCGGACCTAGACTAACCGATGAGCGGTGTCAAGAATAAAAGATCGAGAACTTCTCAGGCGGAATATATAAGCATGATAAAGAGTTAGAGAGTAACGTCTCTAAATTTTCTTTAGAAACATAATAAGAAATAACAAAAAAGTATCAAACTGATAAATTTTATCTTTAATATTAAAATAATTAAAATAAAATAATTAAATGACATTATTATTAATTATAAAAATGATAAAAAATGATCACAGTAGAAAATATTGAAGTTAATACACATTGCACCAGTAGATAACTAATTTTTTAAACACAATAAAAAGTGACAAAAAAATTATGGAGTAATAAATATTTTTCAAATATTCAAATAATTCAAAATAACATAATTATGGAATAGAAAGTATTATTATTAATTATATAAAAAATTATTGTCAATACCTAATACTGTTTTTTAAAAAATTCAGCGGTGTCGGTTGACACCGCCGGACCCCCCCTTGGTCCGCCACTGGTGACAAGAATATTTTATTTTATCATATAGGCCATTAAAAAACACAAATAAATATAAATTCTCATGAAATTGGAATAGTGCTCTGGAAAGAAAGTTTTAGGACGGAGGGAGTATTATTTTTTGTTTGCTTTCCAAAGAAAATTTCTATTCACTTGCTAGTTGCTACACTCTCGCTCGCTCCCATTTTAAAAAAACCTGCTACCAAACATTGGAAAATGTGATAGACAAATACTCCATAATTTTCTTAGAAAAAATATCACTCTATCTCGAAAAAATCATTCTAAAAGTCATTTTTTATTTATTATGCCTCACTTATCTCATTTAATATATGAACTTATATATTCTACCATCTCAAAAGACTAAATTAAGAGTAAAGATAGTGAAAATACAAGAATGAAGCTTTATATTTTTCATTTTCAAAATAAGAATTACAATGACAATAATGTCAACATAGTCCGCATAATACCAAAGACATCATGGACTATCAAATACACCGACACTTTGTCACTGCACAAACTCTTATGGTTTGAATATCCCGAGTATATTGTTGTTCAACAATTTGTGGCGGCCTGCAGATATAGATGAATGCAAAGAAGGAACCAACTCTTGCCATGGAAACGCGACCTGCATCGACATTCCCGGAAACTACACATGTACATGCAACAAAGGTTTTGAAGGAGATGGGAGAAAGGATGGAAAAGGGTGTGTCCCAATATCCCATGGCAATAATACCTTGCTAGTCATTTGTTTGAGTAAGTGATCCAAAAATTTAACAAAGTTTTATTATTTTTCTCTCCTAAAAATACTCATTTCTTTCCCAAACTAATTTGAAATATTTGCATTAAAAATAATGACTAAAAATGCTACATTGGAAAATAAAAATATATGATGATATTTAATAAAAAGCATTATATGTTTATGAATTGTGATATTTAGATAAATTTCTCGTTTGATTTTTGCGTCTAATTAGCACAGGTGTGAGTTTGAGCGTCATAGCATTGCTCGTACTAAGCTTCTACGTGTATTGGGGATCGAGGAAGAGAAGGTTAATCAAACTCAAAGAACAGTTCTTCCAACAAAACGGCGGCCTATTGTTGACGCAGCAGCTCGGCGGCGGCGGCCGCGGCGGAAACGGCGGAAGAATGAGAATCTACACATTGGAAGACCTTAAAAAGGCCACCAACAACTTCGACGACAAGGCCATCTTAGGGCAGGGTGGTTTTGGGACTGTCTACAAAGGAACGGTGGGGTAAGCGGCGGTGGCCATAAAGAAGTCCAAGATCTGCGACCAGAGCCAGGTGGCGCAGTTCATCAACGAGGTTGTCGTCCTCTCCCAGATCAACCACAGGAACGTCGTCAAGCTCTTGGGCTGTTGCTTGGAGACGCAGGTCCCTTTGCTCGTCTACGAGTTCATCACCAACGGCACGCTCTCCGACCACCTCCACCGCGACGGCCACTCCCCCAAGATGCCGTTCCCGACGCGCTTGAGAGTGGCGGCGGAGTCCGCAGGGGCACTTTCGTACTTGCACTCCGCCGCGTCCCCGCCGATCATCCACAGAGACGTCAAGACGGTGAATATATTGTTAGACGACAGGCTGACTGCTAAAGTTGCCGACTTCGGAGCCTCGAGGCTCGTCCCTTTAGAACAAACTCAGGCAAGAAAAAATATCAAAATAAGAATAAAAAACGTGTAGAAAGACTTAAATTATTTGTCTAGTTTTGTGGTCAAGACATTTGACCTCTACTTAAATCAAAATGATATACTCCCTCCCTCCCGTGAAACATGTGAGTTTTGCTTTTTAAGATGGATTTAAGGAGAGTGTATTTTGATATTGAATTTCCAAGATGTGATGGGTAAAAGTATGATTTGATGGATAGATTATTAGTAAAAAGGTATGATGTGATAGTTAGGGTATGAAAAAGTAAGGGGCATAAGTGACTTGTTAATAGAATTGAAAAGTGTTTTGTGGGACAGATAAAAAAAAAAGGAGAAAGGTTTTATGGGACGGAGGGAGTAGTATATTGATTAGAAAAAATAATAATTTGAAAATATTATATAAAATAAATCAAATAAATTATTGTTCTATCAACATCTAATCCTCCGTATCAAATTCTATTTAACTAGTGGTTAAAGTGTGTCAATTTTGACTAAAAAAAGTCAAAAATAGACCAATACTCGAAGACGGAGATAATATATTCGGAGTAATATTTTCACAATAAAATAATTCAATTGAACATAAAAGTGTTACTCTTATTTTGGAGATCGAGCTTATCTTTTATTCTTATTTGGATGATTTGTTCTCAGGTAACGACTCTGGTCCAAGGAACGTTTGGGTATCTTGACCCGGAATACTTTCACACCGGGCAGCTGACAGAGAAGAGCGACGTGTACAGTTTCGGTGTCGTTCTCGCAGAGCTATTGACGGGCCAGAAGGCGGTTTCCTTTGCCAGGCCAGAAGACGACAGAAACCTTTCGGCTTATTTTGTTTCTGCTTTGAACTCTGGGAGGTTGGCTCAAGTTTTGGACCCTCACATAGTTAAGGGAGTTGTGTTCGAGCGTCTGTTGGAAGTTGCGGAGATTGCGAGGCGGTGTTTGAATGTGAAGAGGGACGAAAGACCCAACATGAGAGAAGTGGCGTCGGAGTTGGAGGGAGTGAGAAGTCATCTTGAGAGGGATGATGACCACCCATGGGGATTGGGAGGAAAAGATGAAATGTCTTATGAGGAGACGCAATATCTTTTGAAGGAAACAAAGATTCTTATGTCTTCTCCCGTTGGTAATAATGGTGGAGATTCATCCATTGATAGTGGTGAATACTCTGGTTTGCAAAGCATGGATTTGATTTCCATGTCATTGATGAAAGGGGGAAGATGATAATGGTTTTTTCTTAGCTTATTATAGTAGACTTGTAATGACTATTCATTGATGTGAATTGCATGTAAATTCAATATCATGAATAGATTGATCTTGAAACATGATTTTGAAATATTATACTTTTATAATATACTCTACGACACGACGATATATTTATATATAAATTGATACTTATTTTGTCCCGAATTAATTGTATCATTTTCCTCCTTAGTCCGTTACAAATTAATTGTTTCATTTTTTTTACTTTTCTTATAAAATAAGGAATATATGGTCAATATTCTATATTTTTTCTTTAATGAAATATCAAATAATCACTTTTTACTTTTCAATATTTTTTTAAATTTCGTGAAGTCAAACAAGGATAATTAATTCAAAATGAAGGGAGTATATTGATAATCAAAGTATTGGGTTAGAAATTGTAAAAAAGTCAAAAATGAAAAGAATTTATGGACAGAATTAGTATATATCTAAAAATTAAATAAAAAAATTCTGCAAAACAAGTTATAACATGACTATATTATTCGTCAAATTATCAACAAAATATGCGAAGAGAACAAAAGATAGGGTTTTATCATTGTGTAAATTACACAAAATTGCACAGAAGTAGCACAGACCTATAGATAAAGGCTAGTAAGTAAATGCTTACAACCCTAATAAATAATTTTCTTTTTTTGTGCAAAAGAAAACATAGAAAAACTTTTGGTAACTATTAGGATTAGGTAACTAACTAATCCTAGGACAATAAGTGACATTATTTTCCTAGGTTCTATTCCATAAGGGCGTGTTTGGTAACACTATAGGCGGGTGCATAAGCACTTGGCACCAAATTGGTCTCTACTCATAGTTTAACTCCACAAAGTAGAGATTGAAACAAATTGAGGAATGAAAGGGAAAGTGCAGTGAAGCCATTAATGGTTTCACCCTCTCATATGTAGCTAAAGAAGATAACCGTTGGGCTGCACAATTGGTTCACCATACAATGAATGGTCTCACATTGACACCCCATCTCATTTGGGGGTGCCTTCATTAACTCTTCTCTGGCTCGTGACGTTAGAATTTACATTATCCACCGTGGCCTCTTTTTTTTTTTTGCAAGTTTAGGAAGAGGAAACAAAAATAAGAAAAGAAGACAGACTGTCAATCCATTCGAAATATACAAAACCTCTTATGTGTTAATGCACTGTCAAACTGCACAATGTCAGTGGAACCCTCTTTGGTTGGGCGCATTCAGCTGTCCTTTGGTACTTCCGCGCCATCCTGTGACATGAATGAAACATGAACAAATTAATAATGGGAACAACGAATAGCTGACTTTGATTTCCTTGACAGAAGATAAAAGTAATGCATATATGACACAAGCGCCGCTGACCTCAGTTTGTTCCACTTCGTGTAAGAGTTCCTCAAGCTCTGCTTTAATCTCAGAGAACGAGGGACGGTTGTCGGGAGCTGCTTGCCAGCATCTCTGCATCACATCCAGCAGCTTTGGGTGTGTGTCCTCCGGGAGTTGTGGCCGAAGACCCTGGCATTTAATATGATACAGAAGATATGTTGTTGGTTCTATGATGCCAATGTATAGCAGTTACATCTCATAAGTGAGCTAGTTCATCACTTCATCTGTGGGAAAGAGTTGGTTTTTACACTATGTTTGGTTCAAGGAATTTTGTAGGAAAAGAAAAGAAAATGATTTTCTCTCATTTTCCTCACCAAAATGGGAGGAATTTGGTTTTCCTTCCGCTTAGTACATTTTGCCTTCTCTTTTTCTTTTCCTTTCATTTTTCTTTTCTTTCCCTCTCTAACCAAACAAGAAAAATATTTTCCATCTTATTTTCTTTTCCTTTCCCACTCAAATTCCTTGAACCAAACATAGTGTTAGGGAAACAATTTTTCTTGTTTGGTAAGAGAGGAAAAGAACATAATCGAAAAGTGGAAGGAAAAGAAAATGAGAAGGCAAAATATACCAATAGGGAAAACTAAAATTCTTCCATTTTTTTGAGAAAAATGAGAGAAAATAATTTTCTTTTCTCTTCCTTCCAAATTCCTTGAAGCAAACATAGTTAAGAAATATGAATATATGAAATGCAAATTAGATTATCATTGGCATTTTCCTTGGCATTTTAGGTGATCGAAAAAGCAAGAAAACATATACCGGGGAATTCAAAGTCCAGATTTGCTTTTTGAGTTGCTAACCTGATTCACACCCACGGCAGCTTGTATCGGAGTCATGTTGCCATATGGTACCTGCAACTCAGCAACGAGCCAAAGATAATGAGACAAACTTTACCTTTTGCTTTTTCCTTCTGCCCCTTCTACAGAAGGGCAAGCCACAACAGCTTATAACCAAAGGGAGCATGGCAAACACCTTGGACGTTAGAAGCTCCCAAAGAACAATTCCAAAGCTGAATACATCCGCTCTCTGATCATATGGCTGGTGATTCATAATCTATACAAGAATGGAGACATTCAAATAAAAAGTTGAACCAAATTAAAAGAGCAGAACATAGGAACTACTATCATATCGTACAGATTCAGTTCTTCAGATAGTGGGAGGTCAAGTAGTAATTATAATGAGTCACTGAAAAGAAAAGCATCTCTTTTAATAGAGTTTTTATTCTTCACCTGAATGATTAAGTAATATCCTTTCGTCATATGAATTAATTTCTTATTGGGAATTCAGTTCAATGGTATCAATGGAAAAAGTTAAAAGGAGTTTCATGCACTACTGTTCCATCAATATCCGGCAATTTCAGAAAACATTACTATCTCAGTAGAAGGATCATAACAGCAAAGGATAGTCTGCAGAATCAGCAGAATGGGTGTGGTCGAACTAGCTGACTTTCCATATGTAGTAGCATTGGGTGTGGTCGAACTAGCTAACTATCCAGCTAACATGGATAGTCCGCACTGGGTCCAATGTGTGTGGAATAGATTCACCCTCCCCAAGCATCAGTTCATATTGTGGCTGATATTAAGAGAGAGGTTACTGACTACATGCAGTCTAAGGAAGCTAATGAATATTGACCCCAAATGTGTGATTTGTGTTTTGTGACAAGGAAGATGGAGATATAAACCATTTATTCTGAAAATGCCCACTTGCTCACAATATTCACACCTAGATTTTCAATAGGCTCTACTGCAATGTTAAAGCAGCAGATCTCCCAGAGGCGGGATTAGAACTCATGAAGATTACTCCTAAGAAGAGAAGGTGGTTGGCTTTTGCAGGATGGGCAGCTAGTTGCTACTCCATATGGAAAGTCTGAAATGATAAGCTACATCTGAAGGGATTCTCCGAAGAGGCTACTCTTGAAGACATTAAAAATCAAATCAAAATTTTTGTGACATATAAATGGAAGGCTTTCTTAGAGAAATAGGCGTGCAGTTTCTGCTTCGTTGGACATTTAAGAAAGATGTATTGCTTGTGATGATCATGTACCCTGACTTAGTGGTATTAATGAAGTAACTTTCGGTTCAAAAAAAATCATAACAGCAAAGTAACTATATCAAGGACAATTATAAGATAACTGTGTAATCACTTGGAAGAAATGAAATCCAAATGAAAAGAACACAATGACGTGTATTCTTAAGCAAATGCATATATGCAACTACACAAGTGAAGGATCAATTCAGTGCAAACCTCGGGTGCCATCCATCGATATGTTCCAGTCTCAGCTGTCATAACACCCCCCTTGTTTAGAAACCGGGCAATGCCAAAATCTGCCACTTTCACAACCTTGTAACAGATTATGAAAGCTAGTAAATACAAAAATCGGTAGATATAACGAAATGTAAGTTTCACATGTTTCAAAAGGATGTTAACTCACACAAAATCATGAAAAGGTCCAAGGTCAATGTCCAAGCATCAAAACCTACGTCTATGCTTATTTGTCTTCTCAAGTCTTAAACTGGTCATTAAGAAAGAACATTGAATAGTCCCGACTCCTAAGTATCCATCAGGTACAAATATATTGTTACTGTTTAGTGTTTACAATGGCAACTAAAGGGTATGACAAATTGCACGAGCTTGTGACACCATGACCATTTGATTAACACCCCTAATATATTGCTCGACCATTACAAGCTAATTATTGTAGAACTTTTCTGCGTTTATTTTTTAGTAAAGCATTACATAAGACTCCCCTTGTGCCCATTGCCAAAGGAACAAAAAGAGAAGTTCAGTCTATGCTTTACTCAAAATAAACACAAAAATCAGTCTATGCTTTACTCAAAATAAACACAAAAATGATTTTTTTAGCTCTATTTGCAATCTATGCAGTCAACACACTTGTTCTAATAGGGAAAATATATATTGTGCACATATGTGGGGCATGGAACCAGTAGTTGCTAAGAATATACGGAGTACTTCAAAAGGTGCCAAAGTACAAAAAATATGAGCTGATGCAACTACAACATCTAACATGAACAGAAAACCAAACCAGGGAAACAGTAATGATTGGGAGAGGGAATTTGAAAATAGTATGCTTACACATATGCAGTCAATCACACGGTCACTTATGCCATAATCAATTTACTCACTACCGAGAGGAGAAAGACAAACACACTACATTTTATGGAGCCTAGGAGGCAAAATTGAGACAATAAATTAACACAGTTTCCTCATCATTCATTGTCATATAGTTACCGCTGCATTCTTAGACATTGGCGGCGATGGCCCTGAAGCATTTCAAGAATCTTTTTTGTAGAGACAGACATGCTCTTCTTCTCACAAGCATGCACTTTATCCTATGTTTGGTTCAAGGAAGTTTGAAAGGAAAGAAAAATAAAATAGTTTCTCTCCTTTTGCCCATCAAAATGGAGGGTATCCAGTTTTCCTTATGCTTGGCCTATTTTTTATTATCATTTTCTTTTCCTTCCACTTTTATTTTCTTTTTCCTCTCTAACTAAACATGAAAAACTATTTTTCCATCTCGTTTTCTTTTCTTTTCCCTCTCAAATTCCTTGAACCGAACATACAAAGAGAGGTATTGGGTTCAAATTCTACTTAGTACATAAAACTATAATATTTTAAAAGTGATCACCCCATCAAAAGGAAACAAGAACAACTTAAATATAAGAGGGTGTGTTGAATGTGACTCTACTCCCATGGCCAAAATATGTCAAGTTTTACCAAGGTACAACTTTTTAATTTCCACATAAAACATACAACTCTTTTTTCAGACAACATCGTGTTTTAAAACATGAGTATCATTTGCGGATGGTGGGGGAATATGTTTATTCTCGCTAATAGGTCAGAATGTGAGTTAAGATAGAAAAACATACATTTTGTG